GGACATGTTGCCGAACGCTGGCACGACCCGTTGTTGATGGCAGGATTACTGTGCACGATGCGGAGAATTGGGAATAGATCTAGAGATGAATAAATTGCACATAATGAGGAGAAATGAGAGGTAGGCCTGTGCTCAAGCGGTGAAGCGAACACGGGATGAAGCAAGGATTAACGACCTCCCTTTGCCGCTGACTCCATTCATTGAGCAAACTGTCAACTCTGTGGCGACTTTCGTTACACACACATTCGTTCCGCGTGCCAGCCAAGTACCTGAGAGTAACAAACCACAGGGGGACAAGTTACAACACCGTGGGTCCCAGTATGATATGTGGGCTGTGTGTTACTCACCTGACTCGGGTAGCACGACGATTGCGATGGGGAAGTTTCAGAGTCTGGAATGCCAACATAGGCAAAAGTTTCAATTTTGGACCGAACGGAAAGACACCGGTCAAATCTGAAGTTTGAACGCCGCACACTGTGCTGCACATGTACGAAAGACTTGTCTGTGCGATTTCATTATCTCGCATCCTCAAAAACACATTATGTGACAATAAAGTGCAACCAGCTACCACGGGGAACCTCCAAAAAAACAAGATCACGGTCATCTTGGACCACCCTTCCGCTGATCTTCGTTGAATTCGCAGAACACTGACACGATCAGGCGAATCCAGATCGCTTACGCCATCAGTATGTAAGCGCGTTGGCCTTGATCCTGTAGAATATAATGTTGCTGTAGCTGACTTGAAAATGATAAACACTCACATTGCAAAGGTCAAAGATTGCGGATACGACGTCCAGGTGGTGACGACTCTGCAACGATTCGGACACAATGTGGTGAGCGAGGTGTATGGGTGATACGATCAAGACTGAGATTAACCGACTGTGACTGCAAAACTTCAAGCTTCGCTCACCTCAACGAATTGTAGTACTGTTGCAGCGTTCAGGTGATGGGAACTCTACAGGGAAGACAAGAGGCAACAATTCAGACACAAGGTGGCAAACAGGATGTGTGGGTGTTATACGTGTCAAGACAAACACAGGCAGTACGAAACACTCCTCACACTGACAGCTTCCATGTCGTTGGAAGCTATGTGGTCATCACCGTGACATTGCTTGTGAAGTGTTGTGCCGAGAGCGCGTGGAGGGCAGAATTGATCATGCACCCGCCGACAAGAAGTTCTCTGATCTATTGGTGCTTTGATCGTGAATGGAGGGAAGATGATGAGTAGACATTGACGAGAGGAGGAATACGGAATATCCAGAATGAGGAAGGATAGACACTGTGCGATGTGGAGGACTGAGAGCAAAAGGTCAGAGCAAGACCTGATTCAAAAAATACTGACAGCGCGCATTGATGTTGGCTCGTATGTCATCGAAAAAACCTGGCAGTACTCGATTATTGACTATGAAGATTGCCCGACTCTTGGGGTTGTCCAAATGGATGTACCCTTTGCTGATCCCAGCCAAGTGATCAACCGATGTCTGGATGGATGTGACTGAGACCGTGATGACCTCTGGAAACTGGTGCTCGCATCCGCACGGAACATCGGTTCCAGCATCCTGCGGAGCGCCCAGTTCACTTCAAAAAGTTTATTCCGAAGTTAGTGCGAAGGAGACGACTTGGGCACAATATGAGGTGAAAAAGGGGACAGCACCGCACCGTCAGCGTCCTCATCCATTCGACTATCATCAACCAACGTAGCAGTGAATCGTCTGTGACGACTCCTGGCGGTACAGGAATTACGTGTCTGAATCAAGTTGAGCTTGACTTCCTCCTATGTCAACGCTGCAACCAGACCGGCTGGCTATCCCAGCGCCTGTCGTCATCGCATAAGTGTTGGATAGAGAGCGCCTCGGAAGACAGAAACTCCGCCACGCAAAGAGTGGCTGGTTTGAGGCGTGAGGGGAAAAGAACGTCGGCTGCATCTAACGCACACGCAGATCTTGGGAGTCGACGAAACGAAGAAGCGATATTGCAGTAAGGTTTATGCAAAGTGCTCGGGAAAGTTACACGGTGATATGTTGGAGACACTGCTCGACAACAGAAACAACCATATTAATGCGGTCATCTAGGACAGATGGCTTTCGACTTGAACCTGATACAAGCGCCGGGAAGCAGCAACTGCACTGTGATGCGAGGGCATACATGGTGGAAGGTGTGGAGACAAGAGTCAGACGAATGTAGACAGTGTCAAGGCAGCGGGAGGGTATACTGTAGAAGAAGGCCAGTGCGACAATGGGGAGCATTCTTGTTACAACGGTGATGGAAGTATGGCAGCAAACCACCTCGTGTCCTGGGCATCTATGGAAACAAGGCCGGTTAATTTAGTGACGTAAGGTAAAAACGCACAATACACGCACCTCTGCAGCTGAGACAGACGCTCACAAACCCTCCAAAGTCCACATCGACCGTGCTCAACATTACCAACCCGCAGTAAAATGACGAAGCTCATTCCAAGCACCACACCCCTCCGAACTTTTAAAGGTCATGAAGAACGCGTAAACGCAGTCGCAGTTTTCCCCGATAGACGAAGAATGGTTACGGGCTCAGACGACAAGACACTTTGTCTTTGGGACTTGAAGACAGGTGTTCTTTTGAAGAAGATGGAGGGGCATCGCAGTGGGGTGTGGACATTGGCAGTATCACGACGAGATGGGCAAATAATAGCAAGCGGTGATAGAAATGGAGAGGTCATTGCTTGGAACGGAGAAACAGGAGAATTCCTCACCCAACCCATCAAAGCCCACTCCACACATGTCAGCTCGCTGGACTTTTCCGCGGATGGTACAGTGTTGGCCACTGGTTCGAAGGACTACATGCTCAAGTTTTGGTGCACCAAAACTTGGCAGCAACAAGGAAATCAAATTGAATTCAATGGTTATGTCCACGAGGTTCGATATTCGCCATCTGGTGAACTTCTTGCCATCGCAACATATGAAAATATCCAAATTTATAAATCAGGCACAAGGGAACGCGTCGCAACTTTGGAGGGTTACGCTAACTCACTCGCGTGGACGCCCGATGGCACACGCCTTCTTTCTGCCACGTATAACAACATTCAAGAGTGGGATACATCAACCTGGGAGAAGGTCGGTGTTCCCTGGAAGGGCCATACTAATTCGACCATGATCATCGCCGTAAATCCTGCTGGCACACTCGTCGCTTCCGCATCTCTTGACCACGATGTCCGTCTCTGGCGGCTCTCAGATCGACAAACTATTGCCATCTTCCGACACTCATCCAGGCAGATATGGGTCACGTTCTCCGTAGATGGCAATAACATCTTCAGCGGAGGTCATGGTAATCAGATCTCGGAGTGGGAAGCACGCAAGGGGTTTCATTCAAACGTGAGTTTCCATCCTTGACTCGTGTCACACAATTTGAGCATGCTTCATACAGATCCCTACTACTATCACGGCAGCCCGTGGTTCATACATCACTGGAGACTTGTCGACCGCTGAACAGCTACTCACGCAAGAGATTGATGCCGACACCAATAACTATACCTCCTATGCCAATCGCTCATTCACTATGTCGCGAAAACAAAACTGGGACCGTGCCCTTGAGGATGCAATCAAGGTCAGTCATACCAACCAATTGTGGCCCTCTTGCGAAAGGCTAACTTCCATTCGTGACATAGTCCATCAGCATTCAGTCCTCATTGACTGGCTACATCTCCAAGGGCATTGCCCTCTGCGGAAAAGGCAATGTACGGGACGGGAGGGTAGCATTTGACGTCGCATCCATGTTCACAAACCAAGACTCAGACACTATTCATGTTCTTCTCTTGACCAAGGTAAGTTAGGTTCGTCTCGCATGCGCTCTGCTCCATTCTGTATTTCAGGCCATTGCCCTCTTCAATGCAGATCAACATGAAGAGGCAATGCTGCTCATCACAGAGCTAGCTGCCGCTCGTCCGAATGCTGATACCCTCGGATGTCGTGCCGTGGAAGTAAGTATCATGTGGTTACACTCTACTATCAACACTGATCTTTGTAACTCGCACATTAGGCATATTTACTCGTTCAGCTTGGAACCAAGGCCTTGGATGGCGCGCGTCACGACGAAGCCGCTGACTACTTCGCTGCCGCCGTCAACTCCATTACTTTCCCATCGAAAATGATCCCTGATCTATGCGAGGACTTTGTCGTGGTATGTTGACATGATGCGTCCGCAAATGCTATATTAACTGAGTGCTTTCTCCAGCTCTTCGGCTGGGATCTCGAGTTCTTCTGGCTCACTACGCACCAGAAACGTTGTCAGGCTTTCCTTTCGGCAGGTAAAGTCAAAGAAGCCCTAGAATCACACCAACACATGATGGACACCATCGACGAAGCTGAGAAGGCAAGCTGCCTCGATTGGTCCAAGGGCAAGTTTTAGGTGATGACACTCGAGGCTAACATACTCACTCGCATTTCACTCAGACTTCAAGGAACAATGTAATGCGCTTGCTGCTCGTGATGACCGTATTCTTGGCGCATGTATTTCCTTCCTCAACCTTTTTGCTATTGACCTAAGTTATGCAGGCGGAGATTCCGGGGCAAGATCAAGATGGTTATGATGCAGAACCTGATTTCTTCCGGGGAATGCATGGCGTGGGTGCAACAGTGCATCTTGTCTTTGTTTCTCTCTCACACACTATTCATAACAGCATTCTCAAATTTCCGCACCACGAACTCAGCAGCGCCCGGGGCGCTTCAAGAAACTCAGGCTTGCTATGACAAGGAATCCTCATCCAGTTCCACCACCTGCACCTGCACCTGCACCCACGCCAGCACCGCCCACCGCCCTACCACCTGTCGCTACCCCCACGACCTTCACAGCCCACGTACGACACCTATTCACCTGGCGACCCGATCATGCTGCACCACCCGTCGTCGACGCCCCTTTCGCGAAGGGTACAGAGGTGCGCCCGGTCCATTCTTACCGCTCTCTTGGGTGTCTCATATATACATCTATAGCGCAATGCTGCTGCGGATGCTCCTGGGAGAGACGAAGACATGGTTCCTGACGAATATTTCGATGATCTTCCGCAGGACCCCAATGCTGCACAACGGCCCAACACACCACAGCAACGACAACCAGTAGCAATACAGGTGGACACTGGGGAACATGGAGGTGACAAGTCGTGTTTCTGCTGCTAGCGGCTTTCGTGGAATTCCCCGTGTATTTCAGTTCTCTCACTGCTCTTCTTTGTTGCGATATCTATGTTGACTTGAATCAGTATTTATTATCATCTCCTTCAGATCTCTCCTCGTGCCTATTCATAGCTAATGATGCCCTCTCCATGTGTCAAGATTAATGTGTGCGGCCTCATAATGTCCTGGATGAAAACGCTGTGCGAGTTTGTAGACGCCTCGGACTACACCAAAGGATTAATGAATTAGAGAACACAAACCTTTCATACATTCCTACACAAACGGTACGTTCCATACTACTCACTGTCAGTAATGCATGAAGACAGATATTAACGCGCAAGTGAGTTTGAGTCAGTCTTTGGAACTGATTGATCCGACGCAGTGCACCATGTTTGCGGGCGCGAGTTTGAGGAAAGTGAGTTAATTTACGAACTGAGCACCATCTGGAGGAACTGCGTCTTGAAATTCAGGACGACGTAGGTACTAGCAATCCCTGCTAGCTAAACCAATCAATCGTATTATGTGCAGTGCGAACGACAGACCGAACTCGACACGACCCATCATGATACCCCTGGAGTTCTTTCGTGTCCCTTAATCATCCAGTAAGATCTGGAACATTTCAGCTGGTTTGCGTCCACACGCTGGACATGTTGCCGAACGCTGGTACGATCCGTTGTTGATAGCAGGATTACTGTGCACGATGCTGAGAATTGGGAATAGACGTAGAGACGAATAAATTGCACATAATGATGGGAAATGTGAGGTAGGCCTGTGCTCAAGCGGTGAAGCGAACACACGGGATGAAGCCAGGATTAACGACCTCCCTTTGCCGCTGACTCCATTCATTGAGCAAACCGTCTACTCTGTGGCGACTTTCGTTACACACACATTCGTTCCGTGTGCCAGCCAAGTACCTGTGAGTAATAAACCACAGGGGGACAAGTTACAACACCGTGCGTCCAAGTATGATATGTGGGCTGTGTGTTACTCACCTGACTCGAGTAGCACGACGATTGCGATGGGGAAGTTCCAGAGTCTGGAATGGCAACATAGGCAAAAGTTTCAATTTTGGACCGGACGGAAAGACACCGGTCAGATCTGAAGCTTAAGTTTGAATGCCGCACACTGTGCTGCACGATGAGAGAAAGACTTGTCTGTGCACATTATCCCGTATCCTCAAAAACACATCATGTGACGATAAAGTGCAACCAGTTACCACGTGAAAACAAGATCACGGTCATCTTGGGCCACCCTACACTGATCTTCGTTCGATTCGCAGAACACTGGCACGATCAGGTGAAACCAGATCGTTTACGCCATCAGTATGTAAGCGCGCTGGCCTTGATCCTGTAGAATATAATGTTGCTGTAGCTGACTTGAAAATGATAAACACTCACATTGCAAAGGTCAAAGATTGCGGATACAACATCCAGGTGGTGACGACTCTGCAACGATTCAGACACAATGCGGTGAGCGAGGTGTATAGATGATACGATCAAGACTGAAATTAACCGACTGTGACTGCAAAACTTCAAGCTTCGCTCACCTCAACGAATTGTAGTACTGTTGCAGCGTTCAGGTGATGGGAACTCTACAGGGAAGACAAGAGGCAACAATTCAGACACAAGGTGGCAAACAGGATGTGTGGGTGTTATACGTGTCAAGACAAACACAAGCAGTACGAATCACATCTCACACTGACAGCTTCCATGTCGTTGGAAGCTATGTAGTCATCACCGAGACATAGCTTCTGAAGCGTTGGGCCGAGTGCGCGTGGAGGGCAGAATTGATCATGCACCCGCCGACAAGAATTTCTCTGATCTATTGGTTAATGAATGGAGGGAAGATGATGAGTAGACATTGACGAGAGGAGGAATACGGACCATCCAGAATGAGGAAGGATAGACACTGTGCGACGTGGAGGACTGAGAGCAAAAGGTCAGCACAAGACCTGATTCAAAAAATACTCACAGCGCGCATTGGTGTTGGCTCGTATGTCATTGAATAAACCTGGCAGTACTCGATTTTTGACTATGAAGATTTCCCGACTCTTGGGGTTGTCCAAATGGATGTACCCTTTGCTGATCCCAGCCAAGTGATCAACCGATGTCTGGATGGACGTGACTGAGACCGTGATGACCTCTGGAAACTGGTGCTCGCATCCGCACGGAACATCGGTTCCGGCATCCTGCGGAGCGCCCAGTTCACTGCAAAAACTTTATCCCGAAATTAGGGGCTCAAAGGATATGCTAGAGACAACTCGGGGACAATATTAGGTGAGAACGGGGACAGCACAGCACAGCAGCGTCCTCATCCATTCGACTATCATCAACCAACGTAGCAGTGAATCGTCTGTGACGACTCCTGGCGGTACAGGAATTACGTGTCTGAGTCAAGTTGAGCTTTACTTCCTCCTATGTCAACGCTGCAACCAGACCGGCTGGCTGGCCCAGCGCCTGTCGTCATCACATAAGTGTTCGATAGAGCGCGCCTCGGAAGGCAGAAACTCCGCCACGCGAAGAGTGGCTAGTAGTTTGAGGCGTGAGGGGCAAGAATGTCGGCTCCATCTAGCGCACACGCAGATCATGGGAGTCGACGAAACGAAGAGGTGATATTGCAGTAAAGTGTATGCAAAGTATTCGGGAAAATTACAAGGTGATATGTTGGAGACACTGCTCGGCAACAGAAACAACAATATTCATGCGGACATCTAGGACAGATGGCTTTCAGCCAGATACGAGCGCCGGAAAGCAGGGACTGCACTAAGATGTGAGGGCATGCATGCTGGAAGGTGTGGAGACAAGAGTCAGACGAATGTAGACAGTGTCGAAGCAGCGGGAGGGTACACTGTCGAGGAAGGCAAGTGTGACAATGGGGAGCATTCTTGTTGTAACAGTGATGGAAGTATGGCAGCAAACGACCTCGTGTCCTGGGCGTCTATGGAAACGAGGTAGCTTAATGTAGTTAAGTAACGTAAAAATGCACAATACACCCACCTCTGCAGCTGAGACAAAGACGCTCACAAACCCTCCACAGTCGACCTCGACCGTGCTCAACGCTGCCAACGTCTAGTAAAATGACAAAGCTCATTCCAAGCACCACACCCCTTCGAACTTTTAAAGGTCATGAAGGAAACGTAAGGGCAGTCACAGTTTTCCCCGATAGACGAAGAATGGTTACGGGCTCAGACGACAATACACTTTGTCTTTGGGACTTGGAGACAGGTGTTGTGTTGAAGAAGATGGAGGGGCATCGCAGTGAGGTGTGGGCATTGGCGGTATCACGAGATGGGCAAATAATAGCAAGCGGTGATGATTCTGGAGAGGTCATCGTTTGGAACGGAGAAACAGGAGAATCTCTCACCCAACCCATTGAAGCCCACCCCAGATCTGTCAACTCGCTGGACTTTTCCGCGGATGGTACGGTGTTAGCCACTGGTTCATTCCACGAGATGACGGTCAAGCTGTGGTGCACCAAAACATGGCAGCAACAAGCTGGAAATCAAATTGCAGCAAACAGTTCTGTCAACCGAGTTCGATATTCGCCGTCTGGTGAACTTCTTGCCATCGCAACAATTGGCAATATCGCAATTTATAATTCAAGCACAAGGGAACGCGTCGCAACCTTGAAGACTTTGAACTACTCACTCGCGTGGACGCCCGATGGCACACGCCTTCTTTCTCCCAAGAATGACGCCATAGAAGAGTGGGATACATCAACCTGGGAGAAGGTCGGTGATCCCTGGAAGGGCCATACTAAGAGGATCAACGCCATCGCCGTAAATCCTGCTGGCACGCTCGTTGCTTCCGCATCTGAAGACAACCATGTCCATCTCTGGCGGCTCTCAGATCGACGAAACATTGCCATCTTTGAACACTCATCCATCCCGACATGCGTCACGTTCTCTGTAGATGGCAATAACATCCTCAGCGGAGGTGAAGATAATCAGATCTCGGAGTGGGAAGCACGTAAGGGTTGTCGTTCAAACGTGAGTTTCCGTCCTTGATTCGTGTCACACAATTCGAGCATGCCAATAATATACAGATCTTTGCTATCGCGACGTCAGCCCGCTATTCATCCTTAAGTGGGGAGTTGTCTACCGCTCAACAGCTACTCACGCAAGAAATCGATGCCAACGCCGACGACTATACCTCGTATGCCAATCGATCATTCGTTATGGCGCGAAAACAAAACTGGGACCACGCCCTTGAGGATGCAATCAAGGTCAGTCATACCAAACACTTATGGCCCTCTTACGAAAGGCTAACTTTCATCCGTGACATAGTCCATCAGCATTCAGCCCTCATTGACAGGCTACATCTCCAAGGGCATTGCCCTCTGCGGAAAAGGCAATATCCGGGACGCGAGGGTAGCATTTGACGTCGCATCCATGTTCACAAAGCAAGATCCAGATACCATTCATGTTCTTCTCTTGATCAAGGTAGGTGAAGTTCCTCTCAGATGCTCTGTGTTCCATTCCGTATTTCAGGCCATTGCCCTCTTCAATGCAGATCAACATGAAGAGGCAATGCTGCTCATTACAGAGCTAGCCGCCGCTCGTCCGAATGCTGATACCCTTGCGTGTCGTACCGTGGAAGTAAGTATCATGTGGTTGCACTCGACTATCAACACTGACCTTTGTAACTCGCACATCAGGCATATTTACGCGTTCAGCTTGGAACCAAGGCCTTGGATGGCGCCCGTCACAACGAAGCCGTTGACCACTTTGCCGCCGCTCTCAACTCCAGCACTTTCCCATCAGAAATCATCCATGAACTATGCGAGGACTTGGTTGTGGTATGTTGACATGATGCATCCGCAAATGCTATAACTGAGTGCTTTCTCCAGCTCTTTGGCTGGGATCTCGAGTCCTTCTGGCTCACTACGCACCAGAAACGTTGTCAGGCTTTCCTTTCGGCAGGTAAAGTTGAAGAAGCCCTAGAATCACACCAACATATGATGGACACCATCGACGAAACTGAGAAGGCCAGCTGCCTCGATTGGTCCAACGGCAAGTTTTAGGTGATGACACTCGACGCTATCATGCTCATCCGCAGTTCACTCAGAATTCAAGGAACAATGCAGCGCGCTTGCTGCTCGTGATGGCCGTATTCTTGGCGCATGTACTTCCTTCCTCAGCCTTTTCGCTATTGACCTAAGTTATGCAGGCGGAGATTCCGGGGCAAGATCAAGATGGCTATGATGTAGAACCTGATTTCTTCCGGGGAATCCATGGCGTGGGTGCAACAGCGCATTTTATCTTTGTTTCTCTCTCACATACCATTCATTACAGCATTCTCAAATCTCCAGACCACGACCTCAGCAGCGCCCCGGGCGCTTCAAGAAACTCAGGCTCGCTGTGACAAGGAATCCTCATCCAGTTCCACCACCACCACCTGCACCCACACCAGCACCGCCCACCGCCCTACCACCTGCCGCTGCTCCAACCACATTCACAGCCCACGTACGACACCTATTCACCTGGCGGCCCGATCACATAGCACCACCCGTCGTCGAAGTTCCTTTTGCGCAGGGTCGAAAGGTGCGCTCGATCTATTTTCATCACTGTCTTAGGTGTCTCATGTATATATCTATATCTATCTACAGCGTAACGCTGCAGCGGGTGCTCCTCCCGATGATGATTCAGACATTATACGTGCTGAATATGTCGATGATGATCCACAGGACCCCAACGCTACACAACAGCTCGATACGCAACAGCCCGATACACAGCCTAATACACAACAACCCAATACGCAACGGCAACGGCAACCAGTAGCAATGCAGGTAGTAGATACTGGGGAACATGGAGGTGACAAGTCGTGTTTCTGCTGCTAGCGTCTTTCGTGGATGTCCTCGGGTATTTCTGTTCTGTTCTGTCATTGCTCTTCTTTTTTACGATATCTATGTTGACTTGAAACAGTATTTATTATCATCTCCTTTAGACTTCTTGTTCCTATTCATAGCTAATTTGCAGGCGGGAGTTCGATGAAAATCGTTTATATGCTGACAGGACTCATGACCAGCTACCACTTGCTGCCTATCTAGCGTGTTCCCGTTCACGGGCGATCTCACTACTGATCCTAGTTTACCTACTGCTCTTGCGGATCTGAAACTCGATCGACGGAGAATCATACTTACTGGACTTGTGCACTCGTTGTCTGGCAATGGTTCACTTTAAGTTTATGGAATAAACGGGACGGTCGGGTCGTTTATAGCAATGCTTGACTTGGTTTCAGTGGAGCGCGCCCAGTTTTATATGCCGTCCAGTGTAATGTTCATTCGCTGCAGATCGCACATTTTTATTAATGATTACTGGATGCTAGACCTCAAAACTCCGTACTTCGAGGTCAGTGTCCCCAATACGAACTATTCCAATATTCCTGAACGCCAGCAACAGCGAGATGCAGCGAGATCTCAGGCCTGGAAAGAGTCATGGTCAGGATGAACAATCTTCGATAGCAACTCGTCAAAAAAGATGGAAACGGGTGTTCATGATGTCCGGCTGGACGAGTTAACTGAAGTTCAGGAACATATAATTATAATGTCTGTGTGACGGAAACAACATCGAGTATGTACCGACAATATTTAGCATAACGTGCAGCCCAAGCGAAACAGGTCGGATAGAAGAAGTATCGGAATGGGGATTTAAAATCTAGCGGGAGCGAGGGGCAGTATGAATTGTTTGTCAAGCCCATTATAGATGCGGGAAGCATCTAGTGAGGATAGAAAAGCAGCCAATTTACAGAGGAGTGTTGCTTGGTTGCGTCAGAGTGCGCTCTCCAATGACATCGATACTGATGTAGTCCCCACACCAGTGCTAGCGTTAGATGTATCACATTGCAGGCGAGTACTTGGGATGTGGTAGGTGCACCAGATACTATCATTTCTTAACTGATGACATTGACGGTGCACGGCCTGAAATGTCATAAGCACGGGATTGATGTCCCAAGATCACTGGCAGTACAGCGTACACGTAGTTCCAAGGCGGGCTGGCGAGGAGGTCGTGGTAGCTGCATTAAATGTGTTTTACCGCTGATGACATTAGCGGTGCGCTGCGGGGAAATGCCATCAACAAGGGATGAATGTTGGAAGCGCGCAAAACTTACATATCGACCTCGCGTTGCAAATATATTTACGACGGGAATGCTGCAAGGGCGGGGAGCATGACCCTGAGGAACTGAAAATCCAGAGAAGAGATGTTCTGGATGCCTGTGGCATGGTGTCGCGAAGTACAGTGGTTATTGTGCTGAGGCGAGGAGTGGGTATTATACTGGAGCATAAGTCAGACGGGCATATGTATGTGACATATGGACTCACATCATCGAAGAACCTATGGCAGAGTTCAGACTCTAAGCCTATGGTCTCCTGGAGGAGTAATGGACAGGGTAAAAGTCAATGAATTTTCGGTGTAGACTGTAGATATGTCAGCAGGAAGTATGGCATGATTGAAAGTTTGCTGACCTGTTGCGAGTCTTTCTCTGAATGAGGAACTGCCCATGAGGCTATCCCGACAGCCAGTGGCGAAGATCTGGCTGTCCTCAGGAACAACTACGAAGTACATGGTATCAGGGTGCTCGAGTGGCTCGCCGATGGGTTCGAACGAGGCAGGACTTACCAGCATCATATCCTACAATCTGACCGATACTTAGTTTCTTCATTCAACTTGAATAGCGTGATGTACCCTGGTTTCATCGCACTCCGATGGCCCATCCCCATGGCAATATCAGGAGTATGGATAACGGAAAGGCTGAGGGCAAGCGCGGGGTCGAGGCCATAATAATACGTTTGGGAGGTTTTGTACAGGAGGTAGCAGGAGTTGACAACGGGGCGTTCAGACTGCAAGCAGACTATGGGCGGTTAGAAGCGAGATCGAGTTGTATAATGTAAGTGTAGATAACATCATCATGGTACTTGGCTGTACATGGCTCTAAACGAGTATACGCGATGTAAAAGAGCATCTTGGGGCAGCACCCAAAGAAGAAAGGTAAAGCGAAGGAGGAAGGAGATACTTACCTTCATAACAACGTCGATTCCATGCTGCGCCAGCACCTAGACTCGGACTTCTGCTAGTTGCGTTAGGGTGCGTTCTCCAACGATATTAATACTGATGTTGTCCCACTGGACCATGGCGTGTTGGTGTTGGAAAGAGGCACCAGTGCTGGCGTTAGAAGTGCCAGATTGCGGGCGAGTACTGAGTACTCAGGATGTGGTGGGTGCACCAGACACTCAGGTTATCCGTTTTTTAACTGATGCGGTATTGGCGATGGTACCTTGAGTTGTGAAGACGTTTCAACTTACCCACCAGCTGGCCATGGCGGTGCACTGCACACGTAGGTTGAAGTTGGCGTTTATGTTTCATTGACCGAGATTCGAAGCGTCTCCTGGGATGAACCCTCCGATTTTGCAACGAAGATTGCAACGAGGTGCGTCATGATCCCATAGATCGAAACAGACGCTAAATTACTGGATTAGGCTATTTCGAACATTTGAAATGCCGCCATTCTTCGAGTCACCATCGTTGAGCGCAAGCCTGCCATCCAGGCTTAGAATCTAGAATCGTCATCGAGCCGGATTCGTTCTTTAAATTAATTGAAACGATTCGAATCAACTCGATCGAACGGCCTACTTGGTCTACGGAAATAGAGTATCGCTATGCCATCCGAGAGGTTTGTATACATGTGATTTGATCTGTATCATGTCCAGAACTTGGATGTTCGGTCTCAGGTGCATACAGTTTCTTTCGAATTCACGATATATAAAAGTCCCTTGCTTCTAACTAGCTACGGGAGACTAGCACCTCAGACGCAGGACCCTCTTTACAACGAGGTCCTAAATCTCCACACGAATGGCTCTCAACTTTCGCAATCCCAGTACTAATATTGCAGTCAGCTAGTCCGGCGTAAGGCAATGACTGATATAAAAAATGTCGCACAATCTGATGTGCTGTTTCATTTTCCAACGTGGCATAGCTGAAGTTATTTTGCACTTTGAAACGTTCGAACCGATGAATCACCGTGCAGACTCAGGAAGGATGGACACTGTGCGACATGGAGGACTGAGAGCAAAAGGTCAGAACAAGACCTGATTCAAAAAATACTCATAGCGTGTACATTAATGTTGGCTCGTATGTCATCGCAAAAACCTGGCAGTACTGGATGCCATGTAATTGACTATGAAGATTGCCCGACTCTTGCTGCTGTGAGGGGTTGTCCAGATGTGTGTACCCTTTGCAACTGATCCCAGCCAAGTGATCAACCGATGTCTGCATGGACATGACTGAGACCGTGACGCGTGATGACCTCTGGAAACTGGTGCTCGCATCCACACTGACTGAACATCGGTTCCGGCATCGTGCGGAGCGCCCAGTTCACTGCAAAAACTTTATCCCGAAATAAGGAGCTCAAAGGATATGCTGCGTACGAAGGAGGGTCAACGAAACGAAGAAGTTATATTGCAGTAAGGTGTATGCAAAGTGTTCAAGCAAGTTACACAGTGATATGTTGGAGAAACTGCTCGACAACAGAAACAACAATATCGATGCGATCATCTAAATAGATGGCTGTCAGCCTGATATAAGCGCCGGAACCAGCAACAGCACTATGATGCGAGTGCATACATGCTGGAAGGTGTGGAGATAACAGTCAGACGAATGTATACAGTGATGAGGCGGCGGGAGGGTCTACTGTCGAGGAAAGCAAGTGTGACAATAGGGAGCATTTGTGGAAGCGAACTACCTCGTGTCTTGGGCGTCTATGGAAACGAGGCAGATTAATGTAGTGAAGTAAGGTAAAAACGCACAATACACGCACCTCTGCAGCTGAGACACAGACGCTCACAAACCCTCCAAAGTCGACCTCGACCGTGCTCAACGCTACCAACATCTAGTAAAATGACAAAGCTCATTCCAAGCACCATACCACTTCGAACTTTTGAAGGTCACGAGGAACGCATAACCTCAGTCGCAGTTTTTCCTGATAGACGAAGAATGATTACGGGCTCATTCGACAAGACACTTTGTCTTTGGGACTTGAAGACAGGTGTTGTGTTGAAGAAGATGGAGGGGCATCGCAGGCAGGTGATGGCATTGGCGGTATCACGAGATGGGCAAATGATAGCAAGCGGTGATAAAAATGGAGAATTCATCGCTTGGAACGGAGAAACAGGAGAATCTCTCACCCAACCCATCAAAGCCCACCCCAAATCTGTCAACTCGCTGGACTTTTCCGCGGATGGTACGGTGTTGACCACTGGTTCATTCAATGAGGCGACGGTCAAGATGTGGTGCACGAAAACATGGCAACAACAAGCTGGAAATCAAATTGCAGCAAATTTTAGTTGTGTCGGCCGAGTTCGATATTCGCCGTCTGGTGAACTTCTTGCCATCGCAACAATAATCGGCAATATCGAAATTTATAATTCAGGCACATGGGAACGCGTCGCAACGTTGCAGCCTCAGGGTGTAATTTATTACTCACTCACGTGGACGCCCGATGGCACACGTTTTCTTTCTGGCGCGGATGACGCCATAGAAGAGTGGGATACATCAACCTGGGAGAAGGTCGGTCATACCTGGAAGGGCCATACTAAAACTATCACCACCATCGCCGTCAATCCTGCTGGCACGCTCGTTGCGTCCGCATCTAGAGACAACGATGTCCGTCTCTGGCGGCTTTCAGATCAACGAACCATTGCCATCTTCAAGCACTCATCCAATCGGACATGTGTCGCGTTCTCCGCAGATGGCAAGCACATCCTCAGCGGAGGTGGAGATAATCAGATCTCAGAGTGGGAAGCACGCAAGGGTTTTCATTCAAACGTGAGTTTCCATCCTTCACTCGTGTCACGCAAATTGAACATGTTTCATGCAGATCTTCACTGCTGCCACGGCAGCCCGTGCGCGTGATTCATCTATAACTGGAGACTTGTCGACTGCTGAACAGCTCACACAAGAGATTGACGCCGACGCCAATAACTATACCTCATATGCCAATCGCTCATTGTTTATGGCGCGAAAACAAGACTGGGACCGTGCCCTTGAGGATGCAATCAAGGTCAGTCATACCGACCAATTATGGCCCTGTTACGAAAGCTAACGTTCATCCGTGATTTAGTCCATCAGCATTCAGCCTTCATTGACAGGCTACATCTCGAAAGGCATTGCCCTCTGCGGAAAAGGCAATATCCGGGACGGGAGGATAGCATTTGACGTCGCATCCATGTTCACAAACCAAGACTCAGAAACCATCCATTTCCTTCTCTTGATCAAGGTAAGTTAGCTCCGTCTCGCATGTGCTCTGCTCCATTCCATATTTCAGGCCATTGCCCTCTTCAATGCAGATCAACATGAAGAGGCAATGCTGCTCATCACAGAGCTAGCTGCCGCTCGTCCGAATGCTGATACCCTCACATATCGTGTCGTGGAAGTAAGTATCATGTGGTTACACTCGACTATCAACACTGATCTTTGTAACTCGCACATTAGGCATATTTACGCGTTCAACTTGGAACCAAGGCCTTGGATGGTGCGCGTCACGACGAAGCCGCTGACCACTTCACTGCCGCTGTCAACTCCAGCACTTTCCCATCAGAAATCATCCATGAACTATGCGAGGACTTGGTTGTGGTATGTTGACATGATGCATCCGCAAATGCTATAACTGAGTGCTTTCTCCAGCTCTTCGGCTGGGATCTCGAGTCCTTCTGGCTCACTACGCACCAGAAACGCTGTCAGGCTTTCCTTTCGGCAGGTAAAGTTGAAGAAGCCCTAGAATCACACCAACATATGATGGACACCATCGACGAAACTGAGAAGGCCAGCTGCCTCGATTGGTCCAACGGCAAGTTTTAAGTGATGATACTCGAGGCTATCATACTCACCCGCATTTCACTCAGACTTCAAGGAACAATGTAGCGCGCTCGCTGCTCACGATGACCGTATTCTTGGCGCATGTACTCCCTTCCTCAATCTTTTCGCTATTGACCTAAGTTATGCAGGCGGAGATTCCGGGGCAAGATCAAGATGGCTATGATGTAGAACTTGATTTCTTTCGGGGGGTGTATGGCGTGGGTGCTTCAACGTATCCTTCATTTCTCTCTCATGTCATTCATTACAGCATCCTCAAACTTCCAGACCACGACCTCAAGAGCGCCCCGGGCTCTTCAAGAAACTCAGGCTCGCTGTGACACAGCGCTCTCTTCCTCCTCCTGTACCTGCACCTACACCAGCTCCGCCCACCGCCCTACCACCTGCCGCTGCCCCAACCACCTTCACAGCCCACGTACGACACCTGTTCACCTGGCGATCCGATCACGCAGCACCACCCGTCGTCGAAGTTCCTTTTGCGCAGGGTCGAAAGGTGCGCTCGATCTATTTTCATCACTGTCTTAGGTGTCTCATGCATATATCTACAGCGTAATGCTGCAGCGGGTGCTCCTCCTGATGATGATCCAGACATTATACGTGCTGAATATGTCGATGATGGTCCACAGGTCCCCAATACACAACAGCCTACTACACAACAACCCAATACGCAACAGCAACGACAACCAGTAGCAATGCAGGTAGTAGATACTGGGGAACATGGAGGTGGAAGGTCGTGTTTCTGCTGCTAGCGGCTTTCGTGGATGTCCTCGCGTATTTCAGTTCTGTCGTTGCTCTTGTTTTTTTTTGCGATATCTATGTTTGATTGAAGTAGTGTGTTTTTGCCATATCCTTCAGATTTCTTCTCGTCCCTATTCATAGCTAATTTGCGGGCGCAAGCTTTGATGAAAATCGTTTATATGCTGACAAGACTCATGACCAGCGACCACTTTGCAATGTTCTGCCTAACTCTAAGCGCGTTCCCGTCCACGGGGGCGATTTCACTGCCGATCCTGGTTTATTTACTGCTCTTGCGGATCTGAAACTCGATCGACGGAGAATCATACTTACTGGACTTGGCTCGCTTTGAATTTATGAAATAAGCGGGACGGTCGGATCGTGTACAACGCTCGACTCGGTTTTAGTGGAGCGTGCCCAGTTTTTTAGGCGCTCGAGTCTAATTTTCATTCGCTGCAGATCGCACATTTTATTAATGATTACTGGATGCCAGACCTCAAAACTCCGTACTTCGAGGTCAGTGTCCCTGATACGAACTATTCCTGAACGCCAGCAACAGCGAGATGCAGTTTTGCGCGAGATCTCAGGCCTGGAAACAGTCATGGTCAGGATGAACAATCTTCGATAGCATCTCGTCAAAAAAGACGGAAATAGTTGTTCATCATGTCCAGCTGGACGAGCCGATAGGTTCGAACGAGGCAGGACTATACCAGCATCATATCCTACAATCTAACCGAGACTTAGTTTCTTCATTCAACTTGAATAACGTGACGTACCCTGGTTTCATCGCACTCCGATGGCCGGCAATAGCAGGAGCATGGGTAACGGAAAGGCTGAGATTGCATTGTGTCGAGGTGGATCAAGTGGATCGGTATGCCGTTCATGACATATATAATGAAGTATTCTTGTAGGTCCGAGAGAGGCATGGTCTGTATTGCGTGTTGGATTATTAGGAATGTCTTGTTCTGACTTCGAATTTGCCTTAACCTTGACGAAGTCAGATGCAGTTAATTTAAGATTCGAGCGAACGATCTTTAGATCGATGGGGCATGATTCGGATTGAATATAATTTCACCTTCGACAGAGCTGTGGTGTTGTGTATGGAGGTTGTTAGCCTACGTCCATGAGCAGCTCGTCACGACATCAGACTCACCCGATCTCCTTATCAAAGCGCAACTGGTAAGAGTGGTAATGTTTGATATCCCTTATCCTGAGACCCGCACGTGGCACTGTCAGCCTTCCTCCTGGCATGTTGTTGTTCTTGTGGACTGGCTTGTATAACGTTCTGTACCTTAATGTCATTAGTAACTATCGATGGGTTAACATTCGTTGCTTTATTTACCGCTGGTCACGCGTCACTTCAGGGCATGAGTAGTTGACGCCGACGCCCAAAATCTCTCCAGCACTGGAATGGGCGCTCTAACTTACTGCATCAAACCACCAGGACTCGACTGTGTGTAGAAGTTGTGAGAACGCTCTGGAATTTGGAGTTCTGTCAGCTCTGAGTCGAGCTTTAAGCACCCAGTCGTTCGACGTTCAACGTTCAGAGCAAGTGAAGCTTGAAGCTAAGCGAACTACAGGACCTTCCATATTTAGACATCGTGACCTATTTATTGTCTTTCGCTCACGGACGTTTTCAAGCAACTCTCAAGTTTATAAGCTGTCCTTGTCCAACTAGCTTCAACTAATCTCTCGTCGCTCGTTTCAATTCAAACTATGGCAGATGTTACCGTGCTCGTTTCACCGACCCCACTCTATTCGAGACCTCAGTCCGCACTTGGTTTCAGCCTGAATCTTGCTCGCCGCAGCCAGCCTGAATTCGCATCACCAGTAATGGTTACTCTCGAGACAGCAGACCCTTCGACAGCACCTTCTTCGCCCGTCGAAGTGCGAACCTTTGACGAAGATCTGCTTTCACCGCCCAAGCGTTCATTCAGAGGGCACCGAAACCAGCCGAGCATTTCCCGTTCGCAGTCTGCCCCGCCCACACAGGTTTCTTTCTCTGAACCTGTCAAGCCTTCCCCACGACGCGTATTCACGACATTTCCAACCACATCTACATACACGCGTGAGCTTCCGCGACCAGCACCTCCTCTCTGTGAGTCTTCTCGTCCTGTTTATTTGTTTTTATTGATCCCGATCCTTATCGCACAGTTCGCCCGAGGACTTTTTGGCGCAAAACAAAGCGTTCAGGCGTCACAGGCGCATCCTATTCTCCCGCTTCCCATCTGGTACGACGGGCCACATTCCTTGCTGCCGGCCTTTCCCTTGACGCACCTGCCGCTGATCTCAGCGCCCTTGGCGTAGAAAGTCGCGTCTCGGTCCTTGTCCTCGGCCCAGATCATATCTTGCAGCTGTATCCCAGCGTTGGCTGGTGAGTACGTATGATGGAAGATGAATATACCACAAAAACAAGCAGAGGTGGGACTTTGATGCATCGGAATGTCAATTATGCGCATGCATATGAACGTCAGGACAACGGTCTCACCTCATCGTCATATCTCGCTTCCTCTACATCTCCATATTCAACTCCTATGGATGGCCCTACCGCTGTCCTTGCTCCTACCGAAGCAAGCGCAAACACAGCTATCATAATTTCTATCACCGCCCTCCCTCCTCTGAACACGATTCCGCCTCACGACGCCACAAAGCTTCCCTACCACCAACATCTCAATGTCATCTTTCTAGCGCCACTCTTCGCAGTGTTGGGTATTTTACTTGGAGTAGGCGCCGTGAGTCTGTGGTGGAGGTTCCGGCTATTTACGGGTTCTGGCATATGTGGACTAGGTGGTAGGAAGAACGGCAGTGGGAGTAGGATCACTCTGGAACCTGGCCCAGCGTATGCGCCCGCCCCCTCTGATGAAGGCGATGGTGGCGTCAACGATGTGGAAAGCTCCGGACCGTACCCGAATGGCAACAGAAGCATGGAAGAAGTTACGCTCTTTGCAGCGGGCACACCCAGCAAAACTACCGTGCACGGTACGCGGTTCCTCTTCCCCACGCACATGCGTGGTCCAGCCACCAGTGGTGGTGCAGTGACCAAACCTCTCTGTACACCATTCCTTATGGGAGCAAGTAGGTTCGATTCAGCTGGGAATGGAGGCTCTGATCGTGGCGACCCATTCATCTCGGCGCGTTGTGCTTCTTCTTCTTCTCGCACACATGATCCAGAAAGGGCAGACGTGGCCCAGCCTCGACGCAGCGTGTTCCATAGGCTCTTAAATCGCTCGACCTCGGCTACAGGTAGACAATATGCTGCGGTCAGGACGCACGATTCCTCCCCAAGTACCCACTCCCGCCTTAATCCAACCCCTATTTCAACCCCAAACATCAATCACGCGAACACATTGAACAGTACGGCTTCCCACGGGGGAAGGAGCAGTGCGGTGGATGTTCCATTGCGCTCGCTTGAGGGTGGTGCAGGAGGGGAGGTGCAGCGGCCTGTGAGGGCGTGGTTGGAAACACCTGAAGGAATGGTTGAGACACCTGGGGGCACGAGATATGGGGACGGTAAGGCCCGAAAACACACGGCCACTGGTGGTCAGGATACTGGCTATGCACCAGTGACGGATACCCCACGGACCCCCGTCTCGAGGGTCAGCCAGTTCTGGACTCCTCGTTGGAAAAACAAAGCCCCACCGCTGCTCTCGTCTCCCTCCCCCGCTAAACCTTCTCCTTCAACACTGTACATGGTACGGTCTCCTTCACAAACCACTCAGTCTCAATCTCCATCACCGAATCTGCGATCTGCTGTCTCATCTGCGGGCCTTCGCTCTGCTATATCCCCTTTGACGCATGAAGGGCCATCTAAAGCGCGTAAGGAGCAAGACCTCCGTCGCGACAGGCTGGAGGACATAGAGAAAGGAACTGAGTCTGAGCCCAAATTGCTGGAACACAGTACCTCAATTCCTCACATAGACTCTTCCGTTCTCCCACGCAGCCCCCCGTTCCTGATGTCTCCCCCCCTCGAAGCTGCGCTGCTCTTCACCTCTACCTCGTGTGGTGCGCTCAGTTTCGCCACGCTTGCGAATTTAAGTCCGAAGTTGGGCTCGCGTTCTCCACCATCCAAAGCAACGGTTTATGGTGGGACTTATGACAGCCCCTTGAGCTCAAAGACGAAGACGAAGGCCAACCTAGGATTGTCTAAAGTTTCGAACGTCGATCAGAGTGCACATGTAACCTCCCCTGACATTTCGCTCTTTCCACTCCCTTCCTCTGCAAGGAAACTCAAGAAGCCCAGGAATCGGAGCAGATCTAGGAAAGAGAGGGGAAAAGGGACGAATAGAGGGCCCGAGACTTCACCGATGCTTCCGTTCCCCTCGTATCCTGATCACCTCGTACGTGCAGGACAAAAGACCTCTGTTTCAATGACTCTTGCCTCGAGTGCCTCGCAACCCGCGATCTCACCCACACCCACTATGCTCGCTATTTTCGCTGCGACCCAGAGCTTGGAGCGCGTGAATGAGATCTTGTTGAGAGGCTATAGTGAGCGGGCGCTTGGTGGTGGGGATATGGAAGACGAGGAGAGGATGTTGAGAGAGGATATTGTTGCTGCGGGTATTGAGAGCTCAGGACATTGATGATATGCGTAGGATATATGGATTCTATCTATTTTGTGCTCTTTGTTCAATCTTTTCTCGACTCGGTGTCTAGCAGCTCGTGTGATAACCTGTGGAAAGCTTAAGGTGAGTGATTTTCGTATGCCAAGTATTAGTGGCATTTGATAAACTGAGAGTGATCTAGCTATAGCTACACTGGGAAGTCAAAACCTTGAAAATCGGTGTATAGAATATACAAAGTCAACGTCAATATGTCACCAACTTCAATCTGACTACATGACGGACTCCTCCCTTTTATAATGTAATACGTAGGCGCAAAGATGCAAGGACGAGTCAGCTGGAGCTACTGGTACAGTGTGGGTGAGCACCATATCATACCTGCAGTTCGTGTGCGCCTGACGCTTTTTGGCATGCCGTTCCTGTCAACCATGTTCAATAGCTCCTCCTCAGACTGTTCTTGTGTTTGTGCTTCTGACTCCCATACTATACCTTTTCCGCAATCCCCCCGGGCTTCTTGCAGCCTATGTCCACTTATGTGCGCCCCTTGACATACTTCAACTCCATTTCATGCTTATATGCGCCCTTTTGTGTTGGATTGCGCCTCCTTGCGCATGTAGGTGCTCTCTCCCTGTTGTTGGCCTAACCCAGCGACATTCCGACACAAATTTTGTTAAGGTGTGTCTCATTCATTCTGCGTTCGAGTCGCATGACGTCTTGTGCGTCCTGAATACCTCCTTCCCTGATGGATACCTTTGCCATCTCCGATCTATTGGTGGTCGACGACAGGAAAAATTGTAACAAAAAGGCGACCACAAGTGCTAACTCTACTATAATGGCACGGTGTCGTCCCGTATGGCGACCGTACATTTATTCAAGTCGTCACACCTCCCATATTCATCGTCGTTAAAGCAAATAATGCCGCTCGTCGCTGCACATTGCAGTGTCTTACACTCCCAGCATTGCGCAAGGACGCAAAGAACCAGGTAGGCTTTGGTGTATATGTCATATCATTATACGCGCTCAACTAATGCCATTTTTTCAACCAAGGTTCGTGCACAACTCCGACACACCAGCGAAAACTCGAGTTTGAGGAAACGGGCATGGCAGCTTCAAACGAGGACATGCATTGTTTTGGTTCAATTGCACTGCTAACAGACAATTGCACACACTCTAATACAAAGGTTATGTAGACGAGTCGTGACGGTGAGCTGTTCGGAAAGTGCTATGTATTCACGATACGTATGTAACAATATTGATTAATGAGTAACCCAGAGCTTCGTAGATCATACTAGCGAAGAGAGTCATAGTCATCTAGCTATGCAGGTCCTGCAGAGGTTAAACCCAGCGTTACAGAACACTGGATGTATCGTTCGTCGTCTACCTTCGCTACATAAACTAGCTACTGATCGGGGGAGCGGGAAATTAGTTCCTGCTTGTTTAGCTCTTGTAACAGATCTACTTCCAACATCCCTGCAGAACGGAGAGCGTCTTCGCTTGGATCGGCTACCTCACTCATGAGGTCTTTCAGCACGCGGAGACGTTTTGTCAGCCAGATGATCTGGAGAACACCAGCACTATTTATGAGTGTGCTGTGTTTCTGCCGATGTATGCCCCTTGACATGCAGGTCGAAAGGATCAACATGGTCAACGAAGCGGTCAACGCAACTGCCAACTGCATCTCTTCAGTAAAGCCTTGTTTAGCCAGTTTGCGATTGAGATCTTACAGGCCACGTGTTGATCTGAAACGTAGGTCAGCAGAATTCAATGTTCTGTATGCTGAAGTACCTACGTTGAGATGCCATTTTATAACTTGCTGAGAAACCACAGTGCTGCCTGGTGTTGGGTCAAAGCCACCAGCATCGGAACCGAGTTTTGCACCTGCCTCGTCGTATTTCAAGTCTGCACTCGTGAAAACAAAACAACGTACCCGTCCACATCAGCGAAGCGAAGATCTTAGAGAGACTTGATTCGAAATGACGACGACTACAGAGAACCTGCTTCGGACCAGATGGAGGTGGTGGCCTGGTGGCTTGGTCGTCCAATACTACATTTAAACCAATTTCCTTCATAAGATACCTGAGGGGCGAAGCATCAGTTGTGTATTCAAAAAGCCCTGAGCGTGACTGCCTTACAGCTCGATAAAAGATATTCCGCGGCAGGTCGCTTGACTTTCAGTCATACAAATCTTCACGGGGGGTGTAGCTCCATTTCTGAATGCAGATAAAAACTTCAATGCAGTCAGCAGACGAACGTCACAACTGGTGATAATTGTTTTGCTGACCCATTTAGAATACCAACTATTAGTCTGACCTGTTCCTGGCGGTGACCAGATATCCCATTTATTGTCACCTTTAGGTGCTGTCCACCGCTCCCAGTCCAAAGGAGGAGTTAGAGCTGGGGGCGGGAAGAGTGCTAGTAAATTATTTGTTTCCACATTGACTATTGCCGTATGGTGCTCAACATATATGTTGCAAGCTACCACGTGAACATCAAGCACACTTGAAAGGATCGGAGCTTGGGGACTGTCTATTGTGATCGTTAATGCTAAACAGAGTTAGGTGGTAGCATGAGACCCTACCAAACAGTGGGACTTGTTGGTATTCCCAATTCATATGCTGAACGGTGTCCGATTTCATTGAATTACCCACGTCGATGGATGTAGAAATCATGAATGCAATGGTGGGCTATAGGTAGCATGGGTTGATTAGAATGGGTTGATTAGAGAGCGATGCATGGAACAACAAATGGAATCAGACATACTCCCGGAAAATTACTAGACATGTCCACAGCGGTCACCAGCTGATCCTGATCTACTTGAAATATAAGATGCTGCTTCTGCAAAAGAGAAAAGAAACACTGACAGGGAGGTACGAACCTGGCGGGCCATTTCTTGGTATAATTGAGGCCTGAAACTTCAGGCCCGACCACATATTCTCCGAATTGATTGGCATTCAGCCTCGGAGTGTAGCTCAATTCAGAGTTACGGACTAACCCACACTCCGCTCGGAAAGTAGTTGCATCTACAGTAGCGTTTCCAGTGGCGCCATCTGCTTGGATAATATCGTATAGTGTAGCACCATCAAGTCCCACATTCAACAAACTGGAGAATTGACTCAGAGAGGGAACAATGGCGCTAACGGTAGACCAATGAAGCCCCATCATGTCGACATTTGGACCAGGCCAATGAGAAACCGTTGTTGCCGACATATTTATGGTTGTGCTGAATGTTTGTGACTGCAATATGGATGATGAAGCCACATGAAGCGCAAATACACATGCCAGATACGTAGTGATAGACACGATCCACCACGACGATCCGGTAGTGCTTGACTGCTGCCAGAGACACTGCAGTGCAGAACCAAGGCCGCTCCATGCGTTAACATTGTCGTGGAGAATGGTCAATTGCTGATGCTGAATCAAGTTCCGGTAGAGTGTCAGGCGTTGTACCAGGTAAACAAGTATTGTGCAATACAGCTTTATGAGTCAAGATTAATGAAGTCTAGTGATTTGAACGAACAAGCAGACTCACCGCATAAAAGGCCTGTGTCGATGCGCCCAATACCGGAATCCACGCACCGTTCTCAGACGTGACAAGGTGGTGCTCGACGCCGGAAATGCTTAGCGCTATGAGAACAAGATGGAGAAGAACCAGAAATCCGTGCATGAACATGCACAGAAATGCTGATGCTGATTTTGTCGACTTGTACGGCTTTTGTTTGAACCGAAATGAATTCAATACATCTGTTGTTGTTGAGACGAGAGTCGGATGTGTATTGCTGTCGGACAGGCAACGACGCTGGGTGTTTGTTGGTGTTCGTTCATGTTCAGAAGAACTTGGAACGTTCCCGATTGGCTGCAATGCCATGGAGTCATGGTTGTCCTGTCGATCTGTCTTCACGTTAGGTAGCAGAGAAGAGAGCATGATCAAAGGGTAGACAGAGTAGCCTATTCGCATTGCTTTAAATGATGTGCCGTGTCCATCAGGATGTCAGTTCTCATTGCAGGTATGCTATGCTATGCAGATCTCGAGATGCTAGCCTACCGATGATGCACATGGTAATGATTAAATTTATCAGCGAGGCTGACTGATTTGAAGCCCAGAGTACGCGTACGTCCTTGGTCCTAGGATATCACTGATCAGCCTAGCTATAAAGGCTCCCTTCATCAAGGACAATCACACCGTCGTGCGAGAATAGGGTCACGACTCACATGCTTGGTACTCGACAACACGTCGAACACAGCCAATGATTAAGATCACTGCTTCTGCTGCGAGGGAATCACGGCGGATGCCTGCGGATGCTGCCGCAGCGCGGGCATTGAATTTGGAAACTCTAGGATCTATTAATATCATTGAGGCTAACGATCCACATTCCCACATTCCCACTGTACATCCTTCGTGGCGTCACGGTTGCGAAACTGGCAGTACTACAGTGCCTTGCATATAAAACTGCGTAGTCGCATTTCCACAAACCCTATTTGTACCTATTTGCTCGGGCCAAAACATACCGAAAATACCTGATTCTTGGTGTGACCAGTCACAGCCTCACTAACAGACTCGTGCCCTCGCTAGAAGGATTTCCATCCAGCGAGTGCCGCAATCTGCGAGCCAGTCATTGCATGCTCATAGCGCCAGGTGATGATGCACTCTCGAAGCTGTTGAGACAGGTGAGGAGGCATAATTTGATGTGACCAGTCACACCGACAGGGTATTTTCGGTATGATTTGGCCCGAGCAAATAGGTACAAATAGGGTTTGTGGAAATGCGACTACGCAGTTTTATATGCAAGGCACTGTAGTATCTCTACACAGTGCTCCGAAGTCGGACTCAGTGCCCGAGCTGTCTGGAATCATGAACAATCATGATGGCATGACATTGCGTGTGTCCATAATATGTGGCCAAGGTCGAAGGCAGTCGTCATAACCACTGGCAGAGCATATTTATCATAGCGCCAATAAATGATCCGCGAATGATGATCCAGATTTCCGCTTCAACACTCACTCTAATCATGGCTACTCGGGCGGCCCTCATCAGGCGTAATGGGCTATTAATGGTACTCCAATCCTGTGGCCCAGCACTTGAATGGTGAGTGGTTCGCACCATCCCACTCAGATCTCGGCAAGTTTTGTCCTCCCTATGCATAGGTTTGATGCACTGCACTTCCCTGGATCAGAAGTGGATGAAGTTCTGGTGGGACCTCTTCATGTGGACTCCTGTATGGAAATATGCCAACGCTCATTGCGATTCCCTCGTTGCTATGACGACTCCAACTTGAAGATCGGCCAGAGTCCGGCAGGAAACTTGAGGTATGTGAAACAGCGTCCTCGCTGGTCTCTTATAGCGGTGTGTATGGATATGTCCTTTCACACCCCATGTCGTCTTTCATGCTGCCTAACGTCTCTGCAAAGCCACAGCAAGATGATGGTGTCCTTTCGTTGCACCCCATAGGCACCCGCCGTATGCGTTCTATGGAGCTCGAGCAAGCACAAACACATGCTCCTTCAAGTTTGTCGGGTACTCTCACGCAGCATAGTATCAATTTCTCACACACACAAATGGTTGCAGATCACCAATTAGCTTCATCACCAGCGATCAAGCAGCGACAGAAATCAGGGAGGCCAGTGCTCGCCATTATATGCACCCTTCTGCACATCATTCTTGTGCTCCTCCATGTGATTATTCTTGCGCTCGACATTTCGGGTATCGAGCACCGTCTGGTCGTCCCAATAACATCTGGAAATGAGACTTGGGTGACTACACTGAGTGCATCATCACAGGCCTTTTATGCGGTAAGAACTCATACATATCTACTATATTTTTATGGACCAATGTGCCCTTCAGATTTACTGCGCGATACTCGTTTACCTGATGCAACGATTGACATTCCTGAAGAACGTGACACGACGCCAGACTGTAACCGTTCTTCACGATACAGTGAACGCATGGAGGGGCCTTGGTTCTGCGCTGGAGTGCCTTTGGCGGCAATCAACTGCCCTTGCATCAGAGTGGAGCATATTATCGATAACGGTCTATCTTGCATGTGTTTTTATTCTTCACGTGGTTTCATCGTCTATCATTCAATTGCAAACATTCAATGCCACTGTGGATGCGTCTGCTACGAAAATTTCTCACTGGCCTAGTCCAGACGTGGACATGATGGCAATCCAGTGGCAAACCGTCAGTGCATTGGCTCCTACGCTAGGCCGATTCACCGGTCTTCAGGACATGGGGCTCTATGGTGCCACTCTCTACGACATCGTCCAGCCTACCGATATATCCGGCCATGCCATCGTCAATGCGTCGTCTTTCAGGGCGAATTGCGGATTAATTCGCAATTCGATGGTGAACTATTCTCTTGAAATTAACGCTGACGACATCGGATACTATACACTCAACCCGCCCATCTCAACACCCAATTATACCATGAAATTTGGAGCTAGACTTGTGCATCCATGTATGTATTCTTTGCCTTCCTTGTCTTGGAATAGATTCATTCATCATCTATAACTAGACCCAGACCAGGTTACGATCAATCCTGCCATATCCTTGTTCTTTCCAGGAGTACAAGCCAATCTCCCTGGAATTTGGATGTCCCACTAAGTAACTGTATGTTATAGCCGACTGTTGCTTTCACAATCTCGACCGCTGTGAATTCGAGCAACCTACCCGACAATGAAACAATTCAACACGTATATTGGGAGTATCCTCCAGTGAGCTTCATAGGTATGGGGCTTTTCCACGCATGAATGTGAGCTGAATATGACTATAGGTAGTCCCCAGCCTCCCCTGATCTCCCACATGTACGACGTCCATATAGTGGCGTGCACTATTGATGTTCAACCCCATGTCGCAACTGTCGATGTCCAAACCAACCAACTACTGGGCCTTTACCCACCCCTTGGGCCTGTTCATTCCAGGGAATGGGAGGCATGGTCTGCGCTGGAGGAAGAACCCAGTTGGGACATTTGGTCACCGCCATCAACTAGCGCATTACATCACGGGACATGGGTAAGTTTCTGCCGCTGATGCGGACCGCTTGGAATCTAACTTTATGGTTTCCGGCACCTAATAGCTTGTTTCTCCTTTTGCAAGTGGGGCACATCATCCTGTTGGCTGGTGCATGAATCAGGACCGAGCATCATGTTATGGATTATCTCTTTTGGAAGTGTAATTCACGCACAGTTCGTAGTAATGTTCAGTCTTTACTAATCATTCTGCCAGATTTTTTATGCAGCAGATTGGAATAGATATCGACTTTCCCGCCCCAGCGGCATACCCAGGTTTCAGGATCCCGACCAAGGCTCCGCCAACTCCGAAGAAGGTTCTGTGCGGCCGTGACCAATTCGAGTCGGCTCTATCAAGGGCCTATGCTGCAGTTCTGTGGATAGGTATGTACAATTGATCTGTGCAGAAACAGTTGACTGACATACTGGGGTTCAAAGGCGGACAGCTCGGTGCCGACGGTGGTGGGTTCAATCGGACAATCGACACCACCACTATTTCACAGCAGCTTTTGCAATGGCACCTCGGTGTAAGCTCCAGAATCATTCAATAGTAAACTTCATCGCTGAGCATTATATCTTGCAGATAAACGTATGGCCCGTAAGAATTATGTTGCATGTGGAAATTATGTATCACTAACCAAACAATCTAGCTTGCGTTTGCGCTCACCTGCTCTCTGGCTATGTTGGCATTGTCAATGCGTGTGACACACTGGATGCATGGGCAAAACAATGCAATGCCTATCAATAGTGCTGGCGTTCTACAAATAATTTGGCTAACAAATCGCCTCCGTGTCCTAACTGACCTCATGAGCGATGTAGAAGATCCAGGAGAGGATATCCTTCGTGCCGCTGGGATGGTCGATGTGGACTTTCTGCAGGAGTTGAATGACGTGCAAGCCGTTGATTGTTAATAGCCGTCACTGTGGCCTTCCACCGGAGATGATGGGAAGCACGCCAACAAAATCCTGTTCATCTTGAACGTCAGCGACAGCCGACGCAGAGGCGCTTGTTGCCAGACAAAGAGATATGCGAAGTATGTACATATCTCCAACGTGTAAAGGACTACCGGAATGTCAATTCAACTGTAGAAATAGCCTGGTGCCCCCTGCTGCTACAAATATATGTACCTAATCAACCTCATCCGAGGGTGATGATCTCTGCAGCGTCTGCCTCTGTGACACTAAACCAGTGAAGCATTTTTTAATGGCCGATACCACGCAGCAGCACGTTGAGCGAAATGTTTGGGCAGTTATATATATTCTCGTATGCATTCTCATCTTCGTTCCCTGCATTGCCCAGGCTGTCAGGGGATTCGTGTAAACCAAAAGTAGGTTTATCGTTGTTTAAGTCGGTCTTGGGCTCTGAGCGATGAGAGGACTCGAAGATTACATGTGCTACATAGCAAGCTAGGAGACCGCACTCCGTGTCATTCTTCGTGTTATCGCTCGTAGTGCACAAGCCACAGCTGATATCACGATCAACCTAATCAGTCTGGCTGCCAGAATTTGATGCCTGCCTATTCATGCCTGTTTAGCTCTTGTAACAGATCTACTTCCAACATCCCAGCAGAACGGAGAGCATCTTCACTTGGATCGGCCACCTCACTCACGAGGTCTTTCAGCACGCGGAGACGGTTTGTCAGCCAGATGATCTGGAGAATACCGGCACTATCTATGGGTGTCCTGTTTTTCTGCCGACGTGTACCACCTAACATGCAGATCGAAAGGACCAGCATGGTCAACGAAGCGGTCAATGCAACTGCCAACTGCATCTCTTCAGTAAAGCCTTGTTTAGCCACTTTACAAGTGGGATCTTACAGGCCACGTGTTGATCTGAAAGGTAGGTCAGCGGAATTCAATGCTCTGTATGCTGAAGTACCTACGTTGAGATGCCATTTTGTAACCTGCTGAGAAACCACAGTGCTGCCTGGTGTTGGGTCAAAGCCACCAGCATTGGAACCGAGTTTTGCACCTGCATCGTGACGGTCTTTCAAGTCTGATACACATGAAAATAAAACAACGTACCCGTCCACAACAACGAAGCGAAGATCTTAGCGAGACTAGATTCGAATTGGCGAGGACTACAGAGAACCTTCTTCGGACCAGATGGAGGCGGTGGCCTGGAGCCTTGCTCGTCCAACACCACGTTTAAACCGATTTCCTTCATCAAATACCTGAGAACCGAGGTATCAGCAGTGTAGAAAGCCCTCAGCCTGGGTGCCTTACAGCTCGAGGAGAGAATATCCATAGCACGTTGCTTGACTTTCAGTCATACAAATCTTTACGGGGTGCGTAGCTCCATAGCTGAATGGAGATACAAACTTTGACGCAGTCAGCAGCGAAGGTCACAATCGGTAATAAAGATTTGCTGACCCATTTTTTATGATTGTGATCATACTGACCTGTTCCTGGCGGCGACCAGATATCCCAACTCTTGTCTCCCTTGGGTGCTGTCCATGCCTTCCAGCTTGAAGGGGGAGATAGAGCCGGGGGCGGGAAGAGTGCCAGTAATTGACCTGTTTCTATATTGACTATCGCCGCATGGCGTTCAACATATATATTGCAAGCTACTAAGTGAGCATCAAGTGCAGTTGAGATGATTGGAGCTTGGGGACTGTCTGTCGTGACCATTAGCAAACAGAGCTAGGTGGTAGCATGAACACATACCGAATAGCGGGACTTGTTGATGTTCCCAGTTCATATGCTGTACGGTTGCTGATTTCAGGGTGTCATCGATGTCAACGGACGTGGCAGTTATGAACACAATAGTGGGCTAAAGGTAGCATGGGTCGATCAGAGAACAATGGATAAGCAAACAAAAATAGAACATACCCCAGGAAAAAGGAGAGACATGGAAGATTGGACTTTCAATTGATCTTGATCTACTGAAATGTAAGACATAGCTTCTGCAGGAGGCAAAGGAAACACCGACAGGGAGGTACTAGCCTGGCCGACCATTTCATGGTCTGATTGAGGCCTGAAACCTGAGGCTCGATCACATAGTCGCCAAATTGATTGGCATTCAGCTGTGGGCTGTAGCTCAACTCAGAATTACGGAGTAACCCACACTCCGCTCGGAAATTAGTTGCGTCCACCGTAGCGTTTCCTGTGGCGCCATCTGCTTGAACAATGTCATACAGTGTGGCACCATCAAGTCCCGCGTTCGACGAACTGGCAAAATGACCCAGAGAGGGAACAATGGCACTGATGGTATGCCACTGAAGCCCCATCATGTCCACATTTAGACCAGGCCAATGAGAGAACGTAGTCGCCGACACGTTGGTGGTTGCGCTGAATGTTTGCAGCTGCAATATGGATGATGAAGCCACATGAAGCGCAAATACACATCCCAGGTAGGTGGTGATAGACACGATCCACCATAACGATCCAGTGGTGCTTGGTTGCTGCCAGAGACACTGCAATGCAGAACCAAGGCCACTCCATGCGTTAACATTGTCGTGGAGAATAGTCAATTTTTGATGTTGAATCAAGTTCTGATAGAGTGTCCGGCGTTGCACTAGGTAAACAAGGATCGTACAATACAGCTTTATGACTCGTCAAGGTCAATGAAGTCTAATTTGAATGAACAAGCAGCCTCACCGCATAAAAGGCCTGTGTTGATGCGCTCAATACCGGATTCCTCGCACCATTCTCAGATGTGACAAGGTGGTGCTCGACGCCGGAAATGCTTAGCGCCACGAGAACAAGATGGAGAAGAACCAGAAATACGTGCATAAACACGCACAGAAATACTGATCCTGATTTTGTCGACTTGGACGGCCTTTGCATGAATAGACATGAATTCAAGAAATCTGTGGTTGCTGAGACGAGAGTCGGACGTGTAGTGCTGTGGGACAGGAAACGACGCTGGGTGTTTGTTGGTGTTCGTTCACGTTCAGAAGAACTCGGAACATTCCCAATTGGCTGCAATGCCATGGAGTCATGGTTGTCCTGTCGCTCTGTGTTCACGTTAGGTAGCAGAGAAGAGAGCATGATCAAAGGGTAGACAAAGTAGCCTATTCACATTGCTTTAAATGATGTGTCATGTCCATGTCAGTTCCCATTGCAAGTACTATATGCTATGCTATGCAGATCCCGAGATGCTGGCATCGATCATGTACATGGCTGTAATGATTAAATTTATCTTGAAGGACGATTACACACTACGAGAATAGGATCACGACTCACATGCTTGCCAGTACTTGAAAATACGTCGAACTAGCCACCGAGATCACTGCTTATAATAAACTTGCTGCGAGGGAGTCACGGTGGCCGTGCCAGTGTCAGCGTGGGGCGGGCATTGAATATTGAGTTTGGAAACTCGCCTAACCTTGACTAGCACCACATTCCCACTGTGCATCGTGGCGTCACGGTTGCGAAGCTGGTACTACCTGACACTGGCAGTACTCTCTGCATAGTACTTACTCCGAAGTGGGACTCAGTGCCCGAGCTATCTGGAATCATGATCTATCATGATGCGCGACATTGCGTGTGTCCATAATATGTGGCCAAGGTTGAAGACAGTTATATAACCACTGGCAGAGCATATTTATAGCGCCAATTAATCCGAGTCAATGATCTGCGAATGATGATCCAGATTTTCCGCTCCAACATTCACTCTAATCATGGCTACTCGGGCGGCCCTCATCAGGCGTAATGGGCTATTAATGGTATTCCAATCCTGTGGCCCAGCACTTGAATGGTGAGTGGTTCGCACCATCCCACTCAGATCTCGGCAAGTTTTGTCCTCCCCACTGGCATGCATAGGTTTGATGCACTGCACTTCCCTGGATCGGAAGTCGACGAAGTTCTGGTGGGACTTCTTCATGTGGACTCCTGTATAGAAAGATGCCAATGCCCGTTGCAATTCCCTGAGCCCCCACTGCTATGACGACTCCAAGATCGGCCAGAGTGCGGCAGGAAACTTGAGGTATGTGAAACAGCATGCTGGCTGGTCTCTTATAGCGGTATGTATGCGTATGTCCTTTCACACCCCATGTCCTCTTTCACACTGCCTAACGTCTCCGCAAAGCTACAGCAAGATAACGGTGTCATTCCATTGCACCCCATAGGCACCCGTCATACGTGTTCGATGGAGCTCGAGCAAGTACAGATACGTGCTGCTTCAAGCTTGTCAGGTACTCTCATGCAGCATACTATCAATTTTTATCTCACGCAAATGGTTGCAGATCACCGATTAACGTCATCACCAGCTATGAAGCAGCGGAAGGAATCAGGGAAGCCAGTGCTTGCCGTTCTATGCACCCTTCTGCACATCATTCTTGTGCTCCTCCATGTGATTATTCTTGCGCTCGAAATTTCGGGTATTGAGCACCATCTGGTCGTCCCAATAACATCTGGAAATGAGACTTGGGTGACTACACTGAGTGCATCATCACAGGCCTTTTATGCGGTAAGAACTCATAACATATCTACTATATTTTCATGGACCAATGTGCCCTTCAGATTTACTGCACGATACTCGTTTACCTGATGCAACGATTGACATTCCTTAAGAACGTGACGCAACGCCAGACTGTAACCGTTCTTCACGATACAGTGAAAGCCTGGAGGGGCCTTGGTTCGGCGCTGGAGTGTCTTTGGCGGCAATCGACTGTCCTTGCATCATGGTGGAGCATATTATCGATAACGGTCTATCTTGCATGTGTTTTTACCCTTCACGTGGTTTCGTCGTCCATCATTCAATTGCAAACTTTCAACGCGACCGTGGACGTGTCTGCTACGAAATTTTCTTACTGGCCTAGTCCAGATGTAGATATGGTGGCAATCCAGTGGGAAACCATCAGTGCATTGGTTCCTACGCTAGGCCAATTCACCGGTCTTCAGGACACGGGGCTCTATGGTGCCACTCTGTACGACATCGTCCAGCCTACCTATATATCTGGCCATGCCATCGTCAATGCGTCATCTTTCATGGCGAATTGCGGATTAGTTCGCAATTCGATGGTGAACTATTCTCTTGAAATTAACGCTGACGACATCGAATACTATACACTCAACCCGCCTATCTCAACGGTCAATCATACCATGAAATTTGGAGCCGGACTTGTGCATCCATGTATGTATTCTTTTCCTGCCTTGTCTTGGAATATATTCATTCATCATTTATGACTAGACCCAGACCAGGTTACGATAAATCCTGCCATCTCCTTGTTGTTTCCAGGAGTACAAGCCAATCTCCCTGGAATTTGGATGTCTTGCTAAGTAACTGTATGTTATAGCCGACTGTTGCTTTCACAATCTCGACCGCTGTGAATTCGAGCAACCTACCCGACAATGAAACAATTCAACACGTATACTGGAAGTATCCTCCAATCCGCTTTATAGGTATGGGGCTCTGCCATGCATGAATGTGAGCTGACCATGACTATAGGTAGTCCCCAGCCTCCCCTGATCTCCCACATGTACGACGTCCATATAGTGGCGTGCACTATTGATGTTCAACCCCGTGTCGCAACTGTCGATGTCCAAACAAACCAACTACTAGGCCTTTACCCACCCCTTGGGCCTGTTCATTCCAGGGAATGGGAGGCATGGTCTGCGCTGGAGGAAGAACCCAGTTGGGACATTTGGTCACCGCCATCAACTGGTGCATTACATCACGAGACATGGGTAAGTTTTGGCCGTTGATAGGACCGCCCGAGATCTAACCTTATGGTTTCCGGCACCTAATAGCTTGTTTCTCCTTTCGCAAGCGGGGCACATCATCCTGTTGGCTGGTGCATGAATCAGGACCGAGCATCATGTTATGGATTATCTCTTTTGGAAGTGTAATTCATGCACGGTTCGTAGTAATGTTCAGTCCTTACTAATCATTTTGCCAGATTTTTTATGCAGCAGATTGGAATAGATGTCGACTTCTCCGGCGCAAGGGGATACGCAGGCTTCATGATCAAGGCTGGGGCCCCGCCAATTCCGGAGAAGGTTCTGTGTAGCCGTGACCAATTTGAGACGGCTCTATCAAGGGCCTATGCTGCAGTTCTGTGGACAGGTATATACAATTGATCTGTGCAGAAGTAGACTGACATACTGAGGCTAAAAGGCGGACAGCTCGGCGCCGACGGTGGTGGATTCAATCGGACAATCGACACCACCACTATTTCACAGCAGCTTCTGCAATGGCACCTCGGTGTAAGCTCTAGAATCATTCAATAGTAAACTTCATCGCTGAGCATTATATCATCCAGATAAACGTATGGCCCGTAAGAATTATGTTGCATGTGGAAATTATGTATCACTAACCAAACGATCTAGCTTGCGTTTGCGCTCATCTGCTCTCTGGCTATGTTGGCGTTGTCAATGCGCGTGACACACGGGATGCATGGGCAAAACAATACAACACCTATCAATAGCACTGGCGTTCTACAAATAATTTGGCTAACAAATCGCCTCCGTGTCCTAACTGACCTCATGAGCGATGTAGAAGATCCAGGAGAGGATATCCTTCGTGCCGCTGGGATGGTTGATGTGGACTTTCTGCAGGAGTTGAATGACGTGCAAGCCGTTGATTGTTAATAGCCGTCACCGTGGCCTTCCACCGGAGACGATGGGAAGCGCGCCAACAAAATCCTGTTCGTCTTGAACGTCATCGACAGCCGAAGCAGAGGCGCTTGTCACCAAACAAAGAAATATGCGAAGTATGTACATCAATTCAGCTGTAGAAATAGCCTAGTGTCCACTGCTGCTACAAATATATGTAGCTGATCAACCTCATCCGAGGGTGATGATATCTGCAGCGTCTGCCTCTGTGACACTAAACCAAAGAAGCATTTTTCAATGGCAGACACCACGCAGCACGTTGAGCGAAAAGTTGGGCAGCTATATACATCCTCGTGTGCATTCTCGTCTTCATTCCCTGCGTTGCCCAGGCTGCCAGGGGATTCGCGTAAACCAAATATGAAAGTTGTTGTTTAAGTCGGTCTTGAGCAATGAGTGATGAGAGGACTCGAAGATGCCTCAGTGGGGTTTGTGCTCGAGGTTCTTGGGGTGGAGCGTGAACTCAAATTTCTGCCCGTTTGTATAGGACTCGAGCAAGCTCCAAGCTGACGCATTGGCCGCCGAGGAGGGGAAGGTCCTGCAGAGGCCAAACACAGTGATACAGAACACCAAGACGCGAGCCTGTCCTCGGGAACAGGCGACAAGTACAACCATCCACTTCATCCAAACGATCGAATGAATACCCCAAAGCTTGGTGCGATTCACTTCCAGTCAATTATCCCGGCGAACAATACACGCCTGTAAGAGCTTCCGGAACTTCCATTACATGCTACATAGCGAGCTAGGAGGATGCCCTCCGAGTCATTCTTCGCAGTGCATTTTTCCCTGAATGCAACCAACCAACCACAGCCATCACGACCAACCTGGTCAGACTGGCTGCCAAGAATTCGATACATACCTAGCAACAATACCGATTTCTGCCCGTGTAGCTCTTGCAACAGAATCCACTTGCAACATCCCAGCACAACGAAGACCATCTTCACTTGGATCATCCACCTCACTCATGAGGTCTTTCGGCACGCAGAGACAGTTTGTCAGCTAGATAATCTGGAGGACGCCAGCATGGGCACGAGTACGAGTGGATTGTGATTGTGGAGGAGATCTTTGTTGGAACAACCGCCGTGTTGTTTATGTTTGTTTACGCGTTTTAAATACACTTTTGTATTGCTTTGCTTGAGCCTTTGCTTTGACAGTGATGCTTGATTCGCAGAGGGGAAGGCTATTGTGTTTTGTGGATCCTGTGGCCAGCGCAGTCCACCTGTGGATGGATGACATGGGTATAAATGTGCAGGACTCGGTTGGGCTCCTCGCTGTTATACTATTCGAAAGTCAATGGTGAGCATTCCTCTTCCTTTCTCTTCTCCCCGCTGACAAGTTGTGTAGCCTAGATCTACCGCACCCCCGCACGTGAGCCTGCACCTCCCTCCTGGCCTCTCGTCCTTCGAAGATGTTTGCGCCGAGTCGGATGCCACCAACAGTGCTACTGACTCAGACGAACTTGAAGAGCACACACTCACTGCTTTCGGTGATGTCTCCCTCACCGAAGTACAAATGCTTGGCTCAGCTACAAACGACATTCGTCGCATGAATCGATTGCGTTTGAAGGTGAAGCGCCCGCCGTTCCCTAAGGATAAGCGCACGAGCGTCCAATACAGTCCGAAGGTGCGCATTGTTTTGCATAGGTACTCGCACTCTTCTTAACGCCACATGACAGAATCCTGGTGGGAGATTATTTGACTCGTCACCAGCTCAGTCTCCTCTATCACCTTCCTTGTTTTTGGACGCATTGAGAAACTCCCTGCGATCGGGCAAGCGACGTGCACATGTAGACGCTGTCGATGTAGAAACGCAACTTCGCACAGCTGACTCCCGAGAGTCCACCTCCAGGAGCTCGAGTGATTCATACGGTTACAAACCTGGGCAGTCAGTGATTGTCAAGGACGTTTTTTCCGTTGCCGAGGTTCCTGAACCGGTCAAGGGTTGGAGGAAATTACCCCCCAGGCTGCCAATCCCGAAGTGGGATGTCGATAATTGAGTCGCACTGCATTTTTTTCACCAATGTAGAATTACTATGTGCTGTATAATTGTTTCAATACATACCCTTGGGATAACGTTCAAACGTTCATGCACATGAACCATGTGTGAAGCGAATGTCATACTTACATAATCGGCTGACCTGCTCCTCCTCACACGCCTCCACACTGCCGCCAATACTTAAGTTTCAAGTACTTATTCCCCACTCATTAGATACCCACAGTCGCATTTCCAACGGACCAGAACCAAGAAAATGCGGTCCCCAGGCTTCCCAGGGACCCTCCTACTCCTACTCTTCCTCCCAACAGCCCTCGCCTTCAAAGCACCCGACTTCAAAACCTGCTCCCAGTCCGGTTTCTGTCGCAGAGGACGCGCTCTCTCTGCACGCGCCCAAGAATCCTCATCATCATGGCACTCCCCGTACTCCATCGATCCCCCCGAATTTCTTGCGCTCACGCCTCGCTCACCAGGATTCACCACAAATGTCCACTCGTCCATTCATCCTAACGTCAAATTCGTGCTTGATGTCATTATACACGAGGACGGTGTCGTGCGTGTGCGAATGGACGAAGTGGATGGGCTGAGGAAACGGTATGACGAAGCTGCTCAGTGGGCGCTCGTCGGAGAACCTTTGCTGAGTAGTGATGTCCACTGGAAGGTGGACGCGAAAAAAGCCAAAGCTGTTTTTGGACCGAAGAAGGATATGGAGCTCGTTGTTGACTTTAACCCTCTCAAGATCACGCTTTTCCGGGGTGGCGAAGAACAGGTCGTATTGAACGGGCGTGGGTTATTGCACATGGAGCATTTCAGAACCAAGGAGGATTCTAAGCCAGCGGAACATATCGAAGGCGAGGGACAATCTGTCCTCCAAGTCAACCCTGCAGCATGGTTCGAAGGCGATGCCCAAGACGCCTTCTGGGACGAAACCTTCTCCACATGGACAGACACCAAACCCAAAGGTACGTCCCACACTTACCGTCAACACTGAGACTACTACCCACAACGCCCACAGGCCCTGAATCCCTTTCCCTCGACATAACCTTCCCCAACCATGCCCACGTCTACGGGATCACCCAACACGCCACAAACCTCTCCCTTCCAAGCACAACAGGTCCCACCGCAAAATACACAGACCCTTTCCGTCTCTACAACGCAGACGTCTTTGAGTACCTTGAAGATTCACCCGTTTCTCTCTATGGCTCAATTCCGCTCATGCATGCGCATTCTGCAACGTCGACGGTGGCTGTTTTCAATGCGCTTGCGTCAGAGACGTGGATCGATATCGCTCATGTGGAGAAGGGGGTGGAGACGCATTGGATATCTGAATCTGGGATCCTAGACGTATTCTTGCTCCCAGGCCCAACTCCCAAAGATGTATTCACACAATACGCACACCTAACAGGAACAGCACCCCTCCCAGCCCATTGGTCCCTCGGGTATCACCAGTGCCGATGGAACTACGTCAGTTCAGACGACATTCGCGGTGTGCAGAATAGGTTCGACGAGGACGATTTCCCTGTGGATGTGTTTTGGTTGGATATCGAGTATGCGGAAGACCATAGGTATTTTATGTGGAATAAGAAGACGTTTCCCGATCCGGTGGAGATGACTAGGGATGTGGAGGCTGTTGAGCGGAAGGTCCGTTTCGTTTATCCTTTCTTTTCTTCGTTTTAATGGGCCTCGCGCTCACGTTTATACACGAAACAGATGGTAGTCATCATCGATCCCCACTTAAAACGTGCCAACGACTACCCGGTATACAAACGCGCATCAGAACTAGGAGTCCTCGTTAAACCAAAGAGCGGCGAGGGCGAATACGAAGGATGGTGTTGGCCTGGCTCCTCCTCTTGGATCGACTTTTTCCATCCTGGTTCTTGGGACTTTTGGATTTCGTTGTTCAAGACGAAGACTATTGATGGTCAGTGGAGTTGGACGGAGAGTACTGATAACGTAGGTATTTGGAACGATATGAATGAGGTACGTTTTTCTTTGATGTACATGGCAGAATAGCTCGCTTATTTATTGGAAACAACCAAAATCTTTCACTAGCCGTCTGTGTTTAACGGACCGGAAATCACGATGCCGAAAGATAACGTCCATTACGGCGGTTGGGAGCACCGAGATGTGCATAACATCAACGGGATGCTCTTCGTACGTCTTTCATCATATTTTTGAGTCTGTCAGTTAAGTTTTCGACTGATAATAATCGCCTACAGGCGAACCACACATTCCAAGCAGCCGAAGCGCGTACAGACCCCCCACGACGCCCATTCGTCCTCACCCGTGCCTTTTACGCCGGCTCTCAGCGTTTCGGCGCGATGTGGACGGGCGATAATCTTGGTACGTGGGAGCATATGGCGGTGGGGATTAAGATGGTGCTTGCGAATGGGGTTGGGGGGATGCCTTTTGCTGGGTGTAAGTCTTACCTTCCTCCTACTCATACTTCTCACACCGCTCTTCTTCCCCCTCACCTCATCTTCCCCCTCATATCTAATCATCTACCCACCCATAGCCGACGTTGGCGGCTTCTTCGGAAACCCCGAACCAGAAATGTTAGTGCGCTGGTACGTAGTGGGCGCATTCTCACCTTTCTTCCGCGCACATGCGCATATCGATACGAAGCGCCGAGAACCGTACCTTCTTGATGAGCCATACAAGAGTTTGGTTAGGGATATATTGAGGTTGAGGTATTCGATGCTTCCTGTGTGGTATACTGCGTTTAGGGAGACGAGTGAGAGTGGGGTTCCTATTCTGAGGTGCGTTTTTTTCCTTTGCTTCCCGTGTTTCGTTGTTTCCCTTCCTTTGTTTTGTTTTGTTCGGTGGGAGTTTGGAGCGATGATGTGATTGATGGGTGTGGTTCGCAGGCCTCAATACATGATGTTCCCTGAAGACGAAGCTGGGTTTGGGATCGATGATCAGTATTATGTTGGGTCGTCGGGGTTGCTTGTTAAACCTGTCACGCAGAAGGGGGTAAAGGAGGTTTCGGTATATATTGCTGAGGATCAGGTACGTTCATCTCTTCTCTCGCCTTTCCTTTTTTCCTTTCTCCCCAGTCCCTCATACTCACATACGCTACCACACAGGTCTACTATGACTACTTCACCAACCATGCCCACCGCCCCAAGAACCGACACATAACCCTCCCCGCAAACCTCGACCAAATCCCCCTCCTCATCCGCGGAGGCTCCATCATCTCAACACGCGAACGCCCTCGCCGTTCCTCGCCATTAATGAAACACGACCCGTTCACGCTACGCATCGCGCTCGATAATACCGGGAATGCGCGCGGGGAGGTTTATCTTGATGATGGTGAGACGTATGGGTATGGGAGGGGGGATGTTGTTTGGCGTGGGTTTGGTGCGGAGAGCGTGAAAGGAAAGGGCAAGGGGATTGGGATGGTACGCATCTCGTCTGTCGATCTCGCAGCGGCAGGAACGGAAGTGGGCGCGTACAACCCTGGGAATGAGTTCGCACGCAGTGTGGGGGATGTGAGAGTGGAAAAGCTCGTCGTGCTAGGACTCAGGAAGAAGCCTTCGAGTGTGGCTTTGGAAAGCGGGAGGGAGCTTGAGTGGGAGTATGCCTTGGAGGGTGAGGCGGGGGTGTTAGTCGTTAAAGATCCTGCGGTGCGCGTGGTGGATGATTGGGCCGTCGTTGTGAAGTTGGAGTGAGATACCATACCGTCATTATTTGAATTGTGCTGTGCGTTATCATTGGTGTAATTCACGCACAATTTATGGTAGTGCTCGGTCCTTGCTAATCATCGTTTCAGTATTTGTATGCGGCGGATTGGACTACATTTCATCTCGCCCGACCAGTAGTTTTATATCCTAGCCATAGTCGGAGCTTCGCTATTGAATATTGAAGTCTGATGGAGATTTCTTTGTAGCCGCAACCGATTTGAATACACATATACATCGGGAATATAATAAGCACTTAGTGTTGCTGGCTTCACGGTTAAAAAATAAAGAAGGAACAACCGTGAAGCCAGCCCAGTAGTACTAGCTAGTTATAAGTAACAAATTAAAAGTTTTGGCCATGTCCAAGTATACGATAAGTAAGACAAGTAATTGCGAGTAAGTTACGTATACACACTAATCAGTCTGACACCCGCGCCAGTGGGCCCTCGCATCCACATGCCCAAAGCTTCTCGCAATCGAGACAAAGTGTACACAACTGTTGAGAACAGGACACTGGTAGGAAAATATATGGAATAAATCCCACTCCAGTCTCCACAAACGTTTTTATTTCTTGGTGCGTCCAAGGCTCCGGCAGCAGAGAAGCGGGGAGCGTGACCAGCTTCACCCAGGTCTCCTTTGCGCTAGACGCAGATTCAGCGACCGGGGATTCGATGTGCGGCATGGCCAGCGAGAATGTTTTTAATTTCTTGAAAGGAGCCCGCGCCATCCAGAAAGGCATCATGTAGGGTTCAGAATCTCGAGATTTAATTACGCTAATACAGCGGCCCTGGAAGTGCATAGATTTTTCGGAGGGTGTGCAAGAGAGTAGGGTGAGGTGTTGAATGGAAGCAAGGAAAGTATATCCATGGACCGTCCCAATGAAGGGCCACCATTGGCGAGAGGGACAGCCTGATAGCGTCAAACTTTTGGTGCTCCAAGGAAGCAGGGAACTTCTGTGGTCGACATTGACATTCAAGTCAATATCGGAGTTCCACGCATGTTCGAGGCAACCTAAAAGAACGTCCAGACTTGCAAAGTCGAGCGAGAGGGACGGTGTGGCCAGTAGCACCGGGGCTAGTAGGCTGACATCTAATTCCGAACCCGGCTCGCTGCGAATGGAGGGAGCATTTGGGATTCGGAGAAGCCCCCCAAACTCTCCGATCCACATCCTGTGCACGCGAGATGCGTAATCAAGAGATAGATCATGCTGTTGTTGCTCAGCGTATGTTTTCTGCATACGTAGAGCCTGTACGAAAGCTGTCACATGGCGAGATTCTGCCAATAATACTGTGTGCAGAATTTCTGGGAGCACACAGCGCCTGGCAATTTTGCAGACGCAAGAAAGCGAAAGGGCAAGTGAGTATGGGTTGTTGGTAGCGAAAGTGGCAGGTTGAGCGAAAGTTGGTTGTGCGGCGTGGGTGAAGACGAGGATGGCAATGTCAGTTGGAAGTTCGCTAAATCTGAATGAGATTTGAGAAGGAGGTTCCATGACGGGCAAGTAAGTGGCGAAGCTGGTTTGAAGCCTTTAATACTCGCCTCACGAATTGTGGCATCATCCACAGTAGCGGAGTCGCATTGTGTGCTGCCACAAATTGAAATTGTGATCTGTGACTAGTCTATAGCAGAGTTGTTGTTCCTTTTTAGTCGAACAGTGCTGACTTTGTGGGCGCTGAAAATGACCGGTTATTCTTTACTAGAGATTATCATAGGAATAATGCGAATGTGGCGCGAACCGTACTAAGTTAGGTGGGACAACGTTTGATCGGCGCGGTGATCAATGTAAATTTCCGATACCCGCATTTAATTGCCTTCAAGGGAATGTCCGGACGTCTTTGTTCGCGAACACACAGCGAAGACACCAGAGTGGGGATAGCATTGATGATGATTTATTTGCCTCGTCTGTAAGCTCCGCGAGGTCATTCAAGCGATTTCAGGAATGACACAAGCCTCAGAGCTTCTGGTTGGCTTTGGGTCCTGAGTTGACCGCCATAAAGGAAGTAATGTCCAAGTTGTTAACCGTGATAACAAGGTCGAGTTAGATGTTTGATTCAGGCAGTAACTCGTGCGAGAGAAACTACGCCAGGCTATGGAGCGGAGTGCTTGAATCTTCGATGTAGTTTGCTATCAGCATGACAGTCTCGTTGACGAGCACAAGGTTCCAGTTGAGCATCATCTCTAAATGGTTGTTTCCATTGAGCGCTCTCATCATGATGCAAAGAGAGAAACACGTCACCATACGACTGGTAAGTACTGAAGCAGGACCCCGCCATTTGCCTGTGCATATATCCATAAGATCATCGGTTTCGAACGAGGGAGTGCCAGTGTATCTAACTTCCCGCCATTCAATTCGTACATCGGCGGTAAGTTTGATGGGGGAATCTGAAATGCCCCCATTTCATAGCTTCTGCAATGGCATCTTGGTGTATGTTATCCTTGAGCATTGTAACATCCAGATAAACATCTAGCCGATACTAATTCTGTTGCATATCAGTTTTATGTGTCACTATAATTACTAACCAAAAGATCTAGCTTGCATTTGCGCTCACCTGCTCTCTGGTTATGTACAGCGCACTGAACGAAGACGGGGGCCTGCTACGATGTCATGTTGGTAGTACTTCCGCTTAAAACTCTTTTTGGGCAGCGCTCCATTTCTCGATGATGTAATGGAACAATTGGGAGACTCGTTGTAGGGTTAGGGTTTACCTTCATTTTTCGGACATTTTTGGTCGACACGGAGTCCTAGCTTCATGGTGGTTGGTCCAATCGTCACGAGGCCAGTCTGCCCGCATTTCTTCAAGTTATCTCAAAGTCGCTATTTCTCTACTTGTCATGTCTTCCAATCTTCGAAGAACGCCAGCACAGACCCCAAGGCCTATTCGAAGACTCTTCTCTTGCCAAAGACTTCATTTCCGCTCTGGGTAGACTCAGCAAAGTCCGAGTCGTTATATAAAAGCAAGAGTTGCGAAGAACTGTATCGATGGCAGGTGCGTTTCTCAAATTTGACAATGCTTCTTGTTAGACGCAGCAGTATGTAGACTCAGAATGTGCACGGACCACTCTTTGTTCTGCTCGACGGCCCTCCCTACGCGAACGGTCACCTTCACATTGGTATGTGCGGAGCAATATACGCAAAACCGCAATACCAACATCTTATTATTTCCAGGACACGCTTTAAATAAGATTATAAAAGACATCATCAATAGGTACCAAGTCTTGATAGGTCATCGAGTACAGTGAGTTCCTCCTTCCTATGGTTGATTAATATCGCTCATCCATCGAAGCTACCACCCTGGCTGGGATTGCCATGGTTTACCTATTGAAAATAAAGCTCTACAGGAGTTAAAGGCGCGTGGTTCTTTCCTCTAGCGATCTCGCGTGGAATAAATATGAAATTTAGGAGGATGCTCTTTCGTTACCCCCCAATGTCATTCGCGCAGCAGCAAAAGCAACGGCAGAACGCGAAATGAAGACGCAGCAAGATGAATTTGAGCGGTTTTGCATAATGGCCGATTGGAGCCCAAAAACGACCTTCCGCACACTTGGTACGACTTGAGACAGATTTATGGCTACTTTTGGCTTACACACCTCTTCCTGAAGACCATGACTATGAAATTCGTCAGCTTCAGGTATTTCAACGAATGGTCGAGCAAGGTACGCGTTTTCTTGTCTCCTGTCATCCAAGTTTATTTTTTATTTCATATACCACGTAGGTCTTATTTACCGGCACTACCGACCAGTTCATTACTCTCCCTCGTCGCATTCCGCTCTCGCTGAAGCGGAGCTCGTATATAATGATGAACATGTCTCGCATTCAGTCTATGTGACCTTTCCGTTGGACTCGCATGCTGAGATTGCGAGCACTGCTCTCCGAGAAGTCTTGAATGAGGAACCTTCGGCAAGTTTGTTAGTATGGACCACTACACCTTGGACTCTAACAGCAAACATGGTATGTATGCGTTTTTCTCAATTTTGGCATCCTCACAGTGTCCTTCGTTAGGGCATCGCTGTTCATCCTGAATTGACTTACAGTTTCGTGCGCTCATCTATCAAGGAGGATGCCCTCGTTGTTGCTAAAGATCGTCTTGTCGCGCTGGAGCACATCATCGGGCCCTACGAGGTTATTGCTGAAATCAAGGGTGCTGACCTGGTGGGCGCGCAATTCCGATCCGTCTTCTCTCCGATCCATCAGTCGGGCTCAACAAACGCAAAGATCATTGCGGCGTCTCATGTCACATCGGAGTCTGGATCTGGTCTTGTGCACTGTGCCCCTGCACATGGCGCAGAAGATTACCTGGCGTTCCGAGCGCTTGGTCTTCTGCAAGGCTCCACAGATATCGTTTGTCACGTCGATGACGCAGGTAAATTTTCTCCTGACGTTGCTCATGTTGTAGGGGAAGAAGCTGCGCAAACACTGGTGGGACAAGAGGTACTCAAGGGTGGAAGTAAGGGTATCGTCAAACTGCTAGAATCCACTGGGTCCCTTGTGAAAGTGCAGAGGATCAAGCATCGCTATCCGTATGATTGGAAGACTGGCGAACCTATCATAGTAACGTGAGTTGCGCCTGGTAAGATGTGTTCACCTCGGTACTTACATAGTCTAACAGGGCCACCTCGCAATGGTTTGCCAACCTGGATGGCATCAAGGACGATGCGCTTAACGCACTGAAGGATGTACAATTTTATCCACCTTCGTGTATGTTCCCCTTCTGTCCTTGGGATTATATGCTGAGTTTGTTTGATTACAGCTCGCAATCGACTGGAGTCATTTATTCGCTCACGTTCCGAATGGTGCATTTCTCGCCAGCGAGTGTGGGGTGTCCCGATCCCAGCCCTATACCACACACCAACGGATACCGCCGTCCTTTCATCCGAATCCCTCACTCACATTTTACGTGTTCTGTCTGACCGAGGTGTGACTCATTGGTGGGAAGGTCCGGTCGAAGACTTCCTTACCCCAGAACTACTCGCCAATTTCGAAGGTGGGCCTGAGGCTTGGCGCAAAGGCACGGACACAATGGATGTTTGGTTTGATAGCGGGTCGAATTGGAGTACGTTGAGTGCTCCAACGGGCGGGAGAAAACATCGGGCGGACGTTTGCCTCGAGGGCACAGACCAACATCGCGGGTGGTTCCAGAGCCAGTTGTTAACCTCAGTGGGCGTTAGCATCGGACAAAGTGCTGCAAGGCCGGTGAGCCCGTACGGAACGCTGATTACGCATGGTATGGTACTTGATGAAGCGGGTAAGAAGATGAGTAAATCTCTCGGCAATATCGTCAGCCCCATGACCATCATTCACGGTGGCAAGGTCAGTTATCACCCATTTTGTGCATATTATTCGCCGAAGTTTGCGGTTGACAGGATAAGAAGAAAGAACCTGCGTACGGTGCTGATATCCTCCGCTTATGGGTGGCCACCGTCGAGTACTGGCGGGATATGTCCATTGGACCTACGGTTCTTGCACAGTGTGCGGAATCTATGAGGAGGATCCGTAATTCTGCTCGGTTTATTCTTGGCAATATTGGTACAACTTCCAAGCGAAAGCACTTTGTTCCGGTTGAACACAGCGAACTGGGCTTGGTTAGTCCACTTATTCAATCGATTTCTAATGACGAATCTGATTGTTTGTGACAGGCGGAGCGCTTTGTAATGAACGAGCTTTACAAGCTTGATCAAACTGCCGCAGAGGGATACGCAAACTACAATTTCCCAAAAGGTGAGAGGTCATCATGTTCATGGAATTTGAAAGTTTATGCTCTTCAACAGTTATGAATTCCTTGACCAACTTTGCAAACATCACGTTATCATCACTCTACTTTGACATCACGAAGGACTGCCTCTATGCCAATGACACTCAAAGTGTCGAAAGACGGGCGGTTGTGACTACCCTTGCCAAAGTGCGCGTTGTTCGGTGAGAATATACGGTTGACTTATGTTCCTACCAGGTCCTCGACTCTATGATCTCCGTAATGGCCCCAGTGCTCCCTTATCTGGCAGAAGAAATCCACAGTACTCTTCACGAAGGTGATGAAGCTGTGTCCCAGCTATCCGTCTTTGCGAAGAAGTGGACTCCTGTCGTGAGTACTGACGTCGCAGCTGCATGTACATTCTCTAAGATTCTCTTGAACTACATAGAGTGCGGAGTGGAATGATCCGCAAGCTGAACAAGACATGGCTGGTTTGCTGAGGGTGCGCAGCGTCGTGCTATCTCTTTTGGAAAAGGCTCGAGGGGACAAGTAAATGCTCAATTCTTTTTGCGTTTGTATTGTCTGAGCCTGTTCCGGTGTAGGCACTTGAAGAGCTCTCTCGAAGCTCAGGTCGATATTGTGTTGCCCAGTGATATTTCCGTGCAGCCGTATTTTCTACAGCTGATTGAACGCGAAGGTAAGCAGTTTGCTCTTCCTTTGTCCCATGTTGCGCAACTGAACGGTATGATGCGCAGAGACGTTCCTCAAGACACTTTTCATCGTTTCTGATGCCAACATCACGGACGAAGGTTCTCTCGGCACAAATTCATTTGCGTGGTCTTATTTCTCTTCGATGGATATACCCGGTATGTTAAGAAAGCTGTATCTTGAATTCATTTACCTTATTCCTTCTGCGCAGATTCGGACTTACAGTTGGCGATTCGCGTGAGACCTGCATCCTTGAGTAAGTGCCCGCGGTGTTGGACGTATACTCGTGAAGAGGAGCACGATCTATGTCCCCGCTGTGAGGATGTTGTTCGACATGCCGATTAGACTATTGGCGACGATAGTATAACTAGTATAGAGAAAGACTATGATCCTAGATAATACACTACCAGTCCACCCCTTGCACTCGCCCAAGCTCGACTATCACTTCGATGTGGTGCGTTCTGTACGAACAGCTTGACGTTGAGTGCGGCAATCTTGGTCGACGGCTGGAATACACAGCACACATCCAGGAATACTATATTCCCTTTCAATCGCTCATGCGTAGCGACAAGCAGGCCTGCAATATCTTGCAGGAAATCAAAATCGTAAAGAAAACATAGTCCAAGTAAAACAAAGACCGTTCATCTAAACAAATGCAGAAAATTGAAAAATGACACCCATATCATCTATCCGCCTCACACCAAGCTCACTGCGGCAAAAGTCTCCCCTTCTCGTTGTTAACAACATGCTAGACCCCGTATCCGTAAGTCAACAGAGCACAGCGCGAACTAAAGCGACTTACCACAACACGAACAGGAGCAGATGTGCCCCGCCTGCGCTTGAACCACGACAGAGCAAACACGCCAAGGAGCATGAATGCTGAAAAGGCAGCGAGCAGCACGTTCATGTTCTCAGCAGCAGACGTGATGCCGAAGTAGCCGTGATTGATTCCACACGCAGATTCCCATTGTTTTTGGCTCGAGATAGCAAAGTTCTGGAAAACGGATGAATGCGAACTAAACACGAAGTGCACGAAACTTACCTCAAGGCGATACAGGAACTCTGTCACCGCAATGTCTCCTTTGTGACCGAAGATGGGATAAGTCTGGAAATCTTCGTCGGTCCCGTTCTTGAACTTGACGCGGAGGAATTCGCGGAGTTCAGGTGGAGGTCCACGAAGAAGCTCAAAGGCAAGGGCAGATGCATGGTTAGCTGTGTCACGCCAATATTGAGCAGCTATATGAATGCCTGAAGTGGAATACTTACGAATGGCAGCGAGCTGAGGATGCTCGTTGACCATCTCCAACATGTGGAATAGCGAGATGAATGGCTGGTAAGTCGTCTCAAGCAGAAGCAACCTGAGGGGGTCCTCGTCAAACGTGATGCGTTGAAGAGAGTGAAGAATGGTATGAAGGATAGTACGGCCAGCAACTAGGCAGGAGATTAGATGCAAACCAAACGAGGTAGTGGAACGTACTGTTTCCAATTCCACCCGTTTCCTTGTCAGCAAAGATTGCGTTTTCGTGGTAGTTAGCATATCCGCGGGCCTGCTCAATGAAAGTCGGTGGAAGACGGAACGCGTAGGTTTGGTTGTGCGTAAGTTGCGAGTTCATGAAGTCATAGATCTACATGAAATAGCATATCGTTAACATGGTCATGGAGCTGCTGCGTGATACATACATTCCACTGTCATAGGTTGATCAGCACGAGCAACGACGAAACAGGAGAATACGCACAGCATTTTCAAAGGTCGTAGGCCTCCCGAATACGTAATCGCGAACGGCGCCAAAGAAGTGGCCTGCAGATCCCGCCACCTCCTTGAATCCGTGAGATGCATACACACCCTTGATGTGCTGCTCAAACGCCTATAGACACCCCGAATCAGCCTTGCATAGACCCCATAGAGGCACGCGACTCACCGGACACTCAGTCCAGGGCTCGAGCGCACGGTCAACGCCGCTCGGAGCCATTTCGACCGGAATGTACTGGTAACCCCCGAGTGGAGTGACGATCTTCGTCCCGTTAGCAAGCTCAATCACATTGTTTGGATTTGGTGGGAAGAGGCCTTGCAGGACGGCTATGGCGCTGTCAAAGACCGCAGTGCCTTCCCCGCCAGCCTTGGCATGCACAACCACTTGATCGTTCTGCACGAGGTCTGCACGGATGCCATTGATGTGCGACGGAGAAGAGGGGTTCAAGTATGTCGAGCGCAGATGGCTGCCAAGCTGGTATGATTCTACCTAGAGTCATACATTAGGTGGGGTGCGCGGAGAATGGGGTAGACATACAGCGCCGAGAGGTGTGGAATCAGTGAAAGAGGGCTCGTAGGTATACGGATCTTGGTAGAACTCTGTGCGGTCACCGTTACGGGCAATGATAAGGACACCATGAACATCAGGCATTGCAGGTCGTTAGTGCGGTTGGTAGAGTAGCTGTGAGGAAAGAGAATTAGATGGAGAGGTGCAGCGTGGATCAATCCTCCCCCAGGTCGCTTTAAACCTCCGTGCACTCGGCCATCAGATCTACCGAACCGAGTTAATGGACGACACGCGGCCATTTCCTTGATACAATATCGCATTCAGTTGAAGCGTGCAGACTATAAAACAGGAGGCGCACATGCGCATAATGGAAGAACGTGCAAGAGCCCCTGGATGACACTGCTTTCTTTCCGTCTGGGTTTGCCGACTAAGTCTTTTACAGGGCTAAGAGGTAATTTGAAGAGATCAACAACAGCATATCGGGAGGCTGCGGGAGGAAAATTGATGAATGGGGGTCTATACATGACCAACACGCGCCAAACGCATGCCGGGGAAGTTGAGAGCCACGTCAAGCAGATTTAAGGCCGCCATGCGTCAACCACGTGCCCAAGCATTCCGCATGCTTTAGGACGTACTCCAAGTCTGTCGATCCTATTAGCCAGCACTGAATCAGACGTGTAAGATTTATAAAGCGTACACGATCATATCTAGCTTTGGGTCATCTCGTTGTAAGTTGAGATATACGACGGTCTTGATGTCAAGGCTCTGTGGGAGAAGAACCATCAACACGTGTGATCGGTGAGGTGGGCATGGGCAATGTGAACTGCAGGTTCGATTAGATGGTAAAAGTGAATGATGTGCGGGTTTGGTGCGGAGGGTTACGTTGCCACCGGATGGACTAAGGGCATATCAGGATGGCGGTGATACAATAACGTGCTGCGAGCCCTTCGGAACTTCTTCGACTCGGTTTCGGATCGCATAAGAGTCCGCATATCAGATTTAAAGTGCGATCAACGAAGCTAGAGCCTTCAGTACGAAGGAAGACGGATGCGGATGCGGAATGCGCAAAAGCCCTCACACTTCCTGCACTACCACTCACAGCCTAGAGATTTATATCGATGGCTATACGACTTCGCATACAATATCCTATCACCACGGATTTTGGTTGCCCAAATAGTTGTAAAACTTGGCCGCATCAGTTGGAGGTAAGTTTCGTCACGACGTTCAGAATGCCCGTCACAGAGACATGGGGCTCAATCACCGCACCCTTGCCGCACATGTCTGTCTTTACCCTACCAGGGTCCATGAGGATGGGGATGAAGTGGGGATGCTCACGCATTTGTTTGTATGTCTGTCGCATGGCCAATCAGTAGCAATGGTAAGAGGAAGCATGAATCAATAGATGAAAGAAAAACAGCGCAAAAGAATTTGCAAACAAGAGATATCAGTCAGTATTCTGCATAGCAAGAAGATATCGACAAATAGATCACCTACAAGCATGTTAAGTTCCGTCTTGCTGATGCTGTAGCTCGTCGATTTGGGGCTGAGATCTTTGCTAATACTGGCAAAAGCAGAGCTCATGTTGACGATGACTTTGCCGCTACTCTTCTCGATGGCTAGGAGAAGGAAGCGCGTAACCAGTGCTAGACCTGTGATATTGCACTTTATCATCTCTGCAAGCACGGCTGGATCGAAACTAAATGGCAAGTCTGTGCGACGGTTCTGCAGTGCAAGAATGTCATACAACCTGTAAAAGCTAGCACAGCAAAACGCACGATCGCAGCGTTATTGATGACATAGTCCAGTCCAGTGCCGTTGAGAAGCTCGAGAACTTTTAAACACCCAACCTTGATGCCGTCTGCATCTGTTACGTCACTCTGGACGATATGGGGATCACAGGACTGTATTTGAGGGCATCAAGGCCAAGGGCTGTGGCAGGAGAGCGACAGGTGGCAAACAGCATTGGAAAATGACTCTGGGAGCTGCCTGGCGAGTTCAAGGCCAATTCCCCGGGATACACTGGACTCGCATAACATTAATATGATAAGGGACCGCACAGGTAAACGATCGACTTACATACCTAGTTAGAATCATGTGACTGGCATGATTTTGACAAAATAAGTTGGCTTTAGATGATCATTGATCAAGAAGGGAGAGGCGGGAGATTCGTGCATCGTGGTGTGCCATCTACCCTCTTTACCTGAATGATACTTGGGTCCGCGGCCGTGAGGACATAGCAAGACCGGTCTCTTGAAAATTGAAAAACTTCGGAACAAATTCTCAGGTCACGAGTTCGTCATTTTGTCAAGTAACACTGTCACGTACTCTTAACACGCGACTGCGACGCGACGATGGACGCTACTGCACTCAAAGTTTGGCTTCTCAATCAAGGTCAGTATGTTTTCCATGATATAATAACCGCTTTCTGAACTTTCACAACAGCCTATAACAGTCCTTGGCAGTATGCACTTCTGCTCTCTCTCGGTACTCTAACGTTGGCACGTTTTACATTCAAGACTCTTGTTGTCTTCTTCCAGACCTTCATTCTTTCTGGGACAAATGTTTGTTTATCATAGCATGCCTTTAGCATTCTGATGGACCTGACTTGCCTTACCACAGCTCAAGAAGTTTGGTGCTAAGAAGGGAGCATGGGCAGGTTGGTCAAGCGACCTCTGCTGAAGTGCAAATCTCACTCATTCATTCCAGTCGTCACGGGTGCTTCAGATGGCATTGGGAGGGAGTTTGCAATCCAGCTAGGTTCAGCAGGGTTCAACGTCTTGCTCGTTGCACGGAATAGCCAGATGTTGAACGACGTGGCAGTCGAGATTGGTACGAGTTCTTCATAGCGGTGTTTTTCGAAGCCTCACATCTCTTCTAGCCACGAAAACAAAATCGGCAGTTGAAACCAAAATCTACCTTATTGACTTCGCCCAAAACGACAACCTTAAACATAATGGCCTGAAAGCTCTCCTTCAGACCCTCGACGTTGGTGTTCTCGGTATGTACTCGATAGCAGTCTCAATCCTTTGCTTTTAACACAGTGTAGTGAACAATGTCGGAAAATCGCACGCCATGCCCACCTATTTTGCTGAAACTGTGGCGCAAGAAAACGCTGACATCGTTGCCATTAACGTGAATGCGACCATCAGCGTCACGCACGCAGTCCTCCCTGGTATGATTCAGCGGTGAGCCATCTAACCTGCGTCTCGCCTCTATTGTGCTAATGCGAATGAACCCAGAAAACGTGGGCTGATCCTCAACCTCGGCTCCTTCGCGGGTCTGGTGCCTTCTCCAATGTTGGCGACATACAGTGGCACCAAGGCATTCCTTGAAACTTTCACCAGCGCCCTCGCAGATGAGGTTCGGTCCCATGGGATCGTCGTACAACACCTCAATACTTACTTTGTTGTGCGTAACATCCATCCTCCGAGAAATCATATCTCACCACACCCCCTACTTGTCTTTTCCAGGTCTCCAAAATGTCCAATATTCGACGCACATCTGCACTAATTCCCAGCCCCGCATCCTACGTTCGCGCATGCCTCTCCAAAATTGGCCTCTCCTGTGGCGCAGCACTCACTGGGCGCCCAGGCACGCTCACAGCGTTCTGGAGCCACGCGCTCCTCGATTATGCGATGCACGTCATCGGATGGAAGACCCGGTTTATTGCTTATATACATTCACTGCATAAGGATATCAGGAGAAGGGCGCTCAGGAAGCAGGAGAGGGAGGCCAAGAAGCAATAGACAGCTTGATCTGCTTCATTCAGAATGTGAGCGTCCTTGTCGAATATCATCCTTATTTTTGGATTCTTTGTGTTATCCGATGGTGCGAGCACAAAACAATACCCGTTCTGTACAAAGACAACGATATGCTTTTGATGTGTTATTAACGTTCTTGTTAGCTTGGTCTAGGTTCAGGTTCAGTTAATTGCTCTTTGTTATAAGATCCAAGCACCTACCGGAGCCATTCTGTTATTTTCGATATGCTGCTCTTAGCTTTCTTCTGTGTAACAATAACCGAATAACGCCTCTAATGCCGATATAGCTGAAGAGCAGGCTGCAGGGACTGTCCGGCGCGCCAGAACACGCCAGAATCAAGCTTGAGCATCGCCGAGACTGGCAGGCACATCACATACCGCGGCGTTCATAGTAAACTCCTGTCTCCTTGAATTCCCCCGTCTAGCACCAACAACCATTTGTGCATAGGAGTTCACCTGTTACTCATACAGAAGCACAGTACCATTAGTGCTCGGATCGTGGTATGCTCAGAGGCTAACCTTGCTCAGATCTTCGGACATCGAGCAAGCAGACAGTAGTGAACTTATACTGATAAGTAGACTGATACAAGTATGAGGTTTTCGTTGGTACATACAACCGTTGCAGCCAGAGGCCTCGTCGATTGGACCTACAATGACGCGACGCGACGCGTCGCGTCTAGTCATTAATCAGGGGTCTCATGCGCCACTGCCGCTCAATAGAATAAAGTGAAACCGGGCTCTATCGTAATCGACAATCAGTACTCAGTACTTGGCAGCATGCCTCTAAGACCAACACAATATCATCTTTTTCATTTGTTTGTACTTACCCGTGGACGGGTGGACCATAAGACTATAGCTACCGGAACTTGCCGCCTGGCAATTGCCACAGAAATCCAGCAGAATTCTGCCATTGACAACAACACAATTGAATTCATCACACCGAGTACCGTGGATGAGTCTAAAGGGGTCCACACTTTTTTGCACATTATAAAACTTGCCAGTTTTCGTGTCATTTATGATCCCGTCTTCCCAAGTACACGAACCCAACGAATTCGGCCTACGAACAAGCATGTCCGCCAGTACTAGTTTTTCGATTCAGTACACTCCTTCTATGTCGGAAAACGCACTCTCCCGTACAGGTTCTCAAATTATAGGAGAGTCTAGTCAGGATGCGTCGTTTGGCGGACGAACTCAGAGTGTGACCACACTCGATTGCCCAACATCGGAAATGTCGAGAGAACCCCCAATGGAGCCGGAAGAACCAGTGAGTCTCACCCACCCATTGTACAAATGGCGCATATTTATTACCTGCGTATAGCCATCTCGCTCATCAGCTCCTTCTCCTGCACCCACCGAAATCATCCCCCTGGACCTCACACAAGAGGAAATCGTAGAAGACATCCAGACAATGGGAATCAAAGTTCGCGATTTTGCACACGAGGCCGTTCCCATTCCGCAGCGCGCGTTCGAGCTCTTTGATCCTCTACAGGCATGGAACACGTACGAAACTGTAATTTCACATCCCTCTTTGATGCGGCCATGCTTGCCAGGGAAAATAACGCGTCGCTTGCTTGACATTGGCTGGATTAAGAAAGAAGAGGAAGAGGGGCGATGGAGTGATAAGGACAGGGAAGCACTTGGAGACTATGACAAACGACCGCATTATCCATGGCGCGCATACGACCTTCCCAAACCAAAGCGGGACGCGCTTAATAAGACGTGGAGAACGAGATTTCAAGAGCTTACCGCTGAACAAATGATGGCGACAATTGCCAAACCCTTTTCACGCTTAAGGGCGCCCTTCGAGTTTGGCGGGAACGGAGATAAAAAGCGTGGTGCAACTGATGAACAAGATGTGCAGGATGGAGATCTTTCACCGCGGACAAAAAAGCGACGGTTGGAGCAGCAAGACTCAGCGTCCCTTGCACCAATGCCGAGTCAACCACCTGTCCTAATCAACGGTCGGCCACCCCAACAATACCCAGCTGGCAATCCTGCAGAAATGCAGCAGCCATCATCCTCATTTCAACCGACTTCTACTCGTACGCTTCAGCGCGTATCGTCCTAAAATAATCTACGCCGAGGTGGATAGCCCACAACGATTCTCACCGCGTTAACTTCCCTTTCGTTCACCTGTTTTTTTTTCGATAATAATTGCCACTACGCGTCACAAAGTAATGTTGTGACTGTACTGATATCTTTTTACCTGCTTGAGATGAGGTATCTCTGGAGATTGTAGCATTACTGTCGAGTTAGCTGTACTCCGTGTTCCTTGTAATTTTTCGCTCTATTTACTTTCTAAATTCCATTGTTTTCCAAGTGAAAATAGTTGTCGAACAAACACGTGGTGTCCATTTTTCGACGTCGATCATTTGATCGATCATGATCGAAAATATTGCCAATTAAAGTTGCAAGCTTTATCCCAAACCTTTCACAGGTTGGGCAACCTTGGGCAAATCAAACCGTATCAAGCTGCTGCCTGTGAGTCTTCAAAATTCTATACGGCACAACATTAGATCAAGGTTCAACCAGTAGAATCACATTTGGTGAGCACGCTCCCCAAGTACATAGTCCACCGAGTATCGAGGCAGTAACCGCTACTCAATAACAGTGTATTTAGCAAGTTTATTTTTTTTGAGCCGAGCAGGACGCTATTTTTCATCATGGAAGTCTCGAAGTCGAATGCTGTTTCTGGTTGCTCGGAACGCCAGTTTGGGTCGCCTGGCACTTGAACTTAGGTGGGACAGTCAGAAAGGCGCGGTTAGCATCTCGCGGCTCCAGGAGATATCTTGTTATGCCGACCATACGCAGGCCAGAGTCATTTGCGTGCGTCCATGCCGCCGTGTATTCAGACGAGGTGGATTTTCTTCAATAGAGGGGCGGAAATACACGATTATCGTTGAAGTTCATCAAAGATAGGTATGATACATACTGTCTCCTTGTCGTAGGAATTGCTCGAGGCGTCGTCGGTGACCTGCATCTCACTTGCCCATGAATTGTGCCAATCACTTTCCTGTTGTTGCAGCGATTGTCGTGGAAGGTGGTCGGGACAGCACCTCTGTACTGCAGCCCATTCCAGGGTATGGCAGCGTATTATGATCCCGGAGGTGATTGTCACGAAGGCTGTGCGAGCGCTACAATTGAAATTGTATGGAAAATCCCGCCTATAATGGGATCACTAACTCATACCCCGCGTGAAGTAGTGAACAGGCGCGCAGGTTATTCTTGGACAGATGCAACATGAACAAACTCGTGTGGTGATCGGACGTGATTGGATTAATTATGCATTTGAGGTTTGCGTGCTTTCGCGGATTTCTTTATAAACAGTCCAAGCCGATGCTTGAGCACTGGGCGATGTATTGGGTACTGCTGATCAGCGTCAACAATTGAAGGATATAAGAACGACTGACCTATATATCCTCTAGGTCGGACTGGATAGTAGACCACATTGACGTACTTACCGCCGCTTTCCGCAATGCCACTACTAGTCAGAAACCCCGTTTTATGCGAGTTCCGCAGCCTCGCAGGCACGCCTCATATCGTGGCTCATCAGCGTTGCAGTCCCTTGTGAAATATTTATCGCCGCGAGGACAGCAACCTGTAGTGTCAGTACCTCGAACATACGTACATGGTGTCCGACACAGGGCTCTGCTCCGACGGACAATAAACAAGGATTGACAAAAAGTACAAAAAGTACCTCGAATAGAACATAACATGTATGCTACAGTGTATGTCACTCAAAAGCGGCAACTACCGACATCGAAACATGTAATTCTATCTACACTTACAGAAAAACTTTTTTTTTCTTGAAAACATGATAAATAGGCTATGCTAGAGTAGTATAATAAAACTATCAGAACACTTTTTCAAAAAACTCAAGTTTCAATATTTTTCATCAGCCAAAAGTGAATTTTGAGCGGAGCCTGTCGGAGTTTCCTATTTAGGTAGACGGCATCTGACGGCTCACTCCGCGCTTACTCAAACACATCAAGTACTTACCAACAATATGATTGCATTTCTTGACGAGAATTTGAAGACAAGGAAACTGTGACAAAGAACTATGATACTGGTTGAGTTAAACATCTGTAGGCATCTAAGATTTTCAATAAAAGGCATGTATTGTCTTGAATCAGTCTTCTGTTTCTCTCCTGTGGCATGGACCATAGTTCATCATCCAACTCACTCTCATTATCTGATGGGCCTCGGCTATATCACTGTCTGGCAAGACTGAATGATAATGCTCATTTAAGTTAGACTCAGATTCTGCTTCACTGTCAGCATCTGAGACAGACATGTAGTCTGGGTCCAGAAAGACTTCCAAAATATTTTCTATCTGTATTGTAAACACCAGTTATCGTTGTTGATCTATCCTGCGCTGTGCCTCAGAGGCATTTGACGGCAAAAGTGAACAATTACGTAATCAGGTGAAATTTCGGAAATTTAGATTTACGCTCCTTTTGTCTATGTTTCCTATCAAAATTTCAATCTAAGCACATATGGATCGAAATTGCGGCCTGGGGAGAGTTGCCGTCCCTTAGTGACATACACTGTATTAAGGTTTGAAATTCCTGACAAGCACCACAATAAGGCCGTGGACAACAGGTTGACAACGAGCGCCCCGACTTACATACAGTTGGGGATACTTCAGATGAAATCATTTCTCGTCGTCGTGCTCCAACAGAACGGAAAGCACTTATATATAGTATTACATAATGTAACATAATAGAATTTATATATTATATTATTATTGTTACTTGGACAAGTTCATAGTGACAAGTCTTTCGGAAGTTCGAGACTCAAGAGAGCACTAAGTAACTAAGAGTGAAGTCAGAGCGTACGTTCATCCTTTACCACTGCCACTAACTCGATCATCTCTTGTACATCGGCGCACCGGGTAACCCCCGAACGACCATTCATAGCTCCTCCAATCAGACTGTCATCAGCACTTTGTCCCAACACTTTAGGTCATAATAGAAATGTAAGTGCCGCATGATGAGAAACGAGTAAAACTTAATCATTGTTGCGATCAGGAAGCAGACAGCGCCCCCAAGTGTTGGTGTTGGTGACAAGATTGGAGAAGGGGACTCTAGCCTCGTGCTTGACGTGCTTCCCCCTGAATTATGTGACACAGCATTCAAACAGATGATAGACGAGGTTGATTGGAATGTGATGTATCATCGTGGTATGACTTTGCGCCGCCAACTTGTGCTGCCCGAGCGCTGACATGGTTGGGCATTCAGGTGGCGAGGTTCCGAGGCGAGTGGCGGTTGAAGGGGAGATCGCAGATGATGGAAGGTGCCAAGCGTTTCTATCCCCGCTGCATTTTCACTGCGCTCACACCGTTCGATTTCAGCTTCCCAATTTACCGACATCCTGCAGATGAGTCCCCTCCACTTCGACGATTTTCCCCAACGGTAGCTACTATTCGCGAGCATGTGGAGAAGGTTCTCGATCATCCCGTGAACCATGTTTTGATTCAACACTACCGTAGTGGTGCGGACTACATCTCAGAGCACTCTGACAAGACGATCGATGTCGTGCGTGGATCGAAAATCGTTAATGTCAGCCTAGGCGCTCAGCGAGTGATGACGCTTCGCTTGAAACGAGATGGGGTGCAACAGGCGGGTGAAAGTGCTACCCCTCGACCTTCGCAGAAAATTCCATTGCCTCATAATTCAATGTTCGTCCTTGGTCTGGATACAAATGCGAAATGGTTGCACGCAATTAACCACGACAAACGCCCGATCCATTTAAAGTCCGCAGAGGAACAATTCATGAATGGAGAGCGGATCAGTCTCACGTTCCGTCATATTGGCACATGTCTTTCCAGAGATGAATCACGTATATTCGGTCAGGGGGCCAGGGGGAAGTCTGTTGACTCGGCTAACGCAGTAATTAGCGGCGGTGGGGAAGCTGCGAAACTCTTGGAAGGGTTTGGTAAGGAGAACCAGCAGAGTGACTTCGACTGGGAAGAGGTGTATGGAGAGGGTTCGGACGTCTTGCATTTCACTTCGAGGGGGCCGCCTCGGTGATAAAGTTATTGTACTGATTAGATTAAACAGCTGCGAGCTACGTTATCATTGTTTGTGTTGTTTCCTGCCTAGCAACGACGGTGACATTGGAACATAACTCTCTCCCATACCACCACCATCACTTTCACCAACTCAGCTCGCAGTCACTCGTTTCCCGCAGCGCAGGCAGCTGTCGGTGTTTCTTAGTAACAACTTGACTAGTCCTCTCGTTCCCCAACGTTCTTTCCATTTAGTGCGGTGACCGGTAACCCGAAGATTGGCCCAGGTTGGCTATCACTAAGGTCCAAATTTGCTTCCGTAAAGATTTGGTAAGCGGAAGCATTCTTGTTCGGTTTCCTTTTTTGGGTGGAGGAATTTAGTTTTTCAGGGCTGGCGCGTGTTGGTTTTGTGCGCGCCTTCTTCCCACCTTTCTGTTCACCTACGAAAGGAAAAGACACGAGGCTGACCTTGGAACACGAGGCTTGCCTGTTCCCTTAGATCTCTCTGGACGCTATCATCATCCTTGGGGATTTTTTTTAAATCTTAACCTCCCCGCTCTCCACCTTGCTCTTCACCTTACTCGCTTCCTTGAAGACAAACTCGCTTTCTAATATTCAACTTAACACAAAAAAAATCAATTCTCTAACGCGAAACCAACTTATTCTGCTACGTCTTCACGAACTCGCTTATTACTTCATCCCTTTGCATGATATTTTCATTTTATTAACGATATGTCACGACTGCAGCCCAGCACGTCTTCCGAATCTCCTCTAAGCGCATCTGCGCCTGGCGATTCCCCATCAAACAGAGGCTACATCTCAGAACGCCCCTCTTCTTCTACTCATCCGAGAATATCAGAAGGTTCAGAAGGTTATCCCTCCTGGCTCCCAAAGAGGCCTCCTCCGCCTGCACCAGCATCCTCTGTTGGGATGTTTGAGCCTCCCCCGCCCGAGGCGTTCTCAGGTGGTCGAAAGGCTACGCCACGTTCTGTGCGCGTTGTGAGCCTCCAGGACACTGCCCATGCTAGCGCTAATCCGTACAATCGCCGGGATACCGCAGAACAGACTCCGCAGAGCAACCCTCTACGTCCTCGAGTCTGGTCGCGTGCCACGACTGCCGGCTTGAGCGCAACTTTGGTCTCACCACCTGTTAAAACACAGGAGCACTCTCAAGCACCAAAGTTCCGGTCAACTGGTCTTCACCCGGAACTCCTTCGCAACCCTTCTACCCTAACTCGCCTTTACTTTTACTTGCTTCCTCTCATGACCTTCTACCACATTCCTGTACAAACATTCTTCGACTTCAATGCTGTATTTATAATCTTGCAGTATGTTTTTATCTCATTTAAGAATTACTATGCCCAGTCTGATTTTATCATTCCGCAGGGTCGCCAGGTTTCCCAATCCTTCCGCACCAGGCGTACCGGGTTCGGGCAAGAATTGGGCACTCGGTGCTGCAGCGTACATAGCTTGTTGGCTGGCTTGGATCACCATGGTTTTTGTTCTATATGAACTTGTCTACTCCTTCTGGCGCAGATGGCGTGTTAGTGAGTGCCATTTTTCACTAAAATTATATTCGAGACTAAATAATGATGTAGAGCGACCACTTATCACGCCATTGTATCTTTCTTCGGCTGCTTTCAACCTCGCTTCCATGACGTCCTACACGAACTTCTGCTTCATGCAGTACATCCGCTTCTCGGCTTTCTTTGGCGAAAATGGTAGTTTTCGAGATGGCATTTCGGAAACGTTCTGGTTTTACTCCCAGAACCTACCCACTGTCGCCCTTCTGCTTCCTCGAGCGGGTCTCTCCCTAGCTTTGCTGTTCGCATTTACATCCGCTTCTCCTGATTATGTTGCTATGCTCGAAGCTGGCTTCAATCGTCGTGACGGAACTTACTTCCGTGCGTCAGATGGTACACTAACGGATTACGCCCGTGGCGTTCTTATTGCCAATGCCGCTTGGACGGCGTGGCGTGTCCTTGTCCTACTCCTCAGCTGGTAAGTGATCAAATACTAACATATTTCTTCCTCTTCTAATCTTTTTATTCACACAACAGGATTGGTCTGTGGATTATGAGCGGCCATGGCTGCGCCGGGCTCTGTGGGCCGCGCTTCAGATGGGAGGAAGAAGATCGGGAGAAGTCTACGTCCAACCACAACGGCGACGGCGACGGTGCCTCTGAAACGGATGCTCTCCCTTGGAGCTGGAGAATTTGTACACGTCAACGCATCCAAGAAGCCTATGACTTTTGCTTAACGGTGAAGCCTTCTGCACGGTGGTCTGGTACCGTAAAGAAGGAAGAAGCCGGACTGCTAGGTGTGGAAACTTCCCCACCGTTCGAAGTTGAGCAGGTGCTTGCGGCTGTCGGTTTCCCTTCCGCGCCACCGCCAGCAAGGCGCGGTGCACTTTCAGAGGACCTTTTTGCATTCCCAAGAGAAGAGTCTGGGGAGGCGCCAGCGCCTCCACCGGAGCTGTCCGAGATCATCCCCAAAGTTGTGAAGAGATCCTCGAAGGACAAGGAGATGACAGGTCCTTCGGCGCCCCTGCTCAAGCTTCCGTATCCATTTGCTGGGTATGGTGCGCAAGTGTCGTCCAAAGATCAAATCCCTTTCCCACCTTCCCCTGGTTCCAGGAAGGAGAAACGCAGGTCACCACCCACCAGTGGCTCCGAACGTCCAGGACAAGCTGATGAAGATGAAGAGGAAGAGGAAGAGGAAGAGGAAGATGATGACGATGAAGAAGAGTCAGATGAAGAGATCGGGATCGAGGTCGAGAATGCAAGCGATGCTCCACCACGCACCTCCGGCTCGATGTCCAGTCTTGGACAGCCGGTGTCATCTCGTTACCCATTCCAACTTCGCCGTCCTGCCCGCGGAGGCTCTGTATCTTCGACGACCGGTACACACTCGACTCCTAAGACACATCTATCAACGAATACTCGCTCAACGGGGTCGGGAACGTCACATTCTACACAATCTACTGGCAATCGCGATACCTCATCTGAATCCCCCATGTCGCATGTCGTGAGTTCGGGCATGTCCAGTCCTAGTTCCGGATATGGTAGCCCGATACCCATGCCACCTCGTCATCCCCAACCAGGTCGTGGTCGCGCTCGTGCAGGAACCGTTCCATTAGTGTTACCATCTCCCTCTCCTATTTTGTACACTCCGAGCAGAATCCGCGTCGACAGCGACCATACGGAGACTTTTGGTGGTGGTGGTTACGAATCCTTCCTTAGTGAGGAGGCTGATGATGATGAGGCAGAGGAGGAAGAAGAGGAAGACGAGGAAGAGGAGGAAGACCAAGACGATGAGCCGCAGATGATGGAGCAACCTGTACCGGAAGGTCCGCATGAAGCTGCGGAAGGCGAGGATAGTGTTGGTCTCCTCGGAGTTGGTCCTCGCAGCCCGAAATCTTCAATGGTCAGCAGCCGTCGCCGTCGTGGTCATCGCTCAGATTCTGGGCGTTCACAATCCGGACGTTCACGATCTGGTTCACGATCCGGCTCTCAATCGGGTTCGTCGAATTCCCGTGCTGGTTCAGCCGTTCGTTCGCGGGCGCAGTCACTCATACACAGCATCGGAGCCGCCTCACGATCCTCGTTGGATCTTGTCCAGTCCATGCGTTCTCGTGCGAATTCGTCTATGGCTCGTCTTGAGGAGGACATGGCGTACTCAACCGACTCTCGCTCACGTAGCGGGTCAGAGGGAGTGCACAGCAGCAACGAGAATTATACTTTCGGAGTAAGGCCATCTGTGGGGCAAAGCTCCGGGTCTCGTCTGAAATTGGCTTCCTCAAACCCCTCCATCTACACCCCCTCTATTTCTGCGCCTTCGGAGGCCACTACCTCTCATCTCACTGCTCGCCCTACCTCCCGCGAGCGTGAGGTCGGGCGATTAGATATCCCCACGCGGCCGTATGGGGGGCAGACCGATGATAGCCGACCCGACATCAGTACCGCTGCTCAGTCGTTCATAACAGCGCCTGCTACATTAGACGGCACCTCAGTTTCCAGTGAACCCATGCCAGCAAGTTGGCAAGAAGTGTCGCACATGGTTGACAGACCAGGCACCGAGTGGAGACCTGCATGAGCATTCCTCGTTTTCTCTGATTTTTTTTCTTTGCATGCTACTTATTTGACATCATCTATTCATTCACATTCCCCCGCCACATCATCACCCTCAACTTGACAATTCTTCATCCATAATTCAGACACTGGAGTTACATTTCACACTTATTCACGCGCGAGACCTCGTTTAATTCTACTGCTGCCGTTGGTACTCCTGTTCTATCTAGCTCACATTCAATGTTATCCTCATGGATCTGGACTAGGCGCCGCGGGTTTGTTCTGCGTCACTTGATGAAGAGCATACTTGGACAATGGGTAACGATTTTCAAACTTGATTTTTGAGGCTGAGCTCAGCGAAGCTCGGCACTCAGCGCAAGTACCTAGCTGACACCCCCTGAAAATGACATTCTGCTCGGGTAGATATGACGTGGAAGCATGTACATCGGAGTCAATAAACTGTTTTTGAGTACAAACACATTACTCACAATGTGCGAATGGACTATAGCTAGCACGCAATATTTAAATTTCACGAGTGGCACACAAGCCTCACTTCGATGCCAACATCCAAGGTTGTGATCCGTGCCGAGGGCTGATGATCCCGTGGTGAACGGAATCAAGAAGTGTGCTGTCAGGCAGATAAGTAAAATTAATGTTTCAGGAATACAGCATTGGAAAAGATTCTGCAGCGCCTGCAGACATGTATCACTGCACTCAACAACAGGGCGCTGAGCGGGTGACGAGGGAATGTATTCTTGAGAAAAGATGAACGCATTACTCGCCAGAACCAAGCGCAAAGTGATACTTTATCCAAAAGGCACCGGCCGATGCATATGAATGTTCGTGAGATTGGCAAGGAAATCGAATAAACGGTAGTGTTACAATTATGGGCGACGACTGTACAAATATGCAGGAGATGAACCGCCAACCTCTGCATATCCAAAAAGAGGATAATGAGACCAAAAATTAGGAAAGCAATGAAGAAACTGGAAGAGTGCGCACGTTCTACCATCACATCGATCGTATCTAGATAGGAGTAATGTCAGAAAAAGACATGTATACGACAGGGTAAAAAATAATCACCGTTGTCCTCCATGTCGAGGCTTGCAGGCGTGTCATCGTCATTGATTCTCGATCCGTCGTACAAAAATCTGATTGAGGGTTGTTCAGCACACAGGGATCCAACATAATATACGCCGCCAAGAACAATCCATCTGCCCAATTTCTAAAACAGACAAGTTGGGAAACTTTGCTCACCGAATGCTGCCCACATCCTTGCCGACTTTAGTAGCATAAGCGCCTTGGAGCTTGCTCAACTTGGTGTTGCGCTTGATTTTGAAGAAAACCTCGTCCCCAGTTGAGCTCACGACCTAGGGAGAAGATCAGATTCGCGATCCGTTGTAAGATGGGAAGTCGCGTCAATCGATGCGATGCCATCGATTTTCGTACCTTGACATTAATTGGCGCGTTGTCCTCTTGCTTAAAGTCTTCCTGGCCTTGGGAATTTTGCTGCTGCTCTTCAGCCATTGTAGCGAGTAAAGATACAAATAATGTGAATAAAGATCGGAAAACACGGATAACGTGGGCGAGGTAAACTCAGTGAGGAAGTGATAACAACAAGGAGGAACTTGTATGGACGGGACGGCGAGCACTGAGATTGTCGGTGTTTGTACTGCTTCTTTACCTAATCTGCGCCCAAGGGTGAAAACATCCAATTCAGAACGTGTGTATAGAATAAAAGGCTCAACGATAAAACAAGGATGAAAAAATTATATGTAAAGTATGTAACGATTGACCATGGACCGCAAACGAATCGCCAAATATAATCAAGAACCTGAAGAACACATGTCGATTAAGGGCCAGAGGGATGCAACGAGCCCGTCATCCGTGTTTGAGCTCAGTTGGAAATTCGATGACAAGCTATACATTCTTCTTCTTCTCTTTATCTTTCTTACCGACTCTACTAAGGAGTTTCCGTGCGCGACTGTACTCCTCATCTTCGTCGCTCGAGTCTTGCCATACAACAGGTTCGCTTGATCCGTCGCCATTGTCACAGTCCTTCTTCGTTGAGCTCCAGGGGTAACGGCCACTAGCTTCATCATCATCAAGAGCGGGCGGAGTAGTAGAGAATGTCGGGTGAAGAGATACCCGAACACTCTTCCGCCTTGTCGGTAGCGTCTCATTGGAGGTTGTTGAAGACTCGATGTCATGTTGCGGAGCCGGAGGAGCTTGAGGAGCCGACTCCCTCTCAACAGGACTTTCCTGCGCCGTTCTGTACGACGATATTGATGTCATCGAAACTGAATCTCTTATCGAAACATCATTCGATTCGCTAGCCTGCCCAGGCCGAGCTGGTCTTGGAGAGCGCTCCTCGGACTCTTCCCGCTCTGGTGTTCGTCCACGAGGTTTATCATCCTCCTCAGTGCGCACATCAGCTCCTCGCTGTCGTATTTCTGCCAATTGAGCTGGGCTGGGTGATGGCGTACGGCTAGAATTTCGAAGAGCCGAACGAAGAGGCGACACGGCTGGTCGGGAGCTCTTTCTGGGTTCACTTCCAGAGGCTGAAGCTGAACCACTCCCTTGTTTTACAGACGGGCGACGAAGCGGAATCTCGTATTTGGATCCCACTGATCTTTGGGCGCCCGAAACAGCCGAGAGGGACTGGGATGTAGAAAAAACTGACCCCGGTGCGTGGGGAAGGTCCAATGATCCCGAACGGACAGGGAGCCGATCATCTGAAAGTTTGGAAGACCACGTCGCATTGACAGGCACACCTGGAATTGGAGCACGTGGGATCTCAAGTTTCGCTGTGCTTGGAGATGAGCCCAGAGCGTGAGGGGACGCTAGAGGCAACGGAGTAGCTCCACGGTCGTTGCGATTTTGTCGTGCGACATCCTCGACGATGCTCATAAGACTCACACTGGTGCTGCCTTTCGGTGGAAGAGGATGTATTGTCCCTGCTTTAGGTGTACGCTTGGATTTTGATCTCGCAGCTGCAGAAGAATCCCCGGGGTATTGAGGTACAGCACCATACGTGATGGAGGCTGACCGTCGCGGATAAGTCGCTTCTCCATTGCCATTATTAAGATTCCCAGAGAGGTCTGTAGATGCTCTGCGATGTTGTGACTTGGCTACTGCCTGATTTGGAGAAGACACAACGCCATTTCGCGTGGAGAGTGAGGAGGCACGTGAAAGATTGAGCGGTTGAGCCTGAGGGCTGGAGGTTGGGGTTTTCTGCCGCTTTGCAGAGGGACGTCGGGTAACAACTTCTGACTGACTGCGAGATAGGAGGCCTGAAGGAGCTGATTCGTTTGTGTCAAGCTCGCCATCTGTATACCCGCCATCCTTGCCCTTTAGCTCCGCAACTGACTTCTTTTTCCGCCTGACGCTTGTGCGTGGACTTGCAGAAGGGGGTCCGTCGCTCTGCCATCCACTAGACGATGCGAGAGCTGTCATCTGTGACCGGCCCTTGCGCAACTTCGCACCTCCTGAAGGCAGAGGGGGCTTGAGTACCTTATTGGGCTCAGACTCTAAGCTGTCTTGAGATCTGGAAGCCTTCAAGTTGGCGTCTGTTCGTGTAGACCAGCCCTTCTTCCCTTTCTTCCCTTCGTTACTTGTACCCGCACGCGGGGATTCTGCGGCGTCATCCCATTCCGCACGAGTTTGGTCCTTGTGCGAAGTCTTAAACAAACCACGCAGAGAACCGAAGAAACTCATGGATGGCTTACGCTCCCGCTGTTTACCGCTTCGCTCGGGTATGCGTTCAACAGTGTCTGGAGCCACTTCGTGGCGGAGGGAGAAGCGCTTCGGTGGTTCGAATGGATTGTTCTCAACGACCTCTAAGGGACCTTGAGTCTCCTCCTCTTCACTGCTGTCGTCTGCATCGCGAGTGGGGTCAAAGTAGGAGTTTGCTACGGCAGCAGGCCTCTCCCTGTACTCATTCTCGTCCACCTCCGTAATGCGTCTGGACAATTGATGGCGGATCTGTTGAGTACTGCTGCTACGCGGGATGGGACGGGCTTCGAGGTCTGTTGATCTCTCAGGTAAGGGGTTGCTGAGAGGGGACGGAGAACGCACGCCAGTGGGCATGGTAAGTTCTGAGATGGCGTGCGCAGGAGGAATGGTGATTGTCACTTCTTGATGACCATTGAGGCTAAGACGATCAGGAACCACGCCTTCTTGGCTAGTCCCACGTGAGGGCCCATCGTGCTGTTGCGAAGCGCTTTGAGAAGGCGTGAGGGAGGAAATGTCAGAAGAATAGGATATTGGGCCCTGTGTGACATGAAGAGGTAGCGCGGGAGAAGGTAAGGGCTTTTGTTGGGGAAGAGTGATGGACGCGGAGGGCGAATGCGATGAAAATGACGCTGACGGTGATTCTGTAACTGGATGCGTGCGCATCACGCTTATGAATAGGTGATTCGAAAAGAAAGAAAACACAATATTGCAGCACACCTTGACCGTTTGAACTTGAAACATTAAGACTCTGTAACGCCCGAAGACCTTCCTTGCCCAATTCGCCCCAAGCCCACCCACAATCAATAATAGCCCGACAGCGAGCACCGAGACCTTCTCTTGCTATGCTGACCCGAAGTCCCTCTAGCTCCAGCTCCTTAGCGGCTAAATGAGCCTCGCAAGCGCGTAGCTCCTCTTGAGCTTGCAGAAGTTTGGTGTTGGAGGAGCTATGTGCTGTAGAATTGGTAGAAGGGAGAGACGTAAACGAGGTAGAGCCTGATGGTAGAATCAGTGATGAACGAGGATCCCGTGTAGCCTTGGAGGATTTTGAGACTTTTATTAGGCGAGTAACACTGGTATGAAGGTTAACAGAGAGCTGGTACAGAAAGAGTTAGGACGGACAGAATTTCCCTGTCACGCAGAATAGCTGCTATGTCTTCCTCGAGCTTTATCAAGTGGCCAAGCTGGTCGCGCCAGTTCTCGACCGCCTGATTGTAGAGCTGGAGAGCATCGTCCACGCCGGCGAGGATATCAACGATGGTGCCAATAGTTTGTGCTAAGGAGACTGAAGAACTGGGTATGGCAGAAGGAGAGGCAACTGCGAATGCAGAAAGAGATGCGAGAGCAGCATGTGATATGGGGAAAAGAGCGGATAGATGTTTGGTATACTCCTTTTCGTGTGCTATGAGGTTAGACAGGAGACGAGAGTCTGGCGGACGATGGACCATCAGTTAAAGACACGACACGTATGATCGATTAGGTCGTGCTCGCTGCGTGAAATGATGAGGGAGTGTTGCAGCGCGCTGCGGTGAACGACGAAGAGAAATATTTGGAATCTGGATAACAACTTTGACTTCAACGAGGACTCCACTTGAAACGACGAGTCTTGGAGCTCGGAGGCTGTGCCCGCTGTCAAAACGTGACAAGTAATAAGCGCTGCGACTACTTACTCAAACGACACTCACAAGCATCCGCGACGCGCGTCCCCAGTGCCCACCACACTTCAGATTTAGGGAAATCCCCAGTCAGGATGCATGTCTTCTGTTACGAATTCGGAGGCGTGGCACCGCGTAGTCAGCCTTTTTGCTCCAACTCAGCGTTCTCACCCAACTTTTGGATGGAATTCGATACATGATGCTACCTCGTTCCATCCCAACCTGCTCGCTTAGGATCAGGTCGGGATGCAGGCATAGAACAGCACATGTAGACTCCGATGAGTTCGCAGATCTGCAGACCTTCCGTTCACTGATATTGTTCTTGTACCCAGCCGAGAGAGCTTACCCTACTAGCATGTACAAAGTATGTACTATCCTACAGCCCTGTCATTTCAATTTAACGTCACATATACATAAGTATGGCCGCCCATTCTGCCACCGGGTGCTCCGAGCCGAGTCGTCAGCTTCGAGCACGATAGAGAGCTCCATCCTTACTCGTGGTATATTTCTATGAGCCGGAACTGTTGGGCGTGCCGTGATCCTGTCCTGCGGGGTGAGTACTCAAGGATTTGATTCTACGCTCTTGAAGGGTGGAACTTCCGGTACCACCGTTGTGCCAGATTCGGATTCTCAATGCAGCTAATAAAGGCCAGAGAGCAGACAGCGGGAGGAGACCTCGCTATTATCGACCCCGCTCAGTAATATCGTCAATCCTGCTCAACACCGTGCATTACATTGTCAATGGATGGATGAAGATTGTGACCAGGGCGCAGGATGCACATACGAAGGATATATCTTTCACACCGCAAAAAGTTAAGCAGTCGAACCCGAGGTTAACTCAGTTGTTCTTGCACTCAATATGAGTGTATTTTGTATCCTATACCGTATCCGGGAGTACTGCAGAACAAGGATGCAGATCCATCGATGGAGGATGAATCTCCGAAGTAGTTTCTCCAATTGACACATCCCTAGGTGTACGAACGGGGAGGACAAACACAGTAATGTGGTGGGAGGTGTATTCCCTAGCACTCCAGCTGGGCCTGCACGCAGATGGACATTCAAATGTTTATTGACATTAAACACGCTACTAGTACAGACGCAATTGATACACGAGTAAATCCGAGTGACAACAAAACTAGTGATGAGCAAAAAACAAAACAATTCAATGAACTATGCGAGGGGACAGCGAGGGGATGAAAGCAATTAGACAAACTACTGGAGGAAATACGACGATACGGTCCATCAAACTAGACACCTATGTGAACAAATACAATCTGCTGTTCCAGTGGAATCTTCTTGCGCAACGACTTCATAGCCTTGTGCAACGCTACCGCGGCCCGTGTGCAGTCCAATCGCCCCGAACCATCAACCAGGTAGCCGTAAAAAGCAGACGCGACCTGGAGTGCAACGTCGTCGTTGACAGACCACATAGAACCTATGACACTGCGAAATCCGGAAAATTGCATAGCCGCAGCGAGATGGATGGACTCATCGAGACTCTTCTCATCACCCACGGTAGTGTGACACGCCGACAAGAATGCAAACTCCGGATTCTGCCAGTTAGATCGGATGATGTCCTTGATCATTAAAGGCCCGTCGCGCATGGCAAAGGAAGACTCAAATGGTTGTTGTCGATTCGGCATTCCATGGCATGATAGGTGGAGCCACTGATTATGATTTAGTGCATCAAGTGCACCCTGGACTGTTGCATCGCCGTCTTCGAGCGATGTGAAGGACACGACGGGTTCGAGACGCTGAGCTACGACCGCTAACTCAGGAGCGACACATTGCAGTTCCTTCCCTGTGTCCGGTTTTCCTTGACCAATGGCAACAAAATGTTGCGTAGACGCATGTCGAGAAACTCGCTGTCTCGCCCGGATGAGTGTTGCTAAAGTAGGGGTGTAAGAGGAGATGAAAATGTGAGACAAATTGTCTTTGTTCTTCTCGTAAGGTCCTGCTGCGTGTAGAGGAAGCAGCGCGAATTCAGCGGTGGGGCACCACCAGATACGGGAGCGAGGGTGAACTTTAGAATCCATAAGGGCTTGGACTATGGGGAGAACGATGCAATCCCAAAGCTTACGAAGGATGCCGACAAGCTCGTATTGATGATCAGAAGAACCGAATTGTTCCGAAAGGAACTGAAACTCGGAGGACAATTCGGAGACCTCGGTCTGCGCGATATCGAGCGGAACGTGGACTGGATCTTGGCCACTCAATATAATCAAGGCGTCGCAGCTGTACTGACTAGCATTCACGATGATGGCTGGACCTTCTTCAGCCGCCTTCTGTAGGTCGGAGAACAGGAGAGGCAGGAGAAAACGGGAAAAGTCAGGAAGCATGCGGATGCGTGAGACAACGTCATCCCATTGTATGGTCAGCTGCCGGATTTGTGAAGACCGGTCTTCAGTGGACTGATCGAACGTGTTACGAAGGCAAAAACTCAACCGCCTGAACTCTTCCGCCAAGGCCGCGCTGGTATCACCTGACACAGAAAGTTCATCAAGTGGTGTGCTGAAGCGCGCCAACTGGGTCCAGAATACTGCACGGCCTTGCTCCACCAGTTCCGCAGCAGTCGTCAGAGCACCATAACGAACACTGCACGAAAAGGCATCTGTGGCAAGGGAAGAAATAGCTTCCCCGATGATGTTGAAATGACGCGAAGAAGACGACAAGAGAGCAACTTGCTGATCTAGGAATTTCAATGCAGTGTCATAGGCAACTAATGCAGTGGGATGGTTAACCTGGTGGGCAAGGGCGGCCCATGACTTGGCAGCATTAAGATCTGTCCGAGATGCTGCGTGTGATAGGTGGGAGAGCTGCAAAAACAGCTGAAAAGATTCATCCAGGTCGGATGAGACGCCCTCCTGCTCAAACCTCTCCCAAAGGCAGGTAGCAAGATTGTAGAGAGACATGGATCGATAAGAATGACCGGGTCGGCGGAGGAGCAGTGCATCCCGATGGAGCTCAATCACCTCATCAAGCTCAGATGGGACGCCCTCCTCGTTGAATCTCTCCCAAAGGCATGCAGCAAGATTATTGAGAGACATAGACCGGTCAGAATGACCGAGGGGGCGGAGGAGTAGTGCAGCCCGATTGTGCTCAATGGCCTCATCAAGGTCAGACGGGACGCCTCGCTGATGGAATCTGTCTAGAAGGCTGAGGGCAAGGTTGTCGAGAGACCCGGGTCGATCAGAGTGACCAGGTGGGCGGAGGAGTAGTGCATCCCGGTGGAGCTTGATGGCCTCATCAAGGTCAGACGGGACACCCCGCTGCTTGAATCTGTCTCTAAGGGTGAAGGCAAGATTGTCGAGAGACATGGATCGATCAGGGTGACCGGGTGGGCAGAGTAGTAGTCCAGCCCGATTGTGCTCAATGGATTCATCAAGGTCAGACGGGACGCCTCGCTGATGGAATCTGTCTAGAAGGCTGAGGGCAAGATTGTTGAGAGACGCAAATCGATCAGGATGACTGGCTGGACGGAGGAGTAGTGCATCTCGATTGTGCTCAATGGATTCATCAAGATCAGACGGGACGCCTCGCTGATGGAATCTGGCTCGAAGGCCGAGGGCAAGATTGTTGAGAGACATGGATCGCTCGAGGTGGCCGGATGGGCGGAAGAATAGTGCAGTCTGATCAAGCGCAATGGCCTTATCAAGGTCAGATGGGTCACCCCTCTGCTTGAATCTGTCCCGAAGGCCCATGGCAATATGGTTGAGACACGCGGGTCGATAATCGTGATCGGGGGGAAAGAGGAGTAGTGCAGTCAGATGGCTCTCAAGGGCCTCATCAAGGTCACGCGGGACACTCCGCTGCTCGAATCTCGAATGAAGACTAACGCCAAGGTTGTTGAGAATCACGGATCGATTAGGATCCGGGGGATGGAGGAGTAGGGCAGCCTCTCGATAGAGCTCAATAGCATCATCAAGATCAGATGGGAAGCCCCGCTGTTGGAATCTAGCTTGAAGGCTCATGCAAAGGTTGTTGAGAGCCGCGGGTCGATCAGGATCACCGGCTGGATGGAGGAGTAGCGCAGCTTGATAGAGCTCAATGGCATCATCAAGGTCAGATGGGACGCCCTGCTGGTGGAATCTCTGATGAAGGAAGGTGGTAAAATCGTAAGGACAGTTCTGCAAGACTGCTCGACGCTCCCTCACATTGTCTGCCATACTATTATACCAAGTGGTTACACGAAAAATGTCCGAGTCAAGAATGCAGAGAGCATGAAGCCGAATACTATATATTGGAACTGGGCGAAGACGACGATATGCATATGATCAATCTGTCGCGACTGTCATATTACATAAACGCTTCATGTCACATCAGTACAAAGTTTATTGACAATGTTGAATATGAATGCACACGTACATAGAAAATCGAGCATATGTACTGGAACACCTGCGAGAGGAAAAGACAGTCGTTTTCGTGATTTGGATATTATGTAATACGGAATGATGCTTGAAGGGGCTCAGGTAAATTGCCGCATCACTGCCGCAACTTGCCGCACCCTACCGCACCACTGTCGCACCCATACCAAATCATAAGTACTACACTTATTTTCGGCCTGCACTGTTCTCGTGCACCAAATAAATGAACTAGGAGTGTTTCTCGTCCGACTCCTTAATTATCCACTTCACACTAATGCATTTGAGAGTCTGAATTCAGAGAACGATTTTGAGCATGTTGCGGCACGGATGCGGTACTGGGTGCGGCAGCTTCCAATCAAGGTGAGTCTTAGTATACTGTATATATATGAGACACTAACATTCAGACTGTCTACAGCACCCACCTCGCAACGGCCTGTCTCCCTTGACAAGCTCCATATTACCATGTGCACGTCGCACCACCCCTCAATGGCACAGCCACTAATATCGAGGGATGGGCATCGATATTTGCAGTATCACACTTATCATTGCATCTTGAGCGAGACTCGATGTTTGCCTGAATGCTGTTGTTATACAGCCCTAGTCGTAAGGATGATTTTGGTACGTTAAAGGACTTTAATTCGTGAATTCTGCTGATTGCATCATGGTATCTTCCAGAGTTTTATCCGTCAATTATTTCGGCGCGGGACGCCATGCGAGCGTGATACAACACAACCCAATACCACGGGTGTGACCCATAGTGCCAAGGAAGGTGCGTGACCTAATGGCTGCTCAGAGACCGGGCATCCTGAATCATGGCCTCCAGCCTCCGGTTGTAATCGCACAGAAACTGTGACTGCGCAATCTCTCACTGATACTCCCAATGAACATGTTCGTGTTGATGGTAAGCATTTTTCGGCCCTTCTCTTTCACTACGCCAATTCTTTATCTGATGACTTCAGTTACCGTCCGTGTTTTTGACACGCAAAATCAAAGGCTCGAGTCGCAGCACTATACCTCGAATGCTCACACCACTCCGACTGTACAACAACCACCCGCCCCATCACAGCTCGCACTTGCCAACCAACCACCACCAAATGAGGCGCGAGATCAGCCTCATGGAAATGTGCGATTTCCTATTGACGAGCCACATGGACGAAAGGCTACGCACACCTTTGCTGTCTCTGAACCAAGGGCACCTAAACCTCAGCCCCAGGTACCTACCAGTGGTAATACCGAGTGGGATGTCTGGCCTGACGGCCACATTGTGCGCACCTACTCGCATGAAGATGCCAAACGGCCCGAGGTCAACAATTTCCACGTCCACTGGGCTTGTGAGGGCGTAGGTGCTCCTCGACATAAAGGCTCACTCGATGCGTTACAGTGGCAAGACGGTGTGCGTAGTCGTAGACGTTGCCACGGTGTAATTATATGCACCAACCATGAATCCAAGGGTGGATCATGTGCCATTGTCATCCGCCCTACAACGACGAAGAAACTCATTACGAGGCAGCTTGAGACAACATGCTTGTGTGGTGCCATGCTCGTCCATAATCACTGCGGTATAATTTACGACCTTTTCAAATTTGCGGGCGGTGTGTGCTTCGTTCATCGTGGCTTTCACAACCACCTTCGCCCACCGCGACGATTGCATCTGACGAGAGTGGAATCGGATCTCTTCCAGCAAGTCATCGAGGAGCACCCCCGCATGGGCGCAACACAGCTTTTGATGGGCCGCCCAGTCAATTGCGGTCATATCTCCAGTGCTTCTGAACACAGCCAGGGTGAACCTTGAGAGAAAAAAGGTTTTCACCATGAGCCGAGGGAAGGACATTATTGCAGAGTTCACGGAGTTCCAGCGCCAGCATCCTAATTTCGTTATTTTCCACACCTTCGATCCCGTCGCAGTTGTCATCACGCAGTCACCCACCATGTTGTCGTTTCTTGTCAAGAATCACAGTAATGGCATTATATCTGATGCTGCCCATGGGTTTTGGGCTGAGCGTAATGATCTATTAATCATAAGCTCGGTCTTCAGTGATGCTCTGCAATGCTGGGTGCCAGGTGTAATGACGTGGTCGAATGGTGGCACCGAAGCACACTACCGTCATCATTTCCGTGCACTATTTGAAACAATGGCAGGGGAGTATGAAAGGCAGAACACTCAACCTCCAGGTGAGGTTGGCGAGGGAGATATAGTTGATGCTCTTTATGGAGATCGTAAACGTCGCCGCATGATCCGGGTGTGTAACTCTTGTGGGTATATGTCAGACTTTAACATATTCAAAAACCATAGCTCGGGAAATGGACTCACACTCACGAAGTTCCCCAGCATGAGGATGTCATTGCAAACTTTAGGAATATACCCTACAGCATTAATATCGACGAAGCATTGGCTCCTCACACTCAACTCCTTACAGATATTCTTGAGCAGCCGGATCCTGTGAAGATGCGCGACACAGTCCCAGTTCTTGGATATCTCGCTGACCTGTCAGAGAAATCAGGTCGTAGGCACACTACAGTCCCGTATTGCGGTGATCTGTCACTCACGGACTGTGCTCATATTGCAAACTGGATTTACCGAAATGTCCCTGGTGCAGCTGAACGAATTATCAATTGGCTAAACTGTGCTACATATGCACATGCTTGCACTATCGTAGTTTCGAAGCGCAAGAAAAACTTACTCCAGGAGCCAGCCGAAAATATCCTCATTGAACGTCGCTCGTCAGGACCTGGCATGGACTCAGTTCCTACTCCGGAAGAGCGAGAAAACGCGATTCTCCAGGCTGCCTGGCTTGACCTCCAACTCAGCTATGATCTGACCTCGATGGATATAGACGTCGACTTGGAGTGTCTTGGCATACTGGAACAGCGGATGTTCGAGCTCTCGTTGGCTGCAGGAGCTGCAGGAAATGAACAATGGGGCAAAGATGCTGGTGCACACCAAGAGCGATGGAATCCCTATGAGGGCCTCCCTGAGCACTGGAATCATGGCGACCGAGATTCATACGCACCGGAATTTGAAGGAGAAGTAGACGTGCGTCATCATCGCTTTTCATCGCGGATCAGTCTGACATGGTTCGACTAATAGTGCGGACCGAACTTTAGTGAGGGAAGTGAGCCTGACATAGTTAAGAAAGAGAAACACACCAAAAAAACCAAACCGCGGCCACGACCAAGGAAGATACACAAGGCTTCATAGGCTGGGGCCTCGTAGCAGTAGTTTGTACTCTGAAATGAACGAGACTCAGTTTGCAAGGACAAAAGGCCACACAAATATGACATACATACCTTAAAGCCCCGGTATCCGTTTGCACAGGTTGCTGCAGAACGTGGTCGAGGAGATGTGTGACAGTGAAGTCAGGCAAGGCACTGGCATGCAACCAGCAAAGACAGGTGTTGAATGATAAGCGGAGGCATCGAGGTGCCAAACCTGACAGGCGCGAGCCTGTGTGAGGGGTCGTTGAGTCTTCTCACCAAGTTTCGCGCAGCTGCTCATAACGGTGCTGCAAGTGGACTTGATAAGAAGGGTGGTTTGGTGTCGGTGCAGTGGTGCGGTAGTGCACAGCCACTGCCGCACCACTGCCGCACCACTACCGCATCACTGCCGCATCACTACCGCATCACTGCCGCACCCTTCAAGTACATATATCACTGTAGTACCACTGTTAGCCCTACACAAACACCTGGAATATTGTATTACTTATTCTTAAATCATATTTCAGACAGTTGCGTACGACATAGACGCATTTAAGAGGCATATAAGACATTGTTGAGTAGGGTGCAGCAGGGTGCGGCATAGATGCGGCAATTTCCTAAGGCCCTGCTTGAAGCTGCTTGAACATGTGAAAACACCTCGTATTCCACCGCCACCAATTAGGAGAGCAAGTATATCAGGTCCCTAATTTCTTCAATCAGCCCGTCATGATACTTCAAAAAGTGTCTCCTTTGCTCCTCCACAATGACTACCTTCAAGTCCCAAACATATGATAGCGTACCCGTCACCGATTCTCTTCCCCAATACGACACAATTTGCACGTCTGCATTATCAGCAGATTTCATTCAATGCAAACGATCCATATTTTCCTGTCTATCAACCAAGCAAATTGAAACACGTCGTGCCACAGTGCTATCTCTCATCCGTGAAATCGTCTCCTCTCCTGGTTTTAACACTTACTCTGTCCCGCCAATTGTCAATTCCTGCGCTGATGCTCTCCCCGCAGCAGAGTTCTCCGACCTCCTGCAACAACCCAATATCGAGGATCACACGGCGCTGTATTGGGCGATCATAAACAACCGACGAGACGTCCTTTGGGCGTTTGATAAATTCATTTCCCAATACTCGCCGGTTGCCTTTGCCGACTTGCGTATTGCATGTATGGCGGTCAGCGACCACGATTTGTTTATGCAGATGGATTTGGGGGACGACGTTAATCGTAAGTACATGCACACATGATGTTCCAAGAGAGCGTCAATCAACTCATTGTGTACTATCAGCCAAGGATAAATCTTTAAGACGCATGTTGGGTTGTCCGCGAGATGAGATCAACGTGTTTCACCACGGACTAAGTGAATTGGATTCACCGCCCGATTATCTTAAAGGGGATGAACTGGACGAAAACCACTTCATTGCTAGTTTCTCCTTCAAAATGTTCCAAAAACGCCTGCGTATTACACGAAATTTGGCAGTAGAATTTGTTGCTCGGGGTATGTGATCTATGTCTTTTGGCTTGTTCCCCACGCTGATACGAACATGCTATTCCTTGAAGGACGTATATGGGTTTTGCGCTTTTATATGGGATCGGAAGGGAAATGGTGCATTGAGTATGGTCTTTCTGAAAATAGTAGCCCGCCAGTACGTTCGCACGCCAAATTTGCGATACTAGCACACAGCAATCTGCCTGAACTGACCCGTGCGCTGTACCTGGAACCTCTAATAATTAACACACGTCCATCGCAAACGCTTGTACCTCGAAAGTAGGTATATTGTTTCCTCTCACTCGAAGTCAAGGCATACTGAAGTTTTTGTTCGTCCTATGTGACTATTCTTTGCTCCCTTCAAGTTGCAGTCTCTCACATGAATCAGCTCACCATTACGCGGACATTGAACCCGACAAGATCGCAGTTGCAATTATCTACCAATGGGACGGTGATTGGTTAGTGGACGAGTGAGTCTTCTTTGTTGATCTTCCTCATAGTGCCGTTTGTATACATTGGTGTGTTTTTCGAGTCTCTTTGAACTCACCTGGACTGCGTTGTTTTAGTGATACCGCATATGTAGACTGCGATGGCACCCTAACGGTGGAACTAAGGATGACGCTAACATAGCACTGCTCGGTCACCACGAGGCATTCTGCGTTAGATGCAAGGGAGGCCCAGAGGAAGAGGATATCAGACGATGACATGGCAGTTGAGTACGTAGCGGTAGCGCAATGTGATTGTATTGTATTGCCACCAGCATCAGGCTATATATACTGTCATTATCATGTAGATTTGTTAGACGAGCCTAGATGTTCTGAGCAGGTACATCAGGAAAACCCTCTGATACAAACATATACTAAGTATGTCAAGATTAATAAAATTTTCTCTAATTCATTGTAGTTTCACAAAATTAGACGTCTTAGCAGATTAGAGAACCTTTTTTACTGCCCCACCAGATCTTACTCCTGCGCACTAATTTATTGATGATTTTAAATAAATTCACAAACTTACAAGTCATCAAGGATCTTATTTTGACGGTCTGTTCAGGATTTCATTGATTTCATTCAAACGTTTTAACTTACTCCTGCGCACTAAGTTAGTGATGATTTTAAATAAATTCACAAACTTACAAGTTATCAAGGATCTTATTTTGACGGTCTGTTCAGGATTTCATTGATTTCGTTCCAACATTTTACAAGAACAAATTAAGTTTTCATTAAAAGAGGGGTATATCAGCATAGCTTGTAGAATATGAGACAATAAAGGAGCGTTGAGAATGATATACGTGAATGCAATTATATAAAATGATGAGACCGCAACTTGGAAATCTACTCCTCGTCATCCATGCCAGCAATATCGAGGAAAGCCATCGCAGACTCGTGTGATCCAACTAAAGCGTTGTTGCCATGGGTGCAGAGTTTCCTTGTGAGGTGTGAGACTTGGACAGATGAGTTGGCGCAGCGCAGAAATGGACTCACTGGATAGCCTCGAAAATGTCAGCCATCATCTTGTGAAACTTGCGCGGCGCCGTCACCTTCATGTCTTCAAGAAATTTCACATGAAAAAAGTAGACCTCGCTGAATAGATTGCCAGTAAAATTGAATTTCGATGGAGATCCATTAGCCTTCCAGAAGAGTGCAGCATACACCTATACACTCATTGTTAGTACATGCACTCGGACCCAGAGTATGTCAATAAATATACCGAAGTACTCGTTAAGGCGACCATTGGAATTGTAACTTCGGGCCGCTGGGCCTTGTTTTGCGCAATCTCCTTGAAACGGTCTGAAAATTTCATGCCAACTGACTTTAGCCCATTGAAGTAGCGCCCCTTCATTAGATATGGTAAGATATCAGCGAAGTATGGCTTTTTTGGCTGTGGAATGGGGTCATTCTTCTCCTGGAGAGTGTGCACAGTGTTGAGCAAATCAATTTGTGCAACCCAGAACATAGCCACCTACATTGAAATGCTGTTCATAATGGTAGACGTGGTTGACCAGCAAAGCCTTCACAGTGTCGACACAATCAGGGCCAAGACGATAGTATGACGTCACTTGAGCACAAGCGTCGTCTTTTAATTCAGTGCGGAAAAGTGGCACTCGGGCTTCAATCTGTATGAGAGGTTCAACCAATTAGTAATATTGCGAAGAGTCCAACTCTTGAGCATACCAGCGTGGCGAGAGCTGTCACATACAAGTCATCAGACTTGAGGCGATCCTTGATGGGCAGGACACTGCAGGCGCGAGCTGCTGTTAAGAGTGCGTCCCGCGTAAACAGGCTCTTCTCGGTGAGCTCCGGATAGCCGTTGACAAATGTCAAGTGAACTTTTGCCTCCAAGATCGCTCTTTGGACCACACGACGGGTGTCAATATCTTGGTCCATCAGCTTCAACTTACCAGTGTCTGTCCATACAAGTGTGGGCCTTCTAGAGTGATCTGGGTTGTCCTCCTCGGAGTCGTCTAACACCATGATGGGCTCATGTTCCTCATCTGACACGACGACTTGAGTATCTGCCCAAACAGGTGTCTGGAGAGTCCAAAACATCATTCGAACACGAGATAACTGTGAGAGAACTTTCACTCACCTCATCTGCTCGTTTACGATCACGCGCAGACTTAGATTTTGTTTTCTGAGGGGTATTATTATTTCAACATGGAGGTAAGTATCCAAGCCAACTTACCTTGGTAGCCCTTGGTTGAGCCGACGGAAAGGGGAATGGTTGAGCCGCCCGCATCAGCTCCTTCGAGGTAGTTGTACGAGGCCAGGTGGGTTGGGTCAAAGGGAGGTCAGTCTGTTCTGCCTTCGACCTCGAAACAAACACTGGTGTCTGAGGGAAATAAATTGAAGGTACAATCAGTTACTACTATGAACAATGTCACTTACTTCGGCTGATAAGGACTTGGGCTCCTCCAAGTCGTCTTCAATTTCCTCCTCCTCACTGTCCTTCTCCGAGTCATTGTGACTAGGTCGAGAATCAGAGATCTCATCGACAGGTTCGTCGCTTGAAAATTCATTGTCGATTGGTTGGGAGGTGTGTGACCATAGTTCCTTTTCTTTTCCTGCAAAACCTGTGAGTTTGCTGAACCGACAACTAGACACCGTTATGCTAACTGACCTTTCTTTTGCGTGTACTTGACAGCGCTCATGAGGCCTTCATCGATATCGACATCGATATCGAATCTGCATATGGTTCGGTGACTTGTACCCGGCCCCCAAAGATTAGTCATCATGGAATCAGTCCGGATCAGTGATCACCTTGGCCTCTTTAGTATTTTGCTTTTCCTTTAGATGTTTCACACCCCCGACTATAGTACCCATGTAAGTGTACTGAGACCCTGGACCGGTTCACAGATTACTTACCTCGACGCTTTTTAGCTGCAAGCCCTAGGATCTCATCTGGGGTATCGGGCCGACTACTAGTAACTTGTGCTACACCACCATCGTGGCGGCCATGCTTGGTTACAGACACATGAGCTTTCCTTTGTGCAGTTGTTTTCTTCATCACAGTGGGCTTTTCTGGAGCTGGGCGCTGCCGCTGTGGTCTTGTAGTCATCCAGACTAGTACAATATCCAGTAAGTGCTCAAATCTCAACTGGTTCAACACGTACTGACCTGCATTCTCCATAGCTCTTTTTTTTTGCACCTCGTTCACCTGTTGCAACAACAGGTATTCACAGTTGTTTGTATCCTGTTATAGTGGTAAGTACTTACTCCTGGCGGGCTGACTGGAACCTGTATTATTGCTGGGTGACATGCTAACTTGAAGGGTATGGTAAATGAGCGGGTGGGTTTTGAAGTTGTAAATAATGTAACGGGGGGATAGCTAATTGCATCCCACCACTGAGTACTGATATTTATGTATCTCGCAGGGACGGTGTCATCGCCACTGGGCAAAACCAACTCACATATGCACAGGTTCCAAACGAGCATGGTTTTTGGGTGTCCCTTTTGGATTAGTCCAGGTCCATAGCCCAAGCGCTCTACTGTGCCGGGTTATGTAATATGGTTCGACACGTCTAGAATGTTTTACAGCTGTAATTCATTGTAAATAATCTAATAGAAAGTTTGCATGCAATTTATGTCCGAGTGTGAGTTTGTGACGGCCCTGTGCGAGCATCCATTTCACCTCAGTCGAACATCTGTTTGCCTGAAAACGAAACACAGAGAAACGAACAAACGCACAAATGCACACAGACGAACAAAACGCACAAAAGCGAACAAAACACACAGAAAAAAAGGTTGCGGAACTGGGTCCATAGTATGATAGTACAATAGACGTGATCATGTACAAACTAAGCTAAAAAGTAATGCGATATCTACTGCACCCCAGCCATCATCATCATGGTCGAGTTGAGCTAATACATTAGTCGATCGAACCTGCGAGTCCCCAATGCTTAACATATGAGATTTCCGATAGTCGAACGCAATTCTCTGGACACCGTCCATGTTGCCAATGTAGCGCACAATGTCCTCGAATGTCTCACTCCCTTCGTGTTGCGTGAATGGCAGGATGACTGGTGGATGGGGAATCTGCTCCCGCAGCGCTAATTTCACAGCTGCACCAATAGCACCAAAGGCGTAGTTGAGTTGTTGATGTCGATGTAACGCCGAGGTGGAGAGGAATTGTGAGATACCGAGGTCGCTACACCATATGAATTGAACGGCAACATGAAAAATCAGGGGATTGTCGAGAACCCCGTCAAGTATGGTGACATGCCCGCTCTGAAAAAAGATCACAATTTGGTATTTAGAAAGAAAATTGAACGTACTGCGTCGACCGTAAACCTATTCATGAAGGCCAACGGGTTACGAGTGTCGTTAATCAATGCGGTTATGACACGACCCCGAAATTGGACTGGTTGGAGATTGGACTCTAGCGGGGGGTAGAAAGTGTAGCCCAAGGCGAGACAACTCCGTACCATGTCCAATAGCTTCCGAAAACAGCCGTTCCAGGCGGCTGTCACCTGCTGACGTTCACTACTTGTCGTTCGGATTGTAACTACAATGAATCAGTATTCAACTCTGCAAATTATATGTAAACACGTACCATTCATACCTGGCATGGAAGACGACTCTGAAATCGCGAGAGAAACAAGCGCCGCCCTCTCACCATCAGTACCGGCCATTGCAGATGCCGTCAAGAAGAATCGTAAGATTCTTCTTTTTGCAGAATTGAGGATCTGTTTTTTGACAAGGGAATTGACGTTAATGAGGGCTGGTGTAGTTGGCTGCACAGCAGCAGGACCAGGAAAGATGGCAGGGGCCGCTGGTGCAACTCCGCTAGCAGTAATTGCTGGCTGCATAGCAACAAACTTGAGTGACAAAGGGACCAGTGTGCTTGGCCATGAAGCAACAGGGGCAGCAATCGTGGATGGGATAGCGAGGGCAGCCATCGGAGCTGTTGGCTCAGGTGGCCGAAGGACCCTGGGTTCAGGTATGAAATATGGCGTGAAGGAGGGTCGAGGGCGATGATTTCTCTCAGGATGCTGTGACGACCCTGCCAGCATCTGGGGAACTGGCGGGTTGTATAAAGAGTCGAGTTGGGCGGAGTAAGGGATTACAGGGTAGACGTCATCACCGGCATCAAGTGGTTTGCTGGTGCTAGATGACGGCGCGGGGGGTGGAGCATCCATCTCGGACGTGAGCAATTGTAGACTATTAGTTGTTGCATATGGATAGACACCATCACCAGCGTCAAGTGGTTCAAGTGTGCTAGACGATGGCGTGGGGGGTGGAGCATCCATCTCGGACGTTAGCGATTTTAGACTACTTGTAGTCGTTGCATATTGTGGGTCGGTCATACGGAGGAACCTTGAAAGTGGGTCCCCCTCATCATCTGCTTCAAGTTGATCTGTCAACAAGCGACTAGTGTATTACTGGCTTGGGTACTCACCGTTTAAATTCGGATTTCTATCTGCATAGTCTGACAACTGAGAACCTGTCTTGAAGCTGGCCAGGGAAGTGTGGATATTCATTGTCATCCGGCGGCTGCATACTTTGCTGGAAGCAAATACTGGCAGTAGGAAACAAGGAGATGCGAGATCACGGCGAGAGAGCTGGCATAACGTGCCAGAAACATGTAGAATCCTGATACATAATGAAGACTCAATAGAATAGAGCCGAGCCAGTGGTCATATAATCGCGATCCGATACCTAGCGGTCCTAATCATGAGAAGAGTGATATGCTGCTATCAGTAGTGTAAGACTGAGCACGACTATTTCACGTACAATGACAGATGGGGAATGGAGGCAAAAACTGAATTGACTCACGATGAGCATATCGGTTGGGCGATTAAACTGGGGCGTTCACGTTTGCAGCTGATTACAGATCGATTTGAAGCCTCGAGTCTATGGGCTTGGCGGGTAAGCGGCCTTACAGTTGCAATTGGGTAATACAAGTAGCCACAGATGCCGGAACATGCAAGAATCAATGACTTATATGGACTGTTTAAACGACTACATATATGGAGCGTTCAAACGACGACATATATGGCAAAAATCAACCGAGCCTTCCATACGCCAATTAATATGTATTGTATTGATGCCATCATAGATATCATGTTAATTCTTGTTTCAGGTGATAAGACGAGCAAGAGTGGAACAACACATGCATTTGACAGGTGTCTACAACATCGTAAGTGCATACAAAAATTCACAAATCAGCCATGAAGTAATAGATACCTCCACATCAATAATGATCACGAGAAACAGATATTGAACATAAGACAAGAAGAGCGATTGGAGTGGTAAAAGGGAGCCTGCAACTTGCGATGAGTTGAATGGTAATACTTGAAAGGAGGATTTCCCATACCGCTGAAAGGGCGACTATCAGTCAGCTGACAACCTAGAGCCTGCGCCTTCACCTGAATCCTCAGAGTCATGATCCGAATCATCTGGGGGCAGGTCTGCAGTAAGACCCATCACTCAAATCTGGATCTGAGTGTTCAGAGGGTTCCCTAGTGCCGATGCAGGAGAGTCCACCATTAGGGTGAAGAGGAAATGCCGCAGCAGGTTTCAAAAATGCATGTTTAACACGTGAATTGAGGAGGGTTGCAACCTGGTCAGTTTGGGCACTAGCGACGCGGAGGATCTCGCATTCGTCTTCAAAGACAGCTTGAAGATATTTTCTATCATCCTCAAGTTCCGCCTGCCCACGCTGTGAAAAAATCCTCCTAAAGCCGTGCAATTCCCCATCCGCCATCTTGAACCGTTGTTCGTTTTCACCATAGATGGCAATGAGGAATTCTTCATACTGTGCAGCCTCGTCAATTTCCCACGTCGCCAACACCATGCGTTGGCGCGCAACCTCGCGACTTGCGAGCTTGGCCTTGTATCCTTTGTACAAGGTTGCAGTCGTCATTTGAGAAAGGCCGCTCTCCAACTGTTCTTGAAACTTTCAGACCACATCAATGAGTTATCAATGTCTAGAAGTAAATATGGCATACCTTCTGTGTTGCTTCCAACGAGAATTCTGGTTGGAATTTGGACTTCATCATCCGAGCTGCATAACGAAGCTCCAATGGAGCTGGATTGGGGGGGTATGGAAAATGTTTCCTTGATGTCCGAGACTTTGATGTTTTGTCATGTGTAACAAATGTGCTCTCTTTCGCTTCAGAAGGCGTAGGTTTGCCATCCTCTGAAAGGCTTAGATATGAGGCATGTAAATCTGTATTCATCGTAATTGAAGAGCCTGATCGTTGGCTTGAATTACAGAGAGTCGGACTAGGGCAGTCAGGAGAAGACAGAACAGTGGGACTGCTCATTCGAGCAGGAGATAAAGGCGGACTATTTGATTTAACAGGAGACGAGGCTGGTGAGCTGTCCATCTTATTGTGCGAATCTTACCCTGGAACTTTGGCAATGTATTATTGATATCCGGTATCGGAGCCTGAAAAATGACATAGAGGAGATAGCATCTAGTATTAGTGAACATTCCCTCGTACCATTATGGTCCAATGCACAGGATGTTATACGACTTTTTCGGCCACTGGTTTAAGTCAACACTTAGCTAAAACCAAGAATCGATGCTGCATGGCTGTGCTCGCTGCATCACGCTCAAATGTCCACTCTCCAATACCAACTCCTTCAGATGATCTTGCGGACTCAGAAATCGAAGCTGATGATCAAGCACCTGCGAATGGAGGAGACTTTTTTGGTACTTACGAGGAAGATGAAATCCAATGGCCCGGTGACATGGAATGGTATGCTAACAGCAGTGAGAATAGTGACAGCTCGGACTCCGAGGATGATGTCGTACCTGGCCTCGATGATGCCGAATGGGAACCCCTCGTAACTGGAAGGGATTTAGAGGACCAACTCGGAACTGCCGAAGAAGACAGCACAGAGATGAATAGCCACAATCGTGATTTGCGTCAGCAGATTGAGCAACGCGTGCTTCAGGAAGATGCAATCACTATTGTGCAATACCCTGATGCTCGAGCAGGGCACCCCATTCCGCAAGCTGACATATGCAATGCAAACGCTGCATACGCTACTGTTATCAATGACACTGCAAATCCATATGCCCCCTTCGCCTCTCGAGTGGATTGGGAAATTGCACGATGGGCTAAATTACGTGGCCCAACTTCAACCGCATTTTCGGACTTGCTTGGTATCAGTGAAGTCAGTGAATGGTATTAATATCACCTTCGAGCTGTGGGTAATGTGTCTATCTTTGTTGACAGGTCCATGAAAAGCTTGGTCTTTCTTACAAGAACTCAAGGGAATTAAATAAGATCATCGACAAGCAGCTTCCTGGTCGCCCAAAGTTCAGGCGTGAACAAATTGTCGTCGCAGGCGAGGCTTTCGACGTTTTTTATAGGGACGTTATCGAATGTGTTAAGGCTCTGTATGGTGACCCAGATTTTGCCGATTTTCTAATCTTTGCACCGGAACGCCACTATGCAGATGAGGAACAAACTGTCCGATTATTCCATGATATGCATACTGGTAAATGGTGGTGGGATACTCAGGTAAGTTCGCATTTTGGGGACTTCTGCTCATCGAAAATAACTGACATTAAATAGAAAAAGCTTGATCAGCGCAAACCGGGTGCTACCATCATTCCAATTATTATTTCGAGTGACAAGACTCAAGTAACAATGTTCCGAAATAAAACGGCTTACCCAGTCTACCTTACTATTGGCAACATTCCAAAGGAAATCCGCCGAAAGCCATCTCGCCGTGCCCATATTCTTCTCGCTTATCTTCCTACTACCCGTCTCGAGCACATCACCAACCAGGCTTCACGACGCCGAACCATTGCAAATCTGTATCATGCCTGCATGGGCCGTGTCTTAGCACCACTGGAGGAAGCTGGCTTAGATGGTATTGTCATGAAGAGTGGCAATGGTATCCTGCGTCGCAGTCATCCCTTATTTGCTTGCTTCGTTGGTGACTATCCTGAGCAAGTCTTGGTTACAGGAGTCAAAACCACGGAATGTCCCAAATGTGACATACCACCAGCCGAACTCGGAAGCAATGCCGCACCTTTCGAGATGCGCAACCTTGACGCTGTCCTCAATGCATTGGCTGCGATTGATAACGGAGATCTCGCATTTGTACATGCATGCCGCGAAGCCGGAATCAAGCCCATTATACATCCGTTCTGGGAGCCCCTACCCTATACCAACATCTTCCAAGCCGTTACACCAGATGTGCTTCACCAATTATACCAGGGTCTTATCAAGCATCTCCTTGGTTGGCTGGCCGAGGCATTCGGAGCAGCTGAGATTGATGGAAGATGTCGAAGGCTCCCCCCAAATCACCATATCCGTCTATTTATGAAAGGTATCACTAGCCTCTCACAAATCAGTGGTACGGAGCATAGTCAGATATGCCGTTTTCTACTTGGGATCATCATCGACATCCGACTCCCCAACCGTCTTGCCCCAAGCCGTCTCATACGTGCCGTCAGAGGTCTACTTGACTTCCTGTACTTGGCGCAGTATCCTTGCCACAGCTCCGAAACATTGACTCTCCTCACAGAAGCTCTCGATCTTTTTCACAACAACAAGCAGATCTTCGTCGACCTTGGAATACGAAACAATTTTAATCTTCCAAAGCTCCATGCAGGCCGCCACTATATGTCGATGATCCAGACTTTTGGCACAACTGACAATTACAATACAGAATATACTGAGCGCCTCCACATCGACTTGGCCAAAGATGCATATCGTGCAACAAACCACAAAGATGAGTTTGTTCAAATGACTCAGTGGCTTGAACGCAAAGAGAAGATCGCTCGACATGAGAGACATGTCATGTGGCGCCTCCACGGCAATCCCATTCGACACCAACCTCGTCCAGCAAACCTGTCTTTCGACCGGGTTCAAACATTAACGAAGCATCCTAGCATGAAAGCTGTGCCAATTCAGAAGTTAATCACGGAGTATGGGGCCACGTACTTCCGTGAGGCGCTTGCAAGATATGTTGCACAGCTGCATCATCCACACGAAGCCACCACTCGTCGCCGCCTCGAGGACCTTGCTGCTGCTATCCACCTTCCATTCCGCACACTTCCTGTGTATCATATAATCAAATGGCGATCTGATGGTGCACAGGGACATGGTGACCCATGTGTCACAGTGGACAGCGCGCATGTCAAACCTCGCCGTGTGACCACCAGTCAAAAAGGCGCTGATGTCCCAGCACGATTTGATACTGTGCTTATTAATGATGGGACTGGCCGTTCTGCAGGTATTGAAGGTCAGTTTTTGATTCCCGAGGATGCTAGGCAGTCAAATGATGAATTTTCAACAGGCTACCGTGTGGGTCAGATTCGCGTAATATTCTCAATCCCGCAGAGTGCTGTTACAATGATGTTCCCTACCGCAATCCAGCCTCCCAAACATCTCGCCTATGTAGAGTGGTTCACTCGGTTTCCTCCTACAGCTGATTCGAACCATGGAATGTTCAAAATCAGCCGCTTCGTGCAATCGGGTGAGAGAGTTGCGAGCATCATACCCGTCACAAACATCCACCGAAGTGTCCATCTCATTCCAAAGTTCGGACCTGTCGCACCTCGTCAATGGACCAGTAGCGAAGTCCTCGAGCAATGTGACACTTTTTATGTTAATTCTTACATTGATAGGCATACATTTGTGACGGTTAGATAGCACATTGTAACTTCATTAAAGAATGTTGAAGTTTAGCGAGAAATCATCAACCTTATCTATAGCTTGTAATATTATTGTCTTTTTATTCAAGTTTGCATAATTTTGCATATCTTTGTCTAGCTTTGTGTGGGAGGGTTTTCCTGATGTATGGGATGAAGAATAGGGGAGCTCAAAGTTGAACGCTCACGTTTATGCTTATCGTTGCTTATGCTTACACCCCCCCCAGTCGCACGCCAAAGCTGATTATATAATCATAAGCAACTTTTGATCGCTGTGCAGCCACAGTGAGGCTGCTATACTAGTACTTACCATGGCACGAGTTCCTTTACATGATCAGTATCTCCGTGCATATCTGTTGTCCATGGTCCTCCGCACCCTCGCCAATCCAGAATTGACACCACAAGATGCTGCTTTGCTTCTTAATTGTGATATTGCTTGTGTCTTGATGATTCGACAAACACGCTATCTACAGGGACGATCCCCTGTCACCAAAGCCCCCAGTATTCACCTTGCTTGGGAGTTCGCCCAGAATCCATCCGACCACTCTCGATTTGTCAACATGCTTCGGGTGTCACCTGAAGTATTCCATGTGTTGCTCGATCTGATTGAGGACCATGCGATTTTCCAAAATAATTCCAACAATGCACAAGCTCCAGTTCAATTGCAGCTTGCTGTCACACTCTATCGGATGGGTCGCTATGGAAATGGTGCATCATTGGAGGATATTGCTCGCTATGCAGGGATCTCCGAGGGCAGTGTCGAGAAATTCACAGAGCGGTGTTTCACAGCTATTGAAGCTCTGCATGATGCATTTGTGCGCTTGCCCACTCGGGAGGAAAAGGAAGTGGAGAAATGCTGGGTTGATAATCGCCTTGGTTTTCAGGGAACTTGGAGGGAGGGCTGGGTGATGTATGATGGGACAATTGTTGTCCTGTATGCAAAACCTGGATTAAATGGAGATGCCTACTTCACTCGAAAGGCGAATTACGGGCTTAATCTACAGGTAATTTTCTTCTCTCATAGAGAAAAAATATTCACCCCATCAATATCAGATAGGAAACCTGCCATCAAATCTCCGCATTGTAGACTATTCGCATGGCCTCACCGGATCTGCCCATGATGCTTCCGCATTTGAGCATACAGCTGCTGTCAGACATGCTGACTGGTTTTTTGCTGGTGATGAGTTTGCATGGGTAGACTCAGCTTATCCTGTCAGTGTCCATACGATTCCGGTACACAAGCGACCCGCATCACTTCTCCCAGAGAACACCCTATTTGATAGTGCTGTTGCTCATCTTAGGGTGCGATCAGAGCATTGCATGGGTGCTTTGAAGGGGCGCTGGCAATGCTTGAGGGGACTTCGTATCAACATCAATTCGAAACACCAACATCGAACAGCATGTCAATGGATGACTATTGCAATTATTCTTCATAATCTGGTGATAGATGTTGAAGGAGCAACCAAGGGAGAAGATTTTGCTGCTGTGCACACTCAAGCGGAGGAAGAAGTTGATAGAGGACCAGCTGATCTTCCTATGGAGGATGATGAGCAAGATGGTGAAGCCAAGCGAAGGCAATTAGTTGAAGAACTACTGGCATTTCGACAGATGTAACTACATATCTATCAATCTGCATTAAAAAGTGAGTAGGAAAACACGAAGGAGTGTAAGAGTTAATGAGTGTAGGAAAATTAAAAGGGTATAGGGCACGAGCACGCAAAAGTTATTCTACTCGATTTCATCCCAGTCAGGAGAGTAGCGAGCACGAGCACGCTTTGGAAGTCGGGGATTAGCAGGATCATGCTCCAACTCCTCAAGCCTCTCTCGATACTGCTCAACTGTCCAGATACCAGCAGTAAATTCTCGGAGAAGGAGGTCACGGCTCTTGAGCCTCATCTCTGCATCAGCACGAGCATTGATAGCATCCATGTTTTTCCTACCAGAAGTATCAGTCGAGAACAGGTTCGAACATTAGATAGATTTACGTTTGCAACTCGAGCAACACTTCCTCCATGCCTCGCTTCTTTGGAACCTTAGCAATGCGCTGCTTCGCCCTCTCAAGAATATCCTGGGACATTGATGAGGGTTTCGGAGGACGTCTTGCTGGTGTAACTTGAGATAGTGGAGGAGCATTCTCCTTCTCGCCATCATCGTATCGTATATCGTCGTTTGAGGTATCGAGAACAAAGGGGTCTTGCGAGAACTCAAAGGATGGAGACAGCTCACGACGGGGAACTGCTGCTGTCAGGATATCGTGCAGTGACTGCATCTGCATGTGCTGAGATGGCGTGAACGGGGGAATATCATCGTCCTCGTTATCGCTCGGAGGCTGAAAGTGAAGAGTTTTTTTGCCGTGTGGCCCAACACCTGTAGTCACGGCAATCGGAGTGATGTTTGGACGAGATGAAAGAATTCGGTGTAAAACAGGGAAGAATGGAAATTTGGCGACAATTTCATCTATGCAAAGATCAAACCAAGCACACGAAAATATACCAGAAATCATACCCCAGATGCTCTTCGTCTTGGTGGTAGTCATTGAATCAGGTCCACCCGCAGGGACGTAACAGTCGAAGAACTCATTTTCGGAGGGGTTATCTTCCACATCAGAGCCGCGAATCCCCTCGCCAGTGGTTCTGAGACGTTTTCCATGTTGCCGATATTTCCGCGTTAAGCTATGTGCATCGTGAGTCCCTCGTACGATGCAATCTGAAATAAAGCAACATACTGGTCATATTTCCGTTTGACAGCTTTGCCTGTTGCCGTCGGATTGAGCTTGTAGCTCTCGGGTAAGACAACAGCTCCGATCCGTTGAAATACTGTGATCTTGCTATCCCCGGATGTATTCTGCTTCGATATCAAGAACATATGCAAGTATTTGAAGCTAAATACTCACCTCCTTCTTTTCCCGCTTGCCAAGCAACACCAGCCTGTTATCGTCCTTTTCAACCTCCGATAGTAAGCTCCACGTCATGTCTTCGGACCAATGAACATCCGGGATGGCAGGTGCAGTATCCTTCTTTGGCATGGTGTTGATACCGGGAGATATATCTTAGCGCTGGCAAAGTACCACGGTAACTGTAAACAGACTTCAAACGGACGTATTTTGACTTGTTTACTCAACAGTACAAATTAGTGAGAATGGGGGGGTGTAAGCATAAGCAACGATAAGCATAAACGTGAGCGTTCAACTTTGAGCTCCCCTAATAACTTAACAACAAACCTGGACACACACGCCGGCCAAGGCCGAAAACGCATTGTGCGGGGTCATCATCCGGGTCAATGCACCGTCGACGTCTATGAACCTCTCTGGTATAAAACGAGATGCGTCGGGGTACCCCTTTTCATTTTGTGTAATGCACCTGCAATAAAGTCAGTATCACGAAAGATGGGGAAAACTTATCGGACCATGTGTTTTTGCAAAGACTACATCATGAATCCAACTTGCGCTCAACGTTCTTTGTGTATGTATCTGTACAAATAAATTTCAGAAATTTTGACAAAGCGCGAGGGTAAGTTTTATCAGTGACTCAGAACGGGAAGAGAGAGAGAGAAATTAACATCACTGCATCTTCTTAGTAAAACTGACGTTGAGCTGCAATCATGAGGAGGGGTTATAAAGAGCGTCTTTGAAGCTGGATGAGAAGCAAATGAAATAAAATTTCCGCGCGTTGGTTGAGATGCTGGTGCTGTCCTTCTATCCTGGGGGAGAGATGGTACATTCAACTCGAACCATCTTTCTCGGTCCACTCCTGCAATGACATCACTATCGCTACTAGTACATCCCACAGCTGGACAGTTATATCGTCACCAGTCACGATGTGAGTGCCATATGGCAAGAATGAGGGCCCGATCAGTGTGTCTTAGGCTGCGCGGGTGATTTGTTGCTTCCAACTTGATGTTTGATTACGCTGGCGATGATTAGTCGAGGTTGCATGGCACAGAAGGCCTTGGAAGCCTGAAGCTTGAAGAATAGTGTGACTGGAAGGTGCAAGTCGACCTAAGTCAACTCGTACGACATACTCAAGCAGAAGACGAGGTTGCAAACGATTAGAGTACACAATAACTCGAGTGAAGTTACTTGGGGACAAGAGGATATGAGAATGAGATAACAGGAGCGTAAAAGTATCACGGTTGTGATTACAAACAACAGGACGAAAGAGAATGCAATATAAAAAAACACGTAAAACCGTACCAATCGAAAGCAATACAGTAGGAACTACATACCAATGTGAACGAAAACGATTCTCTGCTCGAGCGGTACCTTCGTCTTCACGGAGTTTCTAGCATAGTTGACTGCATGCGCCGCATTCGTGCAGTCCATGACACCATCCTCCATATCCTCGAACATCTTCTCGTAGAAAGCTTCCACAAAATGTTTTGCGAGAGCGTCATTGACCCCCCACAGTGTCCCTACAACGCTCTTGAAACCGGAAAACTGGAGTCCAGCTGCGAGATGAATGGCTTCTTCAGGTGTCACCTCATCGCCGACAGCGGTATGACACGCCGACAAGAACGCAAATTCGGCTTGCGGACAATTGTTCTCCATGATGTCGAGTAGCGTAAGGGGTTTGTCTCTCATGGCGAAACTTGAATTATAAGGCTGCTCAAGGTCTTGCTTCCCGTGACAAGCGAGGTGCACCCAGGTGTTATGACGCAAAGCATCGAGTGCACCTGCTTGAGTGGCTTCATCTTTTGAAAGATTGGTGAATTTGACGTTGGGAGGAATGAGTTCATGAACGAGCTCAAGCTCGATGTTGACAGCGGGGAGCACCTCGCCTTGCCCTGCGCCAGGTTCACCTTGTCCGATCGCTACGAAGGTCTGAGTGACGCAAGTCTCCATCTTTTGTCTAGACCTGATCAGAGCCGAAAGCGTTGGCGTGTAAGAACAGATGAATATATCCTCCAGGCATGCCTCTGGCCCTGAGCGGTCTGCCTTGGACCGAAACGGGTTAGCTGCATGGAGAGGAATGGACGTGAAGGCTGCCGTCGGACAAAGCCATATTCGAGACTGACGCTGCAATTTCAGGTCATCCTGGAGGACGTTTACGATGGGTAGCATGATCTCGTCCCATACTACTCGCAAGCGTCTTTGCAACTTCTCCCTCGGCTTCCTTGGGTGCATACGAGCCGTGTGCCGGATTGTCGTAGCAAAATCGTCCTTGAGCTGCTCCAGATCTGCGAGAGTTATGCGTGGGAAGGCAACATGGTGGGGCTCCCCTGATGTCGGGACAATGATGGCGCTGCATGAGTATTCGCTCGCGATGAGGATGATGACTGGGCCATGGCACGCTGCCACTTGCAATTCTGCATACGATGGCGGGAGCAGGAATCGCGAGAAAGCTTGAATACCACGGATTTGAGTTACCACAGCGTCCCACTGATTCGTCAGTTTCCTGTACTTGATTGCTGCGTGATCAGCAGCAGCTCGGTCTGTGCTGCCCGTGGAACCTTGAGCGTCAGACAGACACTTGCTCAGCTCCGAGAACTTGTGAGCTAGGATTGGATTCGTGGACTCGAGGTGTTCGAGTGGACTTCTCAGGCGAGAGGCCAGCGACCATTGCTGGCCGCGGCCCTGCTCTACGAGTTCAACCGCTCGTTGCAGATCATTAGAACGAATGGCACATGATGCTGCATCTACTGGCAGTGACTGTACACCGTAAAAAGCGGTTGCAGCTTCGCGCCGTGAGATAATCGACGATCGCGTCATCACATGGTTGTCGAAAAGCTCCAAGCATATCTGATACGCTTCGAGGGCAGAGTCGTGTTGATGACTCTCAGCACCATCAACCCAGTTCAAGGCGATTTGAATGCGTTGTGGAAATCCATGAGTAGGATGTCCTGATGCCAGTCTGAAGTTCTCCACTGCAAGTGACAAATCAACAGGGTTGTTGTGCACTCGGTAACGAGACAAATAAGCCTCCTGCAGCCGCATATAGCTGTAGTATCTATCCGGGTGCAATGAAGGCAATGCCAACAATGATTCTTTACAGAGATCAATCGCCTCCTTGACATCTTCATTCTTCTGAGTTCGCGTGAAACGATCGCAGAGCGCCGAGCTCAAATTGTGAAGAGTTTTATAGCGCTCGGGATCATCGTGCCCCTCTAGCCGAAGAGATTCACGATACAGATAAATGGCCTCGTTAAGATCTTCAGCAGATTCCTCGCTGACATGTAATCTTTCAAATCTGTTTTGAAGCGCGAGGGCAAGGTTGTTAAGCGTGGTCTCACGACTTGAATTCCCAGATGGGCGCAACGTCAATGCCTCGCGATGGAGGCTGATAGCTCGGGAGATGTCATCAATGTCATCGCGTTCGATGAAACGGCTGCGGAGGGCAAGCCCTAGGTTGTCCAATGAGAAATCACGAGATTCGTGTCCAACAGGGCATAGTCGCAGCGCTTCTTCGTACAAAGTGATGGCCTCATCGAGGTCATGAAATGTGCCTTGGTGATTAAAGCGGGACTTGAGTGAGAATGCCAAGTTATTCAGGTAGGTATCACGGCTGGAATGTTCCTCGGGGCACAGAGAAACAGCTTCACGACCAAGTTGTATGCTCTCTTCTAGATCATCAATGCTGCCATGCTGGTCGAAGCGTGCGTCAACTGCCCGTGCAAGCTCGTCAAGGGCGCGGGGACGGTGTTGATGGCCCGGAGGACAGAGTTCGAGCACGTTTCGTCGAAGGCGGATGCCTTCATTGGATGCATCAGTTGGAAGATCGTTGCATTCCGGGATCACATAATCGACCTCGCTGTCTACGCAAATGCTACGAAGGTAGGTGCCCTCTGGACAGAGGGGCAGTAGCTTGCAGCACAGCTGCGCCGATTCGTGAATGTAGTCGGCAGTGCGCTCCCTGCTGTAGCGCCAGGTCAATGCTTGAATGAGACCATATAGGGATAATGCGCAATCGGGGTGGCCCTGCGGACGCAATGCAAGGGCTTCGCGGAAGAGGGAAGTGATGTTGTCGATGTCTTGGGGGTGCTGTCGAATATAACCTTCAAGGCGGGCCCACGCAAGGTTGGTGAGAGCTGCTGCGTGGTCTGGATGGCCGACCGGACAGCAGGCCAGAACCAACTGAAAGTGCGTTACAGCATTGTTCAGGTGAGAGACCCCCTTGCGTGTCATGTATATGGCGAATCGTGCGTGGCCCGCATCCGTGTCTCGAGCAATCTCGCAGTCTACAAGGACCTACAATTGGTATTCCGTGAGCAAAAGCTAACAGGATAGAGTCTGGGATCACTCACATCAAACAGTGCACCGTCCAGGTTGTCGAAAGCATGTACAACAGCAACCTTCAGCGCGAGGGAAGGGCGAACACCACAAACGGGTGGAAAGGACAGTTCTACGAGATGTTAGTAAATGTGCATGAATGAGGAGCGAATCACTCACCAAATGGCTCATCTCCATGATCAAGCAACTCATCCCCCGATGTTTCGAGTTTTCCAATGACTTCGCCATTGCCTAGCATTCGATCGAGCTCATAGGACACCCTGATCTGGATTGATAATGCAGATGACACCTGTGATGATCTGTAAACCGAAGATCAGTTCTCGAATCACATCCGACAGTTTCCATGTATTTTACAGGGTTACAGTATCACCCCACGCTACAGATTTGTCGGATAATAAGACTCCGATGGCTGATTTCCAGCGTCTCCTCGAGTGGACATCGATGGATATGTAAATGCCAGCGGGAATGCGGTCAGAAGGGAATTTGAGATTTTTTGCGCTGATAACTGTAGATAGAGTGTGAGGATCAAAAAAGAAACGAAGGTGATACAGAGTGACCCACCTTCAAGTCTGATAGACTGGCTTTCTAAGGTACCGGACATGATGGTGGGATGCAGTAAAACGATGAGGATTGAGGATGGGCTGAGTGATAGGCGGAACGAGTGGAAGGAGAAGACGGGATAGGGATATGGGGAGGTGGATGGAGTTCAGCTGAAAGGGAGAGGAGAAGAGGTTGAGGACGTTCTCATGCTGTTGAGGGCTGTTCTGGCACAATAGACGCTGGGATGATTTAAATTAGACTAAGCGCTAAGATGAAAAGACGACCATGTAGGGTTGGCGGGAGAACCTGCCATCAACAAAAGTGGCACGGCAAGGTTATGTGAGACTCGGAGCATCCTGTGATGCTTCAGCTACTCCTGCACTGAGTCGTACAACTCATTTAGCACACTTGCAAAGAGTTCGCTGAAAACGATGCGCATCAATTGTATATCATAAAGTACTTCCGAATGAACTGACCTAGTACCGAGGAGACGATTTGCGAGAGCATGACAGGTCGAATTCAGATGAGATAGCTACACTTTGCAGTGGACGATACAACAAGTGAAAGCGCGATAGTAGCAACCAGCTCGAACAAACATACGAGCAACTTGAGAACTAGGAAGTCTTTAGTACGATACATGGAACGAAGACGCAAACATGAATTAGTACGGTTTCTGTCAATCCGCCGTCGACTCCATGCCGAGTCGTCAACAATCGTGCCTGAGTGTAGTGAGCAACTTTGGAGCAACTCGCCCTTCTTTGCATCCCAGATTTTTACTCCAGATACTTATTTTATTAAGCGCCTGCATTTATAGCTAGCGCCATTTACCATTCAACTCCGTCGGTTACATCAGCAAAAGTGGCGAAAGCTGACAGGGCCTCGGCAGATACCGTAAACCTGGCGTAGGGTTCCAAATATGGCTACAAGCCTTACAGCCGTCACACCAGGCATTGCAAGACTCGCAAATTGCTTGCAGAGGCAAGATAAGCGTTTATACAAGATTTCGTAGTGACGGATGTGCCGCAGAGTATCATGTAATGAAAAATTTAGCTATCATGGTACATTTTAATACTCTCCATAGTCATCATAGTCTTCCTCGTTTTCTGCAGCGCCCTCCCCATCCTCGGCACCAAGATCAATCTCGCTATCATTGTCACCGTCATCTTCATTGCTGTCCTCCCCATCATCCTCTATTATGCGCTCCTCCAGATCTCCATAACCGAACTCGCTACACTCGTCCTCTAATTCCGAGCCTGCATCTTCATCAGCTTCGTCGTCTGAATCTTCTCCTCCATCGAGCTGATCCACAGGCTCCAGTGACCGACGATCCTCCAACTCTTCCACATATTCAGGCCCATCCTCCTCACCTTCATCGGCATCACCTTGGCCAGCGGCCTCTTCATCATCACCCATATCAGCGGAGGCGCTGCCAGTAGAATGGCTTCGCATATCTTCGTCTGTGTCCAGACCGGCACTGTGATAGGAAGTGTCGTCCTCATTCATGGGCGATCCTGGCATGTAGAACATCCCAGTACGTTCGCTTTCCTTCTTGAAAGGTACTGAGTCGAGGGGATCTCGGTCCTCGTAAAAACTTCGTGTTGCCTCTCGAGTGGTCTTGTGTCCGACACCACCACCACGGAACCGCATAAACATATCGCGGTCTACAAATCTAAAGCGTGGTGAGCACCAAGAATGTATATTAAAGAAAACCTCGCACTGATTGACATAATACCAATTAAAGTCTGCATCAAGGTCGCGTGGCTGTCGGGCGATTGACGGAGGAAGTAGTGAGTATGTATAGCGCTTGCTGTATGCTGGGATTAGGTGGACAGCCCGTATGACATGCTGTGGGTCAATGAACCCAAACGCTTCTGCACCTACTTCGTGTGCATCAAAGAACCCAATCCGATGCAGCCGTCGTGCTGCCCAACCAGAGTTGTGGTTTGAGTCCCGGCAAAACCAACGCACCCAAAGAAAATCGATGCGCTGTGATGTTCGACTACGAGACTGAGCACCAAGATATCTCACATAGACGTGAAAGATCCCCACAATACGTGCATACCAGTACGGATGTGGTGCAAGCTCACCAGGCTGGCTCTCCTCATTAGCCAGGACCATAATATCAGCATGTACACGGGGATTGAGTGAGTCTTGGGCCCGACGAAGGTCGTATGTTGTATAATTGATGCGAAGCACCTTGTGCCTGTATATCTTGTTGTCGACGATAATAAGCGAGTTGCGCTGTGCAGGTGTGAATGTTTGCTCGCTGTTGTCATCAGAAACAAGCAGCCGAGCGAGAATATGATCTTTGAGGCACGGTAAAAAGTCCTATGTCATAAAGATAAGAAAAAAAAAGTGAGAACAAGCGAGAACGTGCCTTGACTGCGAGGTCCTCACGGTTCTTATGGAGCCAAGCTGTTAGGTCCCAGTGGAGGCGACGTGAATTGGAAATTTGGTACTGGGACTCCGGGGAACACTGCGGTAACACTTCTTGTTCAGCGAAATCGACTGTTGGACGTGAAGTTGTGTCCCTAGTGTCCAGGTGCTCACTAGCCTGTCGTGCGACACCCTGAGCATTTTGTCGAAGTTTGTGTAGAAGTCGTTCACGGCGCTGTTGCTTGGCGATACCACGCGCGAACTTGATTTTATTGGTACGCGCATAAAATCGCTTGACTCGACGGTGTTCCAATTCGCCCTGATGTTTGCTTTAAGTCACAATAACATAAATCATGGAGCAAACTCACCACTTGTGTAGAGAAGTTATCTGTCGTACCAAACAACCAAATGGACTTGACATAATCCCCCAGCGCATGAAGTTTATACGTCGACATGTTAAAAAGGCGTGTTCGAGGGCCGTCTGAAGCTGTCTTCTTTGGTGGTGCTTTTGACTTGCCTGTCTTCGAGTATGCAGGTTTGCGACGCCCGCGTGCAGCCGCTTCCTTGGGCAGCTCTTGAGTAACAAAGGCATCACATGTAACATCTTTGAACCGGCGCAAAGCTTGCCCAAGTCTAGTCGTTGAATTGTCGAGGAAATGCAGTGTGGTTTCGGTATGGAGCCTGAGTTTTCCTAGGGCGTGCCATGTCGCAAGTTCAAACAGCAGATCCAATATAATGTCATCATGCTCCTTAGGCAGTAGTCCTTCCAATACAGGGATAGCGCACTGTGTCACATCAGACAAAGGATCAGACTCGAAAACATGCACGAACCTGTAAAATATCCTCAAAGTCTCTTGCAGCGAGTTTCGTGAGGTTCGAAACATTGCGGTTGAATTTACGTATTGTATCCCGGCCAAAAGTTGGAACATGGCGAAATCTTCGAGTCGGTTAGTCTGGAAAGCAATAAAACAAATTTAAACCTCACCTTGTATCAAACTGTACCATTGCGTCCCCGCCAAAAGCATACATAATACGCAGCAAATGTGTAAGAGTACCCTTCCAGACCCCCAATTCGAACTCGTGCATAAAATCGGGCACGAACATCGAGTGAAAGTCCAACCCAAAGCGGGACAAGCGCGCTGAGAAAGCATTCTTTAAAGGAGATATAAGGGACTTTTAGTGCACAATGAATAGTAGAACTTACACGGGTTGGAACAAGAGAAGTTGGTCCAAGTACCTTGTCAATCACTGAGCTCGCTATGTTCCGCCCCTTTGTGAAAATCCAATCCCGGACCATCTCGATCATGCTCCGGCGAGCATGGTTATCCACTCGTACATCTCGTGTGCGTCGCAGTCTATCCAACTTTGATCCCAGCTGATTGATCTTGTCCTTTGGGATGAGGCACCGGGGACATGGAAATTTACCGAGGAACTTAATACAAGCAAGGAGAATCCTGAAATTCAAATGAGCGATCATAACGAAGGAGAGTTATATAAGTGTACTTCTCTGGGTAATCCGCTGCATAGGTAAAAAATCGGGGAAATACTCTACGATAGACGTTGTCTGCAAATCGGACAACGACACCATGCTCGTAGGCATCCATGAATTCATCGTCGAGGAGTAGGAGCCAGATAGCATGCATAAGATCCCTCTTGAGATGGGTAAGGACTGCGCTGGTTGCAGCTTTCCCGTAGGCATGCATATAAAATTCGTGTACAATATCTGGTAACTGAATACATTACCGTCAGAGTTGACAACGATGACTCAAAAGAAAATCTTACCTTTGGAATATATGCCAAATGATGTGCTGCAAATTCGAGTGGCTTGTTCCGTAGGTACTTTGACTGGTTTCCAATAAACAGGTAGATAGGCCATAGTGCAGCGTGCCCGAATGACGCAAGATGTGTCGAGTCTGACCACACCATGATAGCAGCAACAACCGTCTCTAGATTGCACCCCCGAGGCTGTGCCTTGATTTGCTGATGCTCCTGGAGCATTGCGTCAGCAGTATAGACTTCGGTGATGATTCGTTCAGGGAATTCATGTTCGTCAGGGTGCCAGAAGACTTTGAAGGGAGTGGTATGGAACGTCCTTGAGGACATCTCTTCGTAAGCCGATTTGAGAACTTCGAGCGGCTTGCGATAGTAAAGTCCTTCGACTGCGAATTCGGGGGCATCTGCTTCTGACGCAAATTTCTCCTTCTCCGCAGGCAGCTTAATCTTCACAGAGGCCTCATGCCACCTGTCAGACGTAAACAGACCCGAGTTTGGATCTTCGCCTGCTTGATCCATTCTCTTAGCCTCCCGAGACGCGGAAAATCCTCTCAAGTCCTCGCGCTCAAAGTCTTCAGCAAGCATCACCTCTTGCACTAGGCGGTCAAGGTCGGCAATAGATCTACCGGTAGATGAGTTGTAGAACCAACTCATGAGCCGAAAAGTCGTAGCATTGAGGAAAGGTGCGAAGAAGGTGCGATGAACAGCATCAATGGCAGTGCCGAAGCCTGCATACCAGGGTCGCGTATGCTTGTTGGGACCATCAGCTGGTTGGAAGGTGCGAGAGTCGCAAATGTCGTCAAACGACATGGTATTTTCAGGATCATAGGACGGGAAATCTCCCAAGTATGAACGGAACAAACCAAAGGTGTCCTGATCGGTATGTACCCACGTATCTTCGTCTGATTCTATGTCAGACTCGATACCAGAACGTGGCGAGGTGGCATCGACATCAGCCAGAGAGGCGGTAAGATCAATGTCAGCTGCAGGTGGAGGAACGGGAACTGGGACGGGCAGAGCAGGGAGTTCATCTCGAAAGCGTAATGGGAGCTGCCGTTTACGATTTGGAAGGCCTGATGGCCGCTGCGGTGGTGGACTTGAATGTACTGGTGGGGGCGAGGGCGAATAATGCTCAAAATCCAGCACACTCAGACCATCATCGTGCAAGGGAGCAACTATCGGTTGAGCGATGGGAACCTGAGGGGCTGGAGGCTGTGGAGGCTGGCGCTCACGGCGGGCATCCATGATGCTGTTTGAGACATCCCTCAAACCTTTGCACCACTGGTTTTGATGCGTGGAAATACCGCGTGCCGTCGTGGCAGTATAATTGCAAACAGGGCATGCAAACGACATGGCGAGGATAAAGGTGAGGAGTGAGAGAATGGTGTACTTTGCCAGCATCGCCTGCATGTATCTGCCCGAGTCACTGCAGGCATGCACTGGGATGGGAGTCAGCAGAGACCTGACTCGTTTTATATGAACTGGGACCTGCCACCCGATCAAAATCCCTGCCACCCGATCAAAATCTGCCTGCAGGTCATCGTGCGTAATGATAGGGTTACGGTCCGATCGTTCACATGCTCCACTTGATCCGCTTGATCCGCAATGAGCGCAACAAGTGGAGATATGACGAATGTGACTCCCTGGGTCCTACCAGTCTTACAGACTGCGGGAAGTTGGTAGCCAGATCAGCGCCTAAGCAACTGAAAGTGTCCGCATTATGCGGAGCTGCACGTAGTGCGTGTATCGGTGGCTGGTATGAGCGGACGCCCTATGGTACTAACTGAGGAGCAAGAACGAGAACTTTGAAAATTTTGATTCCAACATATCACGTGACTGACGGATCAAATTTAATGTCAGCCGGCAATTTCCGATGATCTTATTGATCAACACGCATAGATTTTCCAGTATTACGCGTCTATCACTACCATGTCTAATTCAGCCGAGTCAATCCTTCTCAATGGTACCGACCAGGTCATTATCCGTGACAATGTCATTGTCATGGATATTGACAACCTCCTAACTGGTTGGCCGACTTATGAGATCAACTTTACCCCCGAGAATCCGGGCCCATTGGCATGTAATCTCGATCTTTTCATATTACTTACTAACATTGATCCAGAAACTGATTATTCGCCTCAAAGATCCTGTCAAGATGGTCCGCATCGAGGAATCTACAGATAGCGAGGCGGAGTTGTTGATTCCAGGCAAACCCAAACGGAAAAGGTGAGTATTATTAGATTTCCTCTCACACATACATTACTAACTCCATATACAGAACCCCATTGAGTGAACGCGAGAGCAAGAAGATTAAGTTCTCGGCAGATACCATCAAGATCACAGAAGATCTTGCGGGCCTCAAACTCACGTCCCAGAGTTCCGGGTAAGACTTCTTATATTTGCTTGATCATGATCAGTTCACTAACAAAATTTGATCTACAGGAATAACTCAAATTTCAAGGCAAAGCCAGTGCGCTTGGTGGGGATCCCCAAAAATCCCCCGCCACTCAAACCTAAATTCGACGGCAGCATCGCTTGGCCACCCCGCCGCCGTCACCATTGCAGGGATGTGGAAGACAATGATTCCATTGCCAGTCTAGATCTTTTGCGAGCTCTGCCTGCTCCAGTTACCGCAGACTTAGCTTAGATTTTTTTTTTACTGCAGACTTAACTTAGATTTTTTTTTTTGCTCTCACATTGCTCTCATGTTATCTTGCACCCCCTTGTACTAATATTAGTATACGATAATTAATTGTTTGGGGTAACATGTCAACAGAACCAAATATCGGGTATCTGGGGTAACAATCCCTTAGCTGTTTACCTCACCCTACCATGTCTTCCTCAGACTCCGAGGCGTCGTTGTCCACTTCCAGCTCCAAAAAACGCACTTCGACTGATGAGATTCTCGATAATCTGACTGCTACGGGAAGACAGAAGAAGATCAAGTAAGTTTCTTATTCATTGATGATCACGGGCTCACCCCTATTACACGACTTAAGGTTGAGCGACACATTATCCGAATATCGCACGGCTGGGCGCAAGGCAGTTGCCACCTTGCATCCATTTACAAATGTGTCGCTCGCATTTCATTACGGGATGACCCTTGATAAGGGTGGTTCATCCAGTTCAAACATGTAAGTCGCCTTTCACCTTGGAACTCAAACTGATTTGTTTTCCAGATCTGAGGAGCAACAGACGCGATTTCTCGCATTTTACAACACTATTCTAGATTTTGTTCCAGGCTTCCGTGCAAATCTCGACAACTTGTCATATGATGAGCTCAAACCTTACATTACAGCGGTGAGTTGACGCATATATGCGCATATATGCACCTCACTGATGACTACAAACATATAGATCCACAGTTCAATGAGCTCCCAACGCTCGGATGACTTTTCATCCCTGAAGTACTCAATGCTTGAGTACATTCTTGCCAACCGCAGCACTGATACCCTCCAACCTCCCATCCCAAAGTCTTCCTGCAAGTCGAACCGCGGCGTCAATCATCCCCGACTAGCACGGGAACTTTGCCCCAAGAAATGGCTCGATGAATTTGACAAAGATACCGACCTGTGAGTATTTCTTAGCTCATAATGTTTCGTCTAATTCAGTCTCTATTCATAGAGGGATGCAACGTCTGCAAGACGGAGGATGGCCTCTGCTTGCTACGAACTGGCCATCCTTTCTGTATCCTGCTGATGCTGCTTACGACGCAGAAGATCCGATCACCGGCCTATTCCGTGGACATGCAGGTATCAGGGTACGTACTTTTTTGATTCTAGTCACTTAAGTTCACCAATTTTTTTGCAGGCATTTCAGCATCTATACTTAGGGCCCGCCGCTGCAGGATCACAAGATAATGATGATGAAGACAGCAAGCATGGCGGAGGAAAGTCAAAGTGCACCATGTACGGGCTAACAAAAGTGACACCGCAGTCGTGGGCTTGGGCTATGTGTGTGGTGAGTGCTCGTTGTTTTATTTGACTAGTGTACTGATTTTATAACACTAGGCGTGGTTTTCCCTATGCAACTGCAACTCCTACAGGATTATCATCGGCTCATTCAACCTCGAAGAGTTCTTTTCAGCCATTGTCGAGGCACTCGATGATACCGAGGATCCGTGGGCAGTGGAAACACTCAAATGGATTAACGAGTACGTATTCAGTTCATTGTCAGTGTCTACTAACAAGTATTACAGACAGGTATTTGGCAAACATGCAGCCAAGGCAATGATGGCCACTTCGAATGACGCTGACTCCGATCTTGCAAAAATGAGGGCGAAACGCGCTGCCCGCAAACAAGGGGCCCCCTTGACTGCTCCTCCAAAGCCCACTGCAGTTCCTCCCCCGATTCACCGTCCCGTCACTCCGCCTAGTAGACTACCGTCTCTCGCTCCATCTTCACCGTTGTCACTCCCACCTTCACCAAAACCTACCGACTCGGAACCTGCTACTGCTCCTTCTGAACTTGCCACCGCTCACGATGCTCTTGCTGCTCCAACCGATCCTGAACCACCTCTGACTGCACGACGAAAGGTACTCCCGAGACCTAAGCCTACAAAGCCAAAGTCGAGTGTCCGTCCCACACGTCTCGTTGCTAGCGGTGCCGAAGTCAATGAACCAGCTCCTGTCGTACCTCAGAAGAAAAAGGTTGCGCCTCGCCGTGGTAGAAAGGCGGATTAGGTATGTTTGTTTCTCACTCATTCACCTGGTCTGATTCTACCTAGTATTTCATGCTTAGATTTACACATCATGGACTCCCCGCATTGCTCATTCCCAATTTTGTCGCATTCGCACATTCGCGCTGTCATTTCTTCGGTGCTCTCGCCACGGCGCTCTCGATCATGCTTAGATGGGTATCATTTTAATCGGACTCGGACTCGTATCACTTTGCACCGGCTGTGTATTTTATTTTGTATTATTAATGTGAAATCTATTGTATTCCGTCTATTGCCTTACAGTGTGATACCAGACTGATATAGTGGTACAAGCCTGGATAAGAATAACAAGGATGAGTAGTCATTACAAGGCGCCTCAAGACTTCGGAAAGCTCCAATTCTGACCGTCTTCAAATAGCCTTACGCCTGGCTGGCATCGGGGAGAGTTCCTCTATATGGTATGTTCAGTCTTGGCGAGGCACATCTGGCTGGGGGGGTCTTGCCAAGCCTGGGAATGCCTTACCAGGGTGCGCCACTTTTGCTGATGTACGTGGACTTCCTTAACGCTTCCGAGTCGTTGCATCGTTGCAGGATAATTGGGTTGCAATTGGGTCCATTTGCTCAAACCGCCTAAGGTTCATTTACAGGGTTGATGCTTGCCCGTGCAAGTTCTGCGTCCTTAAAGTCCACTCGTCTGTTGCCACGACCCACTGGCAGGCTCCCGGAATCACGCGACGCAGAATCCTCGCGTTTTTGGCATAATCCCGGTGGATATATTGGGTTGGCCACGCAAACCAGCTGCAGAAGTACTGGCAGGAAATATATTCAAATTGATAGCCCCAATACAGCGCTTAAGTACCCCACACGGATCCGATCTATATCCTTGACATCTATTGGCTTGCGCCAGAGCCGCCCTCGAACCCACTTTTCACGACTACAGACCTCAAGAACCTTCTCTAGCAGCTCACGCGCAAAATCTAGCTTTGCATTCGAGCTATCTGAAAGTGATCCTATCATGGCTTCGTTGACTGCACCACAGGCTCCTCCCAAGTGGAATCACACCCCAGAAGAAGTGCTGAGTATCACCAAACAGGCACTTGCGCAAAATAAGGCGGTCAGTGACAAGGTCGCGGCGCTCCCGGAGGCTGGATGCGACTTCGAAACAGTAAGTGGTTTGTTTGTCTTGCGTGCATCATCGGACTGATCATCACATTTAATTCACAGGTTTTTGTGAGTGATACTGCTGATCAATTGTCATCCCATTCTCAGCCAAGCTTTCGACATTAGGCACCGCTTGCTAATGCAGAGACAGAAGCCCAAGTCATTTGCGAGCCCCTCGGATTCTACCAGAACGTCTCCACCTCCAAAGAACTTCGGGATGCTTCGAACCAAGCGAAAGTCCTTCAGCGCGAGTTCGATGTTGAAGAGTCCATGCGTCTTGACGTATTCAAAGCCAAGGCCGCTGCAGAGAAGAATCTACACGCATCAGGTGCATGGGAGAAGCTGAGCGACGAGCAGCGGAGGCTCGTGGAGAAGATGGTATTGGATGACAAGAGAGCTGGGCTTGCGCTCCCTGAGGAGGAGCGCGAGGTGTTGATGCAGTTCAAGAAGGAGCTCTCGCAAGCTTGCTTAGATTTCAGGGTGATTGCTTCTTCAGTGTTTAGGGGTTATGCTAATAGCGTTTGTAGAAAAACTTCAATGAAGAGAATGTGAGAATGCTCGTCTGTTTTGATTCATAACATTGATCACCCCAAAATACACAGGGTTGCATTTCATTCAGCCTCGAAGAGCTGGATGGAGTCCCGGACGATGTCATCTCGGGTTACACGAAGCGCACTGAGGGCTCCAAGGAAGTCTATGATGTCACTTTCAAGACACCGGATATCTTGCCAATCGTATGTGTGTGGTATCATGAAGGCTTTCCATCGATTTACCTGATGAATATTTCAGTTCAAATTCGCGCATAATCCAGCCACGCGACGCGCTGCTCAAGAAGGATACGAGGACCGACTCAAACAGAATGTGCCTTTACTTGAGAAGGCCCTTCACCTCCGTCGGCGCATTGCCGCAATGCTTGGCTATGACACATGGGCAGACTACATTACTGAGGTGAAGATGGTAAAGTCTGGTAAGAATGCCCAGGACGTGAGTGATTGACAATTTTAATTACTTCTGTCAAACCAACACACTCGCGCTCTAGTTCCTAGATGAACTTGAGGCGAAGCTGCGCCCTGTGGGAGAGAAAGAGCGTAAGATTCTGCTTCAACTCAAGAAAGAGGAACACGAGCAACGCGGACTTCCGTTCGACGGCGAGTTCTACATCTGGGACTACAGGTAAGTCACTATGTGTCACATCAGTAACGTCGACCTTGGATCATTGCTGTCTTGCAGGTATTATGACCGCGTCTATGTCGAGAAGACACTCGATCTCGATGAATCCATCGTGAAGGAATATTTCCCGGTCTCCGTCGTTGTTCCCACGATCTTGAAAATATACCAGGATCTCCTTGGAGTCAAGTTCATTGAGATCAAGGGCGACGCCAAAGACGTCTGGCATCCAGGTGTGTGGCACTCGCCGTGATGGAGAGATTTTGAACCTTCTAAACTTTTGCTCTAGAAGTGCAACAGTTCGCTGTGTGGGAAAAGGACGCTAAAGACGAATCTGCATTTGTAGGATATTGCTACCTTGATCTGTTTCCCCGCGGTAAGGGCGCGAAGTTTCATTTGTATTTGTATTTGACCTTGCTGAACTTTGTTCTATTTGCCAGCTGCAAAGTACTCTCACGCAGCTGTATGGGGCCTCCTCCCGGGCTATGAGCTGCCGTCGAGCAAACGTCACTACCCCCTGAGGGCCATGGTAGCGAATCTTGCAAAGCCGACTCCCGAGCGACCCGCTTTGATGCAACATGACGACGTAACAACATTCTTCCATGAGATGGGTCATGTATTCCATGGATTACTTAGCCGGACGAAGTACGCACGATTCCATGGTACATCAGTGGCAAGAGACTTCGTTGAGGCGCCTTCGCAAATGCTTGAGAATTGGTACGTATTCTGTACAACATTGACAGGAGGAATCTGCTATTGACGGCAGGTGGCAGGTGCTGGGAGCCCAAGGTGCTAGAGAAGATATCTAGCCACTACAAGACACAGGAGCCGCTCTCGTCGGAGTTGATGGATAAGTTGATAAAGAGGTGTGTTTCATTCTAAAGTTTTCGAGAATACAGCATGATGAGTGTGACAGTCGCTATGTAAACGTTGGGTTATTCTACCTTCGGCAACTGTTCTTTGCCAAATTTGATCTCAAAGTGCACGTGGATAAAGGTTGGATGTTTATTAATTTTGACGGCAGGGTTTACAGGCTATTGTGCAGAGGCGGCAGATTACACCAAACTCTGGAATGACCTGCGTGAATCCATCTCACTCGTAAAAGGGGGTAAAGCCCAGCCAGGACAAGGGACTTTTGGGCATATCGTCGGTGGCTATGACGCAGGGTACTATGGGTGAGTCACGCGATTGTCGTATTCTGATGGACCATCGACTGAAACTGACACCTCGGATGAACGTGATAACCAGGTACACGTACTCACTCGTTTTTGCCGCGGACATGTATGCGACAGTTTTCAAAAAAGACCCATTGAACCCTGCTTTGGGTAAGCGTTACAGGGACAAGATTCTCCTGGTGGGAGGTAGCCGAGATGAAACGGACTCCCTTGAGGTACGTCGCATCTTCGCGATCTAATCTGATGACAGTGGTTCACATAACCGAACAGGATTTCCTGGGTCGATCGCCGAACTCGAATGCATTCTTGGAAGAGATTTTTGGGACAGTTGCCACTGCGAGCCTGTGAATCTGATTTTGATAGGTAGATGATAAAATGTGATAAAGAAAGATTCAGAGTTGATCATGTATACGACGCATAACAGGACATCTGAGACTGATATGTTACAGAATTAGGAGAGTACTAACTACAAATCAGCCACCGCCGAATGCCCGTCCACTCGTCTCGAGAGAAGTCCCAAGCCTTGGGTGGATCTAAAGTCAGTAGATACTCTATCGTTGCTATGGTGTACACTTCTGCCTTCTCTCCCTCATCCCGCCAGTCCTTACCTATCTGTGCACCGCTCTCCGGGTCCCATAGCTGGTCATTGACTCGCGCTGCAACACAGCTTCAAGCTGCTTCCTAGCGAAGTTTTCAAGCCGATCGAATAATTCATTTATAACTTAAATTTTCCATCTTCAGCACAACTCTGCAGCGGGTGCTCTAATTCGATAATTCAATTTGAAGCAAACTTTTGAAAGTGATCGAATGTCATTGTGATAATTGTAATAAAGGGTCTTATAAGACTTAATCAGGTGAAAGCCAGGAAAATCAAGGACGTAGCCACCACTCCTGCCACCCTCAAACCCGAATTAACGTACAAGGTGTCAGCATCACTGGTCACCTCCAACCCATACGTCGAACCATTCCAGCAATATCGCTCAAAGCAACCAGAACACACCCCACTTCTCTCCACCCCACTCCTATTCCGCGCACGGTCCACAACTCCACATGCAAGGCACGCAGGCCACTCAAGGTCAATCGCGCTACTTGCGTTTGCTGGGTTTCCTTGCGTAGCGATCGTGAAAGTCTGGTTGAGGAACGCCTGCATTTGTTCGGTTGTGACGTTATTGGGCGAGACATTCGTCAGTGGCGTCTGGCCATCCCTCGGTGGACCACCGTTGGCTAAATAGATTATCAACGGTGCTTCCGTGCTGGAATCACATCCGAAGAAAGTTGGCCTCGTAGAGAGGTTCTGGGCAATGAACTCGGAGACATTGGTTGGGACTGGAGGGAATGAGTATTCGGTGGGGAAGAGAGCGTTGATGCGAGTTTGTGTGTTCTGCGTTGTCGTTCAGAGTACTCCCAGTGAAATCAAAATGTGTACTTACAATAAGAGAACCACCGGCAGACCAATATGCGTTTGCCCAGTCTTGGTTCTAAGTTGTACGTCAAGGAGCGGATCAAAGGAATAGTGAAGGTACCTACAGAGTCAATGGCAAAAATGGTGTCAACCCCTCTAGCCTTGACCAGCAAAGGCTGGATCGGAACTGCCTCTCCATCACTTCCGCCGTCGGACATCGCGATTATTGTTTCGCCCGCGTCAATGAACGTGCCCTCTGTAGCGGCACCATGGAAAGAGTTTGGGAAGAGCGTGCCATCAAGGACAATATTGGTTTGGGGGAGTGTATTGTTAAGAATCTCAATTATCGGGTACATCGAGGAGCTGACTAGGGTCGATTCCTGTGCACGAATTAGCCACAGCCTGCGAGACTATCCAAAGGAAGGCTCCACCGATGTATTATAATACGTATTCCAATCACCAGAAGCTCCCGCGATAAGACCTGTCTGATCATAATTGGTGGCACAGATAGACTCGTTCATTGTTCCCAAGTATTTCATGGGTGTAAACGCGGCAAGGGTAGGATCATACGACCCCATTTCATCTAAAACGCACGCTGAGCGACAGGACCACGGATCACCCTCCATACGTACAAACGTTGAGCTCCATGATAGGGTTCGAGGTTGGAATGATGAAGGACGAATTAGGGATGACGGTGGACATATTTCCGTTGGGAGATAACAGCGTCGCAACGAGAATGGGGAACGGTTGCTCGTATGACAGGAAAGTCGAGCTGCAACAATGGATGATCGTCACCGAAAATATCAACGAGGAGTCGCAACATGTACTCACATATTTGCGACGCCTGACCAGGTGTATCCCGCTCCGTGCACCAGCGACTCGTCAAAGAAGTTATTGACATCAGTACCGTTCACAAAATGACGCCCGTTGTCGCGTGCAACCACGTCCACATAGGACACAGCAAACCCTGCCTCAAACTTTCCGCGTACTTCCTCGACGAGCAGTTGGATGTATTCATTGTTCTGAGTCGTGTTGACATATGGGGCCTCTTGATTGATCTGCGCCAACCATCCGCCCCATGCGTTTGTGGGGTCTGTCGAATTCGTGCCAAAGGCTAGGACATCCATAGTAGGGAAGTTGGCCTGAGCCAACGATCCTACCAGGTTTGCGCCACCAGACAGACCTGTAAGGTACTGGGCTGCCTGAAGCAAACCACCTGTACCTAACGCGACAGATGCCGTATTACGACCATCCAGTGCATTCATGACACCAGCGCCGAACATAGAAGCTCTCCAACCTCCCCCGCTGCACGCGATTCCCAAGTTGGGATAGCCACTGCTGTTGCCACTGAGGATGCCAGAGACATATGAAGGTAACGAGGTATTAGTAGCCTCGAGATTGGAGAGATATGTCTTCCATGCATTAGGCAAGACGTTTGATTTGCGGCCGTTGATGTACGCAGTTTCTTGAGAATTTAGAGTCTGGTTGCCAGCAGCATTGGAGCCCGCTTGTCGAACAAGAGTAAACCCGCTCGGGCATGCGTCATAGACAGGGGTATATGCAAGGCTCGCTGCGCTCTGCGCCACAGCGAATAGAGGCAGTGATGATGCAACTAGGAGAGTGGGAAGCATCGTTAAAGAAACTTGTTACCTTGCTAGGCTCAACGTTATAAGCACTCCGCCATACTGCTAGCATCCCACGAATGGAGAAACGAACGAAAGAGTGGGCGACATGTGATGCAACCTCGCGGTTTCATTTGGACGTCGTCCCGACATTTTAGCGACACCTTGAGTATCACCGCCTAAAGGGCGCGACAGCAAAATGTCCACACGTGCTCGCGAGCACTGTAACCTGTGCACAGATTCGCACTGCAATGAACGGCTAGCGATAGCAGTTTTCAGTTTGACAGACAGTAGTACGAAACACGATCGCAAACTGCAAGATATACTAAGCATGTTTATCGGGATATCATGGGATTAGACAAGTCATGAGGCCTCGCAAGTTTGAACTTCTGACCTAAAATATCTCGGGCAAAAATAATATAGCTATTCGCCGTTCAGGATGAAATTAAACTCCTTTGATCAAAGCTGACGGAGCACCACCAGGAAATTGGGCCAATGCATATATTAAAAATGGATCAATTCCAATCATGTGGCCCATAGTAGGAACCAGATACTTACATTCGTTTGATGAAACACATGGATGTCTTGTCCTAGAGTAATGTCACTCTGTCGGCTTCGACCCCACGAACGTCAGGGCAGTGACGATGTTCAACGCGTCTTCGAATACTGATAATTATTTGTAGAGATGGACACTGTCGTTCCTTGCGCGGAGCTGGCGGAGGCGATTGCACGACCTGATGGTTTGGAAGTGAGGGTGTGTGGAAAACATGACGAAAGATGGTCGAACGAGGCGTGACTGGCAGAGTGAATAAAAGTATGGGCATACGCCCGGAAGTTGCGGAATGGTTAAAAGCGGTAGAAAGCGGTGCCATATGGATGAAATGAATGACTGGCCATCACCATAGCTGACGATCAAGCAATCATTACAAAAAGCACAGAGAAAGGTTTTGAAAAGTACTAGTACAAAGAGCGTCCGACGACAGTCAAATCATAGACGAAAAGACAGACATTCCTTTTTCTTGGACCACATCACACTTCAGCCCGCAACACGCCGATAAGTCCTGAATGAATATGAGAACGTGTTGAAATATTGCAAGGGAAGATCATAGGACGGCTAAAGCATGGGAAGTGTTAGTAACAGGAAGATGAATGACGCAAATGAAAACAAGTACTAAGAAAGTCCAGTCGTAAATTGGGGGGTGAAGTTGATGTCTTTGCCTTGGTCATCTTTGGCAGAAGAAATATCCAACGTGGCTAACATGGTCGCAATGGCAGACCACAAGGACGCATCAGCAGTATATCGGCCTGATTGAAAAACTGTCTCTCATCGAGTCGTATGAGATTAGAATGACTTGACCAACCTGGGCATATACGCCGGCCAAGGCCGAACACAAATTGTGCGGGGTCATCACTCGTCAATGCGCCATTGACGTCGATGAACCTCTCTGGTATGAAAGAAGATGCATCGGGGTACCGCTTATCATCCCGTGAAATGCCCCTAAGACTCCAGGTCAGTTCTCGAAAGCTGGAGAGAATTTATCTGACCATGTATTGCATATGACGGTCGCTCCTTATATGCGATATTACAAATGATGTATTGTGCAGGCAAAAACTGCAGACCTTGTGGAATGAAGTAACCATCATATATATCTGCACTTGAGGCAGCATGGGGCAACCCTGTATGGTGTCAGTAAAGGCGAGGCCGCTCATTGAGCTTGAAGATTACCAAGGGGTAAAACAGGCTGCCATCGCAAGGTCTCCCGCAGAACGGCATCAATATAGGGTAGTGACGCTCTTTCCTCAAACGTAGGTAGCCGATCACTTCCTGTCACTAAGTCGATCTCAGCTTGTGCGCGTTTCTGAACATCTGGATATAACAACATGGCGAGAGTGAAAACCATCAGGGTTGAAGACATCTGTGAAGAGGTCAAGGAGAAGACAAATAGTTGTAGTTGTGGCATCTACTAACTGTCTCGTATGAAGCTGTATAGTGTGCATGTGTCAAGAGACGTCGCTGACGAAAGATATTACTCACCCACAATAGCAGTAGCACCTGCTCTCTTCAAGGCAGTCTCAAACATCGGTTTGGATGCTTCATCTTGCTTCTCCAGCCGTCGCAAATTTTCTGCCACCATCGAAGACTGACCCCGGAGCAAGTCGTCGGCCTTGTCAAGCATGGAATCAATGTTTGGGCAAACTGAAACGAAGAAAACAGATCCCACCATACGCTGCTGCGCATATCGAAACGGCACTTCGACCATTTCATTGTTGCAATTGGTCGAAGCTTGAGCATCGCGTTTTATCGAGGATCCCCAGCACCAGTCAGGTAGCTTCAGCACTGCATGAGTGCGCAGAATGTCAACGATTTCCCATTAAATGACCTTGAGCTTACGGAAGGGGAAGGTTTTGAGGGTGATTGCTTTCTCTGGAGTCATCACAGCAAGGCCAAGTTCCAGAGAATTTTCCACCAGCCGAACCACAGAATCGTCACGAGCACTGGGCTCGTAGTCATATACAGCTGACAGCGTGACGGAAGACGAGAATCTGCAAACAGATCACCACCATTATTCTTTAAAAAATATACTCACTGACGTTGCGAAATGGGAATGATAATGTTGAGGGTCATCGATCAGGTTGACGATCATCTCGCGAGCCCGCCTGATCTGCATCGGACGAAACTTGAGTGCAGAGTCGGGACGGAACGTCTGATGGAAGAGTCGCCGGCTAAGACGCCATACATCACTATAACCTGTGAATGCAAAGTTAAAAGTCCAACCAAATCTGCCTGCAGCTCAGACCGATTGAATGAAAGAACACGAAATAACACACGGATCACGTGTGGCTAAGTATGGCCGATCGGAGTAAATTCGAGAACGTTTGTCCAGTAAGGCTTGTGCAACATGTAGGGAATTGATCACTACCACTTCTTGGCCTAGAAGTCGCACAGAAACCAAGTCTCCTGATAGAATGAGTTGCAGCACATGTGCACTACAACGTGTCTGACACGCACCGTAAGCAGCACGCCATTCAGTATAAGTGAGCCAAGGTTCCTTAGCGTTGATAGATAATATGTTCCCTAATAGCGGAAGCGCCACTGGGCCAGGAGGAGGAGAAGGCCTATTCCGTATGTTCTCAATGAACCGCCTGAGGGTAGTAATGAGAATGAAGAAAATGGGAAGGCCAGCGAGGACAACAGTAAGGCGATCATCAATTGAATGGGCCATAATTCGAGTAGTTCATGGGCAGGCTATCCAAAGCACGAGACGGTGGATTTGGGCGTTAATATTCCGGATCTCTCGGTCATCTCCAAGGCTTTGTTATCGCATTGACAAATAGATCCCAAGTTAGCGTGGAGACATCATCACACCCCTTTTGCTCCGCTCCCAGCCGACCTCAAGGGTCATTACCACCATAAGTGAGAAGCACAGGACCACTTCAAGCTTGTCGCGCAAAAACTGTCATACAAGTCGTGTGACTTCTATTGCTTGTATTTATCGCTCGGATCACAAGCGCTCTGCATTGGAGGATGCTTTTCTTAGGTATAGAAGTTGAGAACGTGACAACACCGGGCAATAGCAACAGCCTGAGCCTATACCAACGATCAGCAACCCGCAAAATGTACGCAAGAAAGACAAGCGTGCCTTGATGGGTCCCAATTCAGGGAATTCTGATCATATACACGACACACGCTTCATCGGCCCCCATTTGATCCGCTCTCCTCTTGGCAAGTTCGCAAACTGGGTCCAAAATTTGGGGCGTCCTACAGCCATCATCCTGATGATTGTATTATATTGTCACGATCGAGGATGAACTTCTTGAGAATCATTGAGAGAGAGGGCCGGCGCCGATAGTGTTGCAACAACAATGCCAACGCCGAGCACTTGAACGACAGATTCGGAACCGTTCTGGTACCACGACAGTCTTCACCTGAGTATACTAGTGAATGGGGCAGCCACTACCAATGTGAGTACACTGTGTCTCGATCTTTAGTGTGCCGCTTTGCAAAAGTGGAGGTAACGCACTAGAAACTGTGAAATGGAGCGGAACAAGGTTGTCGTCCATACGCACGAGAGCAACAACATGAACACGTCACGAACATTGGCTTCTGATAGCTCCCGAATCATGGAGTGGTTCTGGGATACCGACCACGAGAAGGTGAGGGTTGTTGCAACGTTGAACGTTGCGAAACGACCTTGAGAAATATGCAAACCGGCATCTCACGGCATGTATATGTAACTACTGAAGAATCAAATTTTCACACCCTTGGCACCACTTTCCTCCCGTTCCCAGGGTCTAAGAGACCCGGTTTCCTTGTAGAGCGCAACTGGTCTGTGAGACCCCCCCTCTCGCGAGGTCATGAGACCTCTCTGAGTATTGTGAGTACCTCTCCCCTCGTGTAACCTCTGTTGTCAGTCTCGGTGCTCCCGCTCCCCCTCTTGGCCCTCCCCTAGTAGAGGCTTCTGCGAGACCTCTACATAGCCTCTGTCAGTCTCAGTGCTCCCGTTCCTCCTCTTGGCCCTCCCCTAGTAGAGGCTTCTGCGAGACCTCTACATAGCCTCCTCACCCTCGTCCACCCTCCTCTGCACCTCTAAGCGCTCCTTGATAGTAGATACTCGTGTGTATGTTTTTTTACTATATTCGTATGTCATAATACTATTCCCTGCACGATGCGCCCAACAATTAAGCACTTATATTTGACTCATTTCACCCAAGGAGATCACTCATGTAATAAGTCAACAAACAACATGTTTATTTTCAGTGGCACAAAACATACATTGCGAGAGATGGAACATGGTATGGTACGAGGGGAAGACAGCGGGAACAGCATGATTTTCGCAGCAAGACAATAGGCACCTCACAATTACCTTCGAATGGCGGCTCCTTCACGTTGTTCTTGCTCTGTCACCTGACCAGGTAAGGTGAGTGACATATTGGCAATGGGACTCCGGGTACTGTGGCGTCCATCTCCTCGAGGAGGCTGGCGCTGATATGCACGCTCGTAGCCAGCATGACCCTCGCGATTTGTGGGATGCATGTATTCTCCACGAATATCCAGTGGGGGAGGTCCACGCAAGCGGTCATCAAGAAGTTCACAGTCTGGGTACCGCGCATCACGATAGTATGATCGCCCATACCCGGTGGCATCACGATAGCCTGTGCTCCGGTCGCCGTAATACGGATACTCCCTGTGATAAGGGTAGTCTCCTCCTGGTTGTGGTCGTCTGGTATACGCATGTCGGTCTAAGTCCTCGTGGTACATGTACGCACTGCGTGGATCATCGTTGGGGTGGCGACGGTCATCAAGTAGTGCAGGAGAGTTGTCTCGGCGAGGGTGCAGGTCACGGCCATCATTGAGTGGGAGGTCGTGGATGTCGTTTGCGTTACGAGCCTCCCATGATTGACCGCGATTGTGAGGACGCCAATTGTCGTGAGGCTCGCGCAAGTGTGTGTTGTCTGCCCTGCATGGGTCAGCATGGTGAGAGTCTGGTACATTGTGGCCAGAAAGTGAGTGGCTGAGACGCGTGTCCTCCGATGACGAGTGCAGCAGATTTTGAGGTAGTGGGAGAGGGGCGTCTGGGACAAGGACAGACTGCCCATCATCTGGTGCAAGCTCTGCAGGGTGATCTGAGTCGTGTGCGGGAGATGGAACTGCCGGAAGAGTAGGTGTTTCTGATGAATGATCCGCAGAGGTCTCGGGGTGTACGGCTCCATCGTTGTTCCGCAAGTCTTCGTCTTCTTGCAGGAGACGCATGGCCTTGGTCAGAACAGGTTGCCTTCCCTAGGCACGGGACGTGGACGTGGCACTGGGCTTGTGTGTTAAGACCGTGCTCAAAGGGCGGATCCGAAGGGCTTGGCTTCAGCTCGTGCGCTGTGCCCCTTACCCGAGTACGTGCCCTTAATTTCCGAAGGCTAGAAACAAAGTCCGAGGGAGGATGATGAATCCCGGTGGACTTCAAGGGGACAAGTCTGGTAGGCTTTTCGAGGAAGAGTTGGGCCGATGTTCAGGGGGTTAGTCCGGCCGACATAAGGAGGGTTCGTCGGCCGACGTAAGGAGGGTTAGTCCGGCCGATCATAGGGTTAGTCCGGCTGACATAAGAGGATTAGTCCGGCCGACATAAAGGGGGTTCGTCGGCCGACGTAAGGAGGGTTAGTCCGGCCGATCATAGGGTTAGTCCGGCTGACATAAGAGGATTAGTCCGGCCGACATAAAGGGGGTTCGTCGGCCGACGTAAGGAGGGTTAGTCCGGCCGACGTAAAGGGGTTCGTCGGCCGACGTAAGGAGGGTTAGTCCGGCCGACATAAGAGGATTAGTCCGGCTGACATAAGAGGATTAGTCCGCCGGACAATAGGGGCTTAGTACACCCGGAGAATAGGGGCTTTAGTCCGGCGGACGTGGGGGACAGAACAGACAGGTATAAGGACGGAGGGACAGGAAGTCCAAGAGGACAGGATGTCCGAAAGGACAGGAGGACAGGATGTCCGAAAGGACAGAAGGACAGGATGTCCGAGAGGACAGAAGCTAGAGGTAAGACTACACTAGACAATGTCCAGAGTAGAAACTGACAGAGGTAGACTACCCGAAGGTAGAGGTGGAGTATAGCCCGAGGAATCAATCCCAGGACACAGAGGTTGGACAGGGAAGTGGACCCGGGCCCATGGAAATGGATCCGGGTCCGAGGAAACAGGAATGAGGGTAATCTAAGGTGATATTCAAACTGAGGAAACTACTACGAGTTTACAAGGTATTATATACTATGGACATGTGCGACGGGGACGGAGTCAGCAGAGATCCGGGTCAACGCGAGGAACATATGGAAAGGTTAAACTGACAGGCGCAGAGATGGAGATGAAGTATCGAATGGATCCGGGCATAGGAGGTATGATCGAGAATGAAGTCGGATATTAACTGTCAAACAGATCCGGGCATATAGGGGTTAGGACAAGGGGACTATACAAATGGGGTAACAGAATAGGAGCAGGACCGGAAATGAACTGTCAAGCGGATCACGGGAAATGGGGACGGAGATGAACTGTGAAGTGGATCCGATGTTTTAGGGGTTAAGTGGACCTGGGTCTGACGTATAGGATGTCCGACGAATCCAGGACGAGCGGACGAGTGGACGAGCGGACGAGTGGAAGAGTGGACGAGTGGATGAGCGGACGAGCGGACGACATGAGTGAGATCCGACGAATAGGACGTCCGAAGAATAGGACGTCCGACGAATAGGACGATCCGAGGTATACAGGAGGAGGACCAATGAATAGGACGTCCGACGTATAGGACGTCCGATGTATATGGGAAACAGGGCAGATCCTGCTGAGGGGTATGTCCGGTGGAGACTGGGATGCGGAGTTATCCTGCCGAGGGTTAAGGTATAGCTTGGCTACATTTTGGAGGTCCGGACATTGTTTGTTGGGAGAGATGGGATATGATTCAGGGGCTCAGTGTACGGTATATGACATTGTGTTAGTATGTTTTGACATGTATGAGTAGCAAATACCTTTTTGAACATCAGGAGGTCCATCGCGAATGCGCTTTGCTGCATTGTCTGTATAGTCATAAGTCAGGATCACAGCCGAACTGCGATAATCATAGAAGACTCACCTATAGCAGGATGTGATTGTTGTTCGTCCCCTGAGGATTCCACCATGACAGGAGACGAGTGCCCTCCTTTGGCGCGAGCTTTGCCAGCAGCCTTCACACTTGGCTTCTTCCCGATGACCATCTTCCCTTCTGACTCCTCGATCGATCGTACACGTTTCTTCATAGCTTGCGCACCACCTCCAGCCTTCAACTTCCGCTTCCGCGAGCATAAATCATCATAGTCCTCGTCATCCTCACTGGGTATCTCGCGATCAGAACCATTGAGAGGCTCCTCCTCCTCCTCATCATCATCATCAAGCTCGTCAACACCATCTGGACTGGACCGGACTTCTATCACATCTGGTTTGTCAACCTCTGTCACAACCGGTTTGGCAGGGGGGCGCTTCGCAAGCTTGAATGGACGTGATGGAGGAGGTATAAGTACTTCAGGACACATTTTGGTTTTGCGGTGCATGGCAGTCGTAGAGTCAATAGCTGCGATATCTGTGTCGCCATCAGTCTGTGTACGAGATGAGGGGACCTTCGACTTCTTCTTCCTGGTTGCGGCAGAGCTAGGTTGAAGGCGTGCAGGGCCTTTATAATCAAAAGTCCCGTTAATGAACATGCGCCTCGCGTTCGGAAAGGGAGAGTCTGCAGGAGGTGCCTCGCCAATGATGACGGGCTCCTTGGAGGCTATCACAGCAACTGTCGAGGCATCATGAGTTAAAGTGATTTCAAAAGGCTGTAGCACGTACCTCCAATGGCTTTTGTTACTTTGACAACGCGCATTGTCTTTGCCTTCAATGCGAGTGCGAGTACATTGACCTTGCGTTGCGTGAGCCCTGCAACACCTTTACTCCGTGAATTACTGTTGTGAGACTCTCCTGGCATCAAACTTAAGTGCACGGGGTACCCCTCAATACGTAGGTGATCATTAGCGAGTGAGCTAGGCATCAATATCCATGGGAAGGGTCTATCCGAAAACTTGCCACCGAGGTCCGCTGAGGAAAATTGTCAGTATCTCACTGTGAGATGTGATGTGCTACGAACCAACTTGTTTGACTAGCCCAGCCTTGAGCGACTTTAACGCATCCTTCTCTTCGCCTACATCAGACGAGCTCACATCCAAGACCTCTATCGGTGCCTGCTCCTCGTCCCCTTCAGTGGTCTTGAAGGTCTGTTCCACGGCAGCAAGTGACATAGTATTGTAAACATGGGCTTTCATGTGCCCGATGATGACATGGTCACTGGCTCGGCAGTGCCTGTCGAAGAACTACAGAGAGTATTAAAAATTGTGAGAAACGAAGAATTTCGAGGTCGGTGACACTTACGCCACCAGCACCAGGCGTCATGTGAACATGGCCGAGTGATGCATCTTCATTGACAATATTGCCACACATGACCAGGGCAGCCTCAAAACCTTGCCTGGTAGCAGCTCCGTCAAGCTGCAGGTAGGGCACTCAGCTCGTCAACAAAATATTACAACAACCTATCACTCACGATGCTTCCTACCCTCCTGGTAAGCTTCTGAAATGTTTGTGTGCGCTGCGCGATGGTTTGAGGAGCATCTGACAGCATGTTGAGTTCTTCGTAGGTATTGAGGATATCCTGATAAGAATCTGGGTAGGTGTTTTTGAAGTGCTCGTAGCACTGACGGCGAATACCAGTGCCTATAAAATCAATAATCAGCATGGAGTGAATAGCGTGCAGAAAAAACGGATCATTTACTTGGTGTCATCGAACCATCCTGGGGAGGAGCATCTTCACCGAGCCTTGCAAGTTCCTGGCGCATGCGGTCCTTGAAGTACCCCGCATAAAGGTTCCAGTAGTTGGTGTTATTGATTGCTCGACCTCGACTCTTCATCCACAGGCTGATTACCTGGTGGGAGGGCATGTTCGTATTCTTTGCAGTGTCAATGACAACGGCATCCAACGCAGTGAAACCTTCTTCAAGCGCAGAGTTTGTCTCTATTGAACGTCGACCAGCAACAGGTGCACTGTCATCATCCATTGCAAAATCAGACTCGACACGAGATCCGCTGGTTGACGGACTGAACATCACCGCGCGGTGACGTGGCCCACCGGCAGCAGGCGGAGCCAAAAATTCTCCAGGCTTGATGGGAGTCGGCGGGATGATATGTGTCATTGGTAAGGAGTTCACCGGCGCTATGGACGAAAAATTCCAGGGCCCATCTTGCGAACCTCCCTGAGAGCTTTGACCTGCAGGCATGAGAAGAGGTGAGGTCAGTAACTGAGAATACGAAGCCAGTGGGCTAGGTGAGAGTCTGGGAATTTCCGCAGACCACAAAGACTGGGCCTCGGACGGCATTGTGAGGAGGTTAAAAGGACCCATGGAGCCATACTGGGGCTGCTGGTGCTGCTGCTGGCCAGTGGGTGCCAAAGTGTCAGCAAATAGATCTTCCACCCGCACGGGTGCTGAGCAGGCACATCCTCGACCAGAGGAGAGTCATGGCGGCTATTTGAAATAGAGTGCATGGAATCTAGCAGCAAAGGTAAAGTCAGACGTCTGGTAGAAAAGTTTCGATGAAAAATTACCAGAAATGACACTGGGAGTGCAGGCTGCTTGACGTCAAATAGCAGCATCCCTCGCAATACCAATGTCCCGTGCTGTTGGCTTGATTGTGCTCCGCAGTCTTGATGGAGTGAGCTCTGTTGGCGTGTCCTTGTATCGACCACCTCCAAACTGTTCTTGGACATATCCTTCCTGCACGTATCCAGAGCCTGTAGTAGCAGACGACGATGCAGGAAGGTATGTGGGAGGTGAGGACGCCCGGTCATCCGGAGGGTCAGAGTAGTATTCTGATAGCTTAAGCAACATGGCCTTCGCGCAAAATCAGAAAAAATTGATATGTAACAATGAAATCCCTTACCTGACTTGCTGATGCAACTGGGAATCCTGTAGGCGAGCGAACAAAAAAAAAGTCAGGCCTCATACTTATGGTAAATTTTACTGTGTGCGAAGTCCTTGATTTCATTCAGACAAATCAAGTAAGGACAACCGGCAGGAGTATAGAAGCGAATATCAACGCACGAGACATCGTGGAGGTCCACCAAGGAGGTACAGAGGGTGATTTGGTAGGCCTATTGGAGGCTTCAGAGGCTCCAGAGCGGTCTTGGAATGGAATGACTAAAGGCCGCGCAGAGGAAGCAATAAAATTGAAACCTTATTTCATATCCAAGACAATGGGATGTCAGAATTGGGTTAGAAATTCAAGCATGAACTATGTACATGTGCTATTTACATTTGATGTTAGGATAGACTCTTGATCAACGCCTAAGGCGCTTCACAGGGCGACTATCAATCTCGCTAACTTGGGACTCCTCGTCTTCATCGTCGTCATTGTCAGCACTGTTGTCATATTCAGAGCCGGATGTTCCACCCTTGACTGAAGTGATGGGAGGGATAAGGTTACTGGTGCGGGTGACAGATGGTTTGCGGACCGCTCGAGAAGCTGGGCGGGGTGGTGGCCGTGTGATTTCCACAACAACTTGGGCACGACGACGGGAGGAAGGTGTAGAAGGAGGCAGATGAAGACGGGGAAGACGGGGAAGACCCTTTTGGTCAATGCGGCCGTCAGCAAACGCACGTCGCCCACAGGAGTGCATGGAGCAAGCTAAGGGGGCCTCTCCAATGACAACGGGGTCTTTTGAGGTGGTGAGACGCATACGGGCAGCATCACTCGTAACCGCTCAGATGGTTAAGGTGCCTGTCTTGAGGTGATTGATGATGTTGGCACGATGGTGTTGGTTGAGATCGTGGATGCCTTTGGTGCGACAGAAAGTGGATCGCAGCTCACCGGGCATCAAGGTCTCATCAGGGTAATTGACAAGAACATACCCGAGGCGAGCTAGTTCTTTCGGGAGTGACTTCCAGGGGAAGTCAGCACCTGTGCGCCCACGCAGTTCCCCGCCAAGTGATGCTGAAATAATGTTAAGATTAGTGCAGATGTATGGCGATTGTTCTTACCAACAAGCGCCCTTATCCCACCCATGATACAGGGTATCCCTTCGAGGCTCTTCCAAAGTTCTTCTTCAGGGAGTCGGGAGCCTTCGCTAAGTTCAGCATCCTCTGTCGACACAGAGGCATCCACAAACTAGAAACAGGTCAGCAAAATCTGAACATCTAACTACCAGTACTCACAATCCGAGTGACAGAAACATGTTGCAAGTCTGTGAGCGTGGCGGCATCGACGAGGCGCAATGATCTTGATGTACCATGTTGCGAGTCCGTGAGCGTGGCAGCATCGACGAGGCACAATGATCTTGATGTAGTACTGCTGGACGCGGCCATTTTGCAGGAGGCGGTGTCACAATAAACGAAGTATCAAAGTACCAGCTGTAGACACTAGTCAGTGATCAATGAATAATGTGTAAACCATGGGCAAAAGAAAACTTTCGAATCAGGCCGATTACAGTAAGTTCGAAGAAGCTCAATGTTGCAACACATTGAAAATCGAACCTTGAAGAAGCACAGGGTCGGTGTCAATTGTGACAGCATGTTCTAGTGCCTGCTCATTTATGGAGGCCAAGAGGGCTGCAAGAGCCTCCTGCGAGAGCCTCTTGCAAGACCTATCATGAGAAGGCCTGGTGGGATTTCAAATACAAAGAGCCAAGGGGAGCGTCAATACTGAAAGTGAATTGCATGCGCTTAATAGTTCTGGGGCGGGCATTCTGGACCATGACAAGGGTGGTGTTGAAATTGAGCTACACTATGAACAATGTCTATCTACACTACGCTGAGATCGAGAATGAGGCGCTATAGCAATTGCCGGAAGCCCTCCATATCATCCTCGTGCAGGCCTGTAGAATGAAAACCTCGTAAGACTGCCATAATTGCAGCTAGTACCCAAACTCCGCAGTCATAGCCATTCGTCTGCAGAGGTTCGAGCTAGAAAATGTAGTTAGCGAGGGCTCAGATTTCATGACAGATCAATTTACAATAAGGGGACGAGCTACCCATCCTTGAAGATCGAATGATACTGCAGGGTGGCGTTGACGTGCAATAGATAGTAGACGAGACACAAGTGTCATAATGGCCTACATGGATGATGTCAATGTTTCCGCCTGTGCCATGATAAGTAGCTGAGCCTCACCTTGACGTCATGTTGCCATGGCCGCTTTTCAGCAAAACTATCGAAAAGATGAAGCTCCTTGGAGGATCGGCAAATAACACAGAGTACCCAATGACCAACAGGCACTGGCCGATGAATAGGCAGAATCCAAATGTCCTTCTCCCAATAACGTGTCCACGAACTTTGACGCCAGAGCATCTCATCAGCTGCGTTGTATCTGATGCGTGGGAGGTCATGAGTAGAGAGAATGGCAATGCGCTGCGCTACAGGGATGGACATCTGGGAATCATGCAGCAAGATTGCGCAGCCATTGAGGCATACATCGTTGAGACAGGCAGTCGAGGAACCAAGGAAGGAGATATCCCTTGGATCAAATATTTGTTGTGGGAAGCCATGGCGAGAGGGCCATATCCTAGTTGCTGCACCTGGCCCTTGCACAGTGATGCGCAGATCCTTGCGGGGCACAGGTGTTTCATCAATTTGAAGTACCTGCGAAGGGTGTCAAAATGGTAAGGAAGGTAGCAAATGGTAATGTACCTCCAGAACCGCCCAACAGATGGTGACATCAGCTTTTTCCGCTTTGTCAATGTCTTCTATGTCCTCGTCGGCAATAGCATCTTCCTCGAGGAAGTCAGAGAATGTGATTTGATGGGCATCGATACTTGATGCTGGCCCTGCTTCAAAGTCTGGGATATCGTCTTCTTGGTGATCAATTGCCAGTATTGGAGGGTTATGTATCCAACTAAGGGAGGCTTTGGTTGCACCTCGTGTGAGTGTCTTCGCGAGATCTGTAGCTACTTTGACACGATCAGAAAAGCGAGCCACAGAGGCAAATGGATTTTCCCAGCGTGATCGAAGTTGAAGAAGGTGGTCTCGACGGGTCCGCAGTGAGAATATGAAAAGTTCGTCTATTGACATCATCAGAAAATGGCGGAATAAAGCACTAGACTCACTTACTCGCATCAGAGGAAAGAGCAAGCTCTAAAGCAGCGAGCTCGTCTCCAAAATATCGGCACAAGTTGTCAGCTTCAATACTGAGCCGTTGCCGCTCCTCTTGACATCGATCATGCTTGAGGAGGGCGCGGATTCCATCTCTCACATCTGAATCGTCTAACCAGCGTGGTATGTTTCCTGCAGACGGCGCAATCCAAACGTCCTCCATTAGAGCTTGGTCGTTGCGTAGATCCGCTAGTTTAGTTGGAAGTGCCATCGGGAGTGGTATCCCCCATGAAGGGTCGTAGAGGGTGTCTAGGTGCTCACAATAAGAGTTGAACTTACGAATTGCTGTCATCAGGGCTGGTTGTCTCTTGGCTATTGCTTTACGAGTTTGCTGGTGAAGCTTGGTGCCTAATATGTTGAGATTAGTCCAATGTGCCTTTGATCCGGTTTAGTCTCACCTAACGCTTGCTGAGCACCACCAACTGCCCTATCGAGTTTATCCCACTCGAAGAAACTACCGATTGCCCATTTGCGTATGTTGATCTTGAGGTCGCGGGCCATCAGGAGGGTGCGGACAAAATCTAGGTTGACGCCCTGAAGCTCTGGAAACCTGTCGTGGATATTCAGTGAAGCGTATAGCGCTTCGACCTTGTCCATGAGACGTTGATGCCCCCTCTCGAGACCTTCGAGAGCACTCAGGGTATCATCTGAAGGTGCCTCCTTTTCAAGCATGGTGCGGGTAGCCTGCAACGCCCGATCTGAAGTATCCATATCAGATTGTAGCGCAAGCACTGTATCCAGTTCCTTTTTGAGACGCACAGGAGCGTCTTATAAAAAACTAATCAGTTAAACTAACACGAGAATAGTATGTACCAGTACTTACGAGCACGCACAGAGAGTTGCGCACGCCGCTGATCAGCCCACAGTGACCGTAAATCTTCAATCGAGACACCACAGTGATTAAGAATGTCCTCGGTGGTATTGACTTGAGTCTTGATGCCACGAAATCGTCGCTTGATCCAGTCACCGAGGTCTGTGCGCATCTCAGCTCCGATGGAGGCTGCCTGACGGTCTATAAGCCACAGACGCCGTTGGCGCTGAAATGTGCCAGAATAAATTGAAATATATATGTGAGATTGAGAATGGAGATGTGCTTACCGATGATGACCGCTCAATACCGATTAGACGAATGAGTCGCGACCAAAGTTCGCTCGGATACCTTCTCCGTCTGATAGACCCATTCCAACGCACATCCGGGGATTATAGACAAGTTGACATCCCCACTCGTGGCCATACACGTGCATGGCAGTTGTTGCGAAGCGGAGGCGTGAAGTAATAGAAAACATCTAGAATATGATACTGCAGAATGTTAGGGATACACATCACTCAAGTTACAAACATACCTGTGAAAGTGAGCGAGCTAGTACGCAGCCAACATCGTATAGAGCAATAACTGTTGCCTGTGTGGGGAGAAGTGAGAACAGATGTTCTAGTAAGGCAACAGAGTACTTCTGCTGTTCGCCGGGTGTATCGATGTTTGTAAAGAATAGGGGAATGTCGTGACGGCAAATGAGTGCCATCAAACCAGTGTCGTCAAAGCTTTCCATGGCAGTCTTCTGCTTTTTCCCATCAGCGGCTTCGTAGGACTGCTCGCACTGGTCAATGGCCTCGTTAGGTACAATAGGAGTATGTGTCGTAGCAGGGCGCTTCCGATTCTTATGTATCCGAGCAAACTTGATCAACG